TGACTGAAGCGGAAGCCCCAAATATCAAAAATGTGATTCAAAAGGTCTTCCGGGAATCTGTTTCTGCTGGGTTTAGCGAGGAGAAGGTTCGTGGATTCCTTCACCAGCTGGAGCTTTCGCTGCGCCACAAGACTGCAAACTTCGGAATTGGTGTAATGGAGAAGACCATTTCAACTTGGCTCAACGGCTCAAACCCCATGAAAGAGCTGGCTTGGAATGATGTCATCAACGAGTTCAAGAGCAGATATGCGAAACCTGGTTATCTCGAGTCTTTGGTGGAGAAATATCTCATCAACGACCAATGCATGACTTTTACTATGGTCGGTACTCCCACTTTCAACAAAGAGTTGGACGAGAAGGAGGTGGTGCGAAAGGACAAGAAACTTGCCCAGCTTATCGAAGAGCACGGATCAGTTGAGAAGGCTGTCACCAAGCTTGGAGAGGAGGAATTGGAACTTCTCAAGATCCAAGAGGACGCCCATAATGCTGACCTGAGCTGCCTCCCGACGTTGAGAGTCAAGGACATCTCGCGAGAGAAGGAGCGCAAGCCTGTTCGAGAGTCTAAAGTCGAGGGTGCTGACGTCGTCTGGCGTGAAGCTCCCACCAATGGATTAACTTACTTCCAGGCCTTGAATGACTTCGTTGATCTACCCGATGAACTTCGGTTGCTGATGCCCTTGTTTAACGACTGTGTTATGCGTTTGGGAACTGCCAACCGGTCGATGGAACAGTGGGAAGATTTGATAAAATTGAAGACTGGAGGGATTTCAACCTCGTCATTCCTTGTGTCGTCCCCGACGCACTTGGATCAGTTCAAGGAGGGCATGCAGTTCTCTGGATTCGCCATTGACAAGAACATCCCCGAGATGCTGGAAATGCTCTCAGTTTTGGTTACAGAGACGGACTTCACGAGCCCTGCTGCGCCTGCAATGATTCAAGAACTTCTCCGGATGACCACTAATGGAGCCTTGGATGCCATTGCCGGAACTGGTCACCGATTCGCTGTCAATGCTGCGGCTGCCAGTCTTTCCCGCAGCTTCTGGGTCCAAGAACAGCAGTCTGGTCTTGAGCAACTGCAGGCTACGGCTAACCTGCTGCGGGACGCAGAGTCCTCTCCCGAGCGTCTCCAGGAGCTGATCGAGAAGCTTCGCCTGATTCAATCCTTCGCTATCTCTTCGTCCAAACTTCGCGTCCGCATAGTGTGTGAAAAGGAGAGTGCTGGTGATAACGAATCGATTTTGCAAAAGTGGATTTCCGGATTGCCTCGAACACAGTCCCCAAGCGCCAATATCACCTCTTCCTTCAAGTCAGCCGACAAGGCCTTCTATGATATGCCATACAAGGTCTATTACTCTGGCCAGGCCACCCAGACTGTGCCATTCGTTGATCCATCCAGCGCTCCGCTCAGCATCTTATCTCAACTTCTCACCCACAACTACCTTCACCCCGAGATCCGGGAGAAGGGAGGTGCCTACGGAGCGGGTGCTAGCAATGGGCCCATCAAGGGAATCTTCACATTTATGAGTTACCGGGACCCGAATCCCCTGAACTCGCTCAAGGTCTTCAAAAACAGCGGTATCTTTGCTAGAGATCGTGCTTGGTCTGAGCGGGAGATTGAAGAAGCTAAGCTTGGTATCTTCCAAGGTCTTGATGCCCCTGTGAGCGTCGACGACGAAGGCGCACGCTACTTCATGAGCGGCGTTACCCATGAAATGGACCAACGCTGGAGAGAACAGGTCTTGGATGTTACAGCCAAGGATGTCAACGCGGCCGCTGAAAAGTTCCTGGTGAATGGCTCGCGGCAAGCGACTTGCGTTCTTGGTGAGAAGAAGGACTGGGCTGATTCGGAATGGGAGCTGCGCAAGCTTTCCATGGATGCCACCGCTTAAGCGATATCAACTAATGATCGCCCAGCAGTTCCTCTCTTTTTGCACACCTTCCCCTGAACTGGACATGATCCTTGGGGAATTGTATCACCACTTTCACCTTCCCGTGTATTTCTATCTACTCCCACCTCCCTGCATATCATCCTATCGCATCCTACCTTGTACATATATCCGCGCATATCCCATCTGTATACATCTGTATACATCTCCGTTCTCCTGTTTTCCAAGTCTCTGCCTTGACCTCAAACCGCGCTGAAGATATTCACGTGCTTCGGCACCGAGCTAATCACATCTTCAACCAGTCACCACCTTTGGTTGAAAGATGTCGCATTCATTTCAGGATGCTCGCGCAAGAATAAAGGGAATGTGAACCGTCAGGTACACTTCTCATCTCCGTTTTTCAGACCCGTCCTGGAATTCTAAGTCTACACAGGACGGACTAAAAACGAGGGAACATCAATACATAAGTAGATCGAAATTCAACGTAGAAATATGAAGACACATAAGCCTTTTGAGTTTACAGGGAATAATTCCAAATTGGAGCGCCACAGCTCTGCTGCGAAAAGCGGAGAAACGATAATTCCCCCCTGATAACGTCCGATGGACTCCGATCTGCTTACCCTCTCCAATTGTTTTGATTAAATTACCACCAAGAGTTATGGAAGTTATGGAAAGTTATTCTGAGTAGTTATGAAGAGATCGGGCGCCATGGTCGGCCCTAAGCCGACCAAGGCTTGTGGTGAGTCCCAACACGGCCTATTGTGGAGAGAAGCTAACCAGTCCTAGTAAATTGCCGACGACTGAAGGTATAAGCACACCTTTCTAATATTCTAACTAGATAACTTATATCACTTAGATGAAATGCGAAGTATCCGGACCTCCTCCATGTCGCCGTTGCCGTCACACTCGAACAGCCTGTGTCTTCAAGCCCCGGGCCAATGTGAGCAAATAGTGGATATGATCACCCGGGCACCGAGCTAACATTTATCTAGGCATCTGCGATGTATGAACTCATGGAGATGCAGCAAGACCAAGCTTTTGCTTCTCTGCCAGTGATGCCGGATCACCAGTCGATTCTGAACCGGCTCGCCAGGATCGAGGCTGCCCTGGGTATCACTGATGACCCCCAGGACCCCCAGGACCCCGAAGACGAAGCTAGTTTGTCTCGTGAAGTAAGTCTTGAAGAAGAGATGGACGTTGTGACACTGCATGGTGTATGGACAGCACTTGCGCATTTACGAGTCATTACTCGTCCGGCTCCAGATGATAGTGTCTGGTCGCGATCCGTTGTTCAGCAGCTATGGAGCTCGTATGTACTGTTTAAATCACCATTTGAAGTTGAATATCTGACAATATCACAGCTTCTTGAAAGATCTCCCACTTCTTCACTTCCTAACAGACCACGGCGCGTTCGCTTCCCCGACCCCAGTCCTGCTCGCTTCTGTGCTTTACATATCTGCTCTGCACCATCAGTCTTCTGGGCTGGCATCGTTTGACTCGGGATATCTTGCCGCTATCTATAGTGCTATCGCTGAGCTTGTGACTCCGTGTCTGCACCCAAGTTCCCTGCAGACATTAGAGCAGAAGAACGAAGAGCAAAATCTCTCCCCACAATCCAAAAGAGAGAAAGCATTCCATGACATCCTTGGGTTGATCATGGCTAGTCTGAGCTGCGAGGCGTATGTTGGTGCCACAGGCTCGTGGATTGCAATGGCATATCGTCTCTGGCTTGATCATTGTCCAGTAGATATGACTTCCACTGCGCAAGACTGGCGTGGCTTGTTCTCCGGTCTTCAGGTAGGAACACCCAACAAGCCCCGAAATTCGGATTGTTTGTTTACATTTGTTTGCTTCAGGTCATTGATATCGAACACGCCTCAATGCACATGTCATATCCACTCCTCCCACGACATGCTGCAACTCCAACCATACAGCGGCTGGATGGCCATCAAGGAAATGCCTTTCAGGGCCTTGCCGAAATGATGCACTTTGGACTGAGTCATTTTGTCGGCCGTGGGCTACCGAGCATCTGGTCCTCTATCAATGCAGATGATGCCGACATCGTGCCTACAGCTCGGTCCCCATTTACTGAAAATGACTTGCAGGTCATCAGGCATTGGGCACGAAAACTCGATGACTGGCTGGTACGATATAATGGCCTATCCCGTGAGTGTCTACGAGTGATGATCCAATTTCCAGAGCTGACTGTTATTAGAGCCCACTCCATCGGATCGACAAGGTATTCTCATTTTGCTCCAGTATCATTTGCACAAACTATATGTGCTCTCAATCTATCATCCTGCTCGTGGATTTGATCTCAGTCCGGCGAACATTAGTTCTTTTGAGCGACACGAGTTACTCGTTTCGGCTCGGGCAGTGTTGAGGCTGAGACAAGATGATGCGAGCATATGGTCCAATTGGGACTTGGTTGTAAGTTCAGCCCCAGAGCCAGCAATTCTCTTTTTAACAAAATAGATGATTACATGGGCAGCCGTATTACTCCTTCAAGGTGTTGAAGACGGCATGACCCACCAAGATGGTATGACATATTTAACTCCCGGAAAGCAGGACTCATTCTCATTCTGATGCTCTATTGCAGATTTACACCTCATCCAAGCACACCTCCAAAGCTTAGAACGAAGAAACCAGTCTGCTGCAAGCATTCATACTGTTCTATTCCACAGGCTCGAGTCGAGTATGCAAGCCATGCATACTCCCCCAGATACAAGCGTGGCATTAGCGTTCCCAGGCCCAAGTGCAGACGATTCATGGACTATATTTGACCAGGAGATAATGTCTCTTGCAAACCCGCCATGGTTATTCGATGAATCGACGCAGCTGCCACAGATTCAAAAGGCGTCTGCGGTGCATCAGTTACAGCCTGGACTCCCATCTTTCCAGTACGACTCTGCCATTCTAGCAACTACATCGCCACACTTTGAGCCAAATACACAGTAGCGCTACACATAGGCGTGTTGCGGGTGTTCAAGCAAATCCCCGGTGTACTATCATCAACCCGGAAGAGGACTTAGTGGTGCACGAAGGACCGCTGCTTGATGTAATCTACAACCATGCTATTTACATTTCAAATCACAGTTGATCAAAGGAACTACTTCACAGCCTCCGAACACTAAATCTCAGCTTGAAAGTGTCCATCCCCTCATGGTAGTCTTTCATCATCTTATCTGCCCCAGCCCACTTCTCCATCCTGGTCTCAACCTCCCAATTCGTCCCCGTTTCAGCACCCACCTGCTTCCAGAACTTCTTCCACGTAGCAGGATCATGACGATAGTGCTTCCCAGCGGCCTCCTCGTCTTCCGGAGGAGGAGGGTTGATTAGACCAATTTGGCGCCCGATTAGGAGAGAGCCAGTTTTATCCTGGAGTAACCCGACGAGCCGCTTCGCAACAAGGACCTGCTGGTTCCAATTGAAAAGATGGAAGAAAGAAGCCGCATTAACAATATCAATTTTGTGGGTCAGGTTCTTCACTAGATCGGAGTTGTCGTCGAAGATGTCTGCTACTATGAACTGGGCTTTGAGGTGATCGTGGTCGTTGAAAAGGTCGTACCCAATGTCGTAGAAGTCTTGGCGCAGGTCTGAAGCATAGAGGTTCTCGGAGGGGACCCCATCGAAGACCTAGTGACGTTAGATTTGCCTTCATTGCTCTGGACTCTGGATGGGCTTTCTTACCAGTTGACGCAACTCTTGCCCCACCGCGCATCCAACATCAAGCAGTTTCTGGCCAGACTTCAGTCTGTCAAGGACCTCGGGGTATAGCGGTGATTGCGGGATGCTCAAATCTAGGAACCGGAATGATCCAATGCAAGGGTACGGGAACTGAGGATGTTCATTAGCATCCGTTTCTGGTCAATACTAGTCTGCCAGAAATATGAAAACACGGGAGCTGCTAATTGGGTCTGACAGGCATCAAATACGCGAGAGACCCGAGGTACAGCGTTCTTGGACAGGTTGTCTATAAAATGAGATCTACTCACCACGGCAAATGCTCGATCTCTCTGGGTCATTCCATATTTATTAGCATAGACACGCCCAACATGAATGGGGAAGACTCACCACTTTCTTCACATGGTCCACCACCTGATCAGGCGGGATTTTGCTATACTTCTCGAGGAGAGTCTTTGCAGGCTCAGGAGCCTCGATCAACTCAGGTTCGTACCAGGGGAACTTCTGAGGATCGAAGCCACCATCGAGGATGGATCTGAGATCGGACTCGGCTTTGGCCATGTTGGGAGTGCAGGGATGGTCAACGCGATGTAATTGGGTCCAGAAGAAATTTGATATCGTAGTGCTTATGTACTTCAGTCTCTCATTTAGACATAGAAAGGGCAATTCGTTGTTTCTGTGAGGATGCCCCGCGTGGGGCGGATGTCCCGCAATTTCCCCCGGCTCTTGTCCAAGTTTGGTGAATTATGGTTATTGAAGAATATCACCCCCAGCTGAATCACCTAATGCAGAATCCCTAGGGACATGGAAATCCAAGTCGGTCAATTCCCGACAAATGTTTCGTTCGTCGGTCAAAGAGTAAACCTGCAAGGTGGATGGACAACTGTAAAACCAATGTATACCCTGGCATATCAATGCCCAAGATCAGCTATTCTGATAAGGTGAAATAATAATTCTTTACAGGTACAGGAAACTGTCCACAGAGGTCCATGTGACAGACCTTTGGGTTCCCGCTAGATGTGTCGTTGAGCATATAGTGCCCAAGCGTACCTGCGTCCTTGGTCACAAATTTGATAAAATAGACTAAGCGTGAGGATTATATTGAACTTTTACCAATGCATGTTTGCGATCGTTTCTGTCTGAGAGGAAAATCGAACAATTTGTACTACAGTTCTGGACCCAGGGGCAGGCCAAGAGGTAAGCTCTTTTCCCTCATATAAGTAACAATATTTGCAAAATACCTCAAGGTTCAAGCCCTAGATGGTGTCCCCAAAGTAATTTACCAGGCAGGCTCCAGTGTGAATGTGGTCAAACTTCTTCTAAGATGTTCTTTGTGTTTCTGGAGATACAAATGATTGTCAAGAAACAAAATTGTCCGCGCAAACCGATCATTTGTGAAGATATATATGTGAAGCCTCTCGTGTAGTTCCCGGTGTATTTTGTAAAGTCTTTTTTTTCCTGTCCACCTCTACCATATACCAGGCATCCCTGCCCTATTCATATAACCATATCATTCAAGCGCACAAATTGAGTTACCAGTGTAGAGAGTCAATAGAGCTATATAGTATAGCATCAAAAATGACTCTTTGATGAGGTTAGTTGCAACCAACCAAATTCATGACCAATTTGGATCTGACGCACCGAGTTCGCAGCGCAGTGGAAGAGAAACGCTGCAATGAAGACATCCACCACTTCACCTGGATGGATATGTGGTGCGGAATACCATATTCTATCTCGATGAGGTTGTTATTTGCGCGAAAGCTGAGAGGAAGGCTAAGAGACAAGTTTCAATCTTCATGTCTTTCACAAAAATTGTGTCAGAATCTATAGTTCACTCTCGAACTTAGCTCCTACAACAATCCCCTTTACCCTAAAGCAACCATACACCTATAGATTTCCATTTTAGACCTCTCTCCTGTCAATAATTATAGATTAAATAATGATACAGGGGGCGCTCTTGACCTCATTTCTTGATTGGACCTTTAATATAAGCAAGTATGTTGAAGTTGGGTTCTGTGAGATTATGTGTTCTATTTCACTCAAAATTGTCACCTCACACTTTTCACTCTGTTTACGTAGTGTAGTCATGGTCATATGGATGGCCGATACCATAATACTATATATATAATCAATGGACAGAGATGGTAGAAACAATTGTGTAAAATATACAGGGGAAAAAAGTAAAATTGTCTTAAAGGGCCTCATCCTACCTAGTTACCTATGGACATCCCCTCCTGTTTGATCCTCAGACACACTACTACATATATGTAGTGGCCCGGAAATATAATCTCGATATTCAGAGCCATGTCCAACAATGTCAGTGAGCTATGATTACCTGCCTCCACTCCCTACCCACTAACACACTTCCTATATCATAGTACACTTGCGTTCCCGCCATCAAATGGCTGGTTAGAACCCTCCATAGCGAAAACGTCGAAGCCGATGGAATTGCCACCTGGAATGCAATCCTGAATCTGCGATTCCCATCTACACAAGGCTTCTTCATCCGCCTATACGCCCACAGCGCTGTGCGTGGATGTCCAGGCTGGATTGAGCTTCAACTTTCCCACGTGAAAGATGGCCACCAGAATCCAGTTCTTGTGGTGTACTACCAGCGTGCTGATAGGGAGAATGATGATCAGTGGGAAAATGGACAGAGAGAGCTGCAGCTGTATCTTGCGTTTCGGTATCGCAACTTCGCGGAAGATGCATCGCCTATCTATGGCATCCTTGCTATCGGGGCCAAGTTGAAGATCTTCCAGTACGACAATCCCTCTCGAAGTATCGAGCGATTTGTTCCACCTTGGGATTTGGAGCGCCACGATGAGCAGGTTTGGAATATGCTCAGAAAAATCAGCAGGAATCACACCGGTAACGGGGTCGGTGAAACGAGAGGCATCAAGGCTGAGTCCGGTGGACAGAGAAACGAGGAACCGAAGAATGTTTTGAGGGAGAGTCACGCAGTTTGATGCAAGAAGTCAAGGATTGAAGATTCTAGAAATGGAGCGGTGCGCACAGTATGATCATGCTGTGTTGATGGGTCTGGGAAGTGTGTAGCAGAAAATGGGTGCGATGCCCATAGAGCAAGATTCGATGAAGAGTGATATCCTCATGACATTCATTGAGTCATGCACCCAGAGGGCCAAAAAATCTCAAAGTCAATCAGGGTTTATCGTAGTTTTATTATGTTTTCAATTTGAAAAATGCTCGAGAAGTCCTAGGACTCTTGAGACTCTTGAATTCATGGGGGTATAGTGTAACAAGGTCGCTAATATCATACAAAATAGGCGATCAATGGCAGAGGACTTCAATAATCACCCAGAGCAAATTGCAGCAATGGGTGTGGAGAACCATTAACTTGATCAATCGAGAGAAGTCGTATTATCACCAAGCTCATGAGGAGATATAGCTCTTGGCGAGGTTTTCGATAGGCCCGGAGAATCCATAGCCATAGATGAAGGCGACATAGATAGAGGCGGGAAAGGCTCGGTTTGGTTGTCGGACATCCGGAGGCTTGATGACTCGCTGAAGGCCCTTCTCGGGGTATTAAATTGTTCTTGTGATCGGAGACTTGGATTAGTGGGTGTTGGGGCGGGCTAAACAAGTAAACTGGTTAGTTTTCCTTCGCTGAGGCAGAAGATGCAAAATGCCATACCTTATCACCGCCTCCAGTATCAAGACCTCGACTTAAAGCCAGCTCGTGTGCAGCAAGCCGTCGTCTCTCAACATCCGCTTCTTCTTCCAATGCCGCGCGCTGCTCTTCTGTCTTCAAGTCTGCCAATGATGGCGTGTCAACACTTTGAGCACTGGCCGATCGCTTTGGGGACCGTTTCTTCTTCCGCTTGATCTTTTTCGAGGAGGCAGCACCGAGGCTGGACGCGGATGCAGACTGTATAAGTTCAGATTTCGCCCCGGACTGATCATCAGATTCCAAGCCCGTTCCGCGGCGCCCAAAAGCAAGTGCAAACTCATCGTCAAGGGGGACTGCATCTTCCTCCTCATCACTAGGGAATAGATCCCCGCGCGAGCTAAGTGAGTTGTCCGTTCCGCGGGAAGATTGCGTGGCACTGCGATTTCTCCTATTAGGGGTGGGGGAAAATTGCTCTCCATCATCATCCACAGCTTCCATTAGTGGCTCATCTTCGTGCGCATAGCGCCGGGCGCCGGGGTGTTCTTGGAGATCAGCAGCTGAAGGCCGGTACTTGACTCCCCTTGCACCGAATCTCCACGGAAAGCGCTCGAGGAAGCCAAGGAGAGAAGAGCTGGGAATCACAGTCGGGTCGTCGCGATTGTCCGGAATATGTGCGGTGCTCCTTCGCCTGGTGTTGCGTGTCCCGTAGCTCATTCTCCGGGGTCGACGGGGCTGGTCAGCAGTTCCGCGCGCCAGCCCGCTGCCAGCAAGAAGGCGGTCGAGTTCGCCCGTACTCCATCCGATTAAGCCATCATCTTCTTCTTCGTTGGCCCAGTCGTCGTAAAAATCAAAGTTGGCTTCAGTTTGGCCCCTTCGTCGCCGCCTTAGGTGGTCTTCTCGGCTCGGGAGGCAAGGTGCTGTACATGCAGTCACGCAGTTTCCAATGGATTCAAAACACGGGGATATGTAGTTGTGGGAGAAAGTATAAAGCCCTTCCTGCGCGGTTTCGTTGGCAGTCTCGATGTTATGGGAGATCTGATTAATCCGTTGTCGGATGCGGGGGTCGCGCGGTCGCATCATCTTGGGCAACGGTGTCGACAATAGACACTGCTAATGCTGATCTCGTGTGATTCGCTGCACCATCTGTCGCCGGCGACATTGGAAAAGTTACAGGGGTGAATCGAGGCAAGTGTAGTTGAGGTGAATCCGACCTCGCGATGTCATTCCTTGCTTAGTCAGCACGGGTAATTTCCTGGGGGAAATTTGGGTTGATGAAGATGCGTTTAGGAGGGAGAGGCATTGAGGGAACTTGGAGAAAGCATTGTGTTCTATATCTCCAAGATGGTGTACTATGTTCGATTCCTGAAAACCCCCAGGATCCAGCAGCAGAAAGGGTCCCCTTACCTCTCTGCTCTTATCTGCATCACCACTGATCTGGGAGACTCTTTTTTCGCCGAAGATGTTGATTTGATAGTGATAGCCCGAGACCATTCCTCTCGGGTTTTGTTTGAGAAAAAAACAACATGGAACGCCAGTAATCGTGAACTTGCTATTACCCTGGGGCCTCTTCCACCCAATCTGGCTCAACAATCTATGGTGTTGACGGTTCAAGTGCCGAACCCACCAGGATACTCTATACCCCAATATCCCCCCATACCATTAGTGGTTGGTGCAACAAGTGCCCCCTTTGGGCCTCGATCCGCGCCAGCGGAGAAGCTAGTTCAACGGCAGATTCAATACAGCGGCTGCGAAGCATCTCCCATACAAATATGGGAAGAGACAGGAAATAGTATTGCTCGACACATATGGTGAGTCGTTCTTCTACTTATCTTTCGATTTTTCCCTCGAGTTTCTAAGCAGGGATTTTCCCAGGGATGCGGGCCTCGCAACAGTTACATATCTTCACATGATCTGTGATATAAAGACGACGACCCGTTATGGCAGCAACAAAGGCACTGAACCTAAAATACCAGCATTGAAACGGGTCCTATCCACCAACCGCACTCAGCCTCTTCAGGTAGTTGAGCTAGGGGCCGGATGTGGGATAGTGGGAATTGCATTGGCCACAATGCTTCCCAACTGTTCGGTCATACTCACGGACCTCCCTGAGGTTGAGGACATCGTAACACGCAATATTAATGCTGCCCAACTCGCAACCATGTCCAGTCTTCAGTATCAAAACCTCGACTGGGATGACCCTCCGGATGAGCTCTGCCCCCGACCCATTGAGCTCATTCTTGTCTCTGACTGTACCTACAACGCAGACAGCCTACCGGCGCTAGTCTCTGCGCTCGACCGATTGGTTCAGACCTCCCCGAAGGCCATCATCTTGGTGGCTTTGAAGAGACGGCATGACAGCGAAACGGTGTTTTTCGACTTGATGACGTCGGCGGGGTTTATGGCGGTGCAGGACAGCGTTGAGATCCCCTCGCAACACGATGAGGTGGATGAGATCGAATTTTACTGCTACAGTCGACCAACCGGAGAAAGATAGCATATAGAACATTGCCTGCGGGGATGAGAAAACCATTACAACGGGTAATCCCCTTGGTTGAACGAAAGCACAACCTAAAGCTAACCTTAAAAACAACCACGTTGAAGCATAGGAAGCAAGAAGCGAGATAACCCAAAATCAGCAACCTTTCTCGTAGATCCTCCAATGAAGCTAATGCGGTTTCTTTGCCTGGGAGATTAGTATACTTCATACAATTTAGATGTACAGGTTAGATGGGGATTAAGCATCGAGGATATAAAGCAAACATCTATACAAGTGTGACAAGAAAGATATAACTAGTTGACGGGCCTCTCGGCATAATCTCTCATATCCCTATTTACCTAAGGCATTCTGATATGTTTTCGGTGTGTTTCTAGAATTGTCAAATGAATTAGAAGTGTGGATCGGAACCGAATTTCCACTATGGGCCCAAAAAACCGCACCAGTTACGAACCAGCAAAATCAAACCGGTGGATTGCAGGTGGATAGCTATGTTAAGTCATTGCTTTACAAAGTACAATATATAAACCGAAGTTACCGAAGAAATGCTCAATTGGAGCCTCAATTAGAGAATTAAAGGATAATCTAGACTTGGAAGAACTTATACAACTGCAGTATATTAAGAACCTTGGAACTCTCCCGGTGTATAATTCCGGGTTCCGATAAGGTTTGTAAAGCCTTGAGTCTCGACCCATTGGCTGCTTCTTTTTTTTTTTTTTTTTTTTTTACGGAGTACTTAGAGGGTTCAAGTTTCTATATCGCCCATCATTGGAAGTTAAGTTATGCAATTGTCCAATCACGTCCTACCTATATTGGCTCTTTATTACAGGGTAACATTCCTGCAAGTATGGGGTCTGAGGAAATCTGTGGATTGGAAGACCAAAGGGTTCCCTGGTCCGTGCATGGAATCAAGTATCAAACGTCATATATCTCGGTTCTCGCCCGAGCTATTACTCAAGAGCTTCATCCCGGTTCTGCATATTTTGCATATCACCTGCAAGTGTACTGCGTTTATCACAGTTTTGTACTAAAAATATAAACATCCGGGTACGCACAGACTAGCAACAAGGCCACGTATGTACCTGTATAGGATGTACGGAGTACGGAGTACCTGGCAAGTTTAAATGTTTGATCCAACAGGGATATACTCCGACAAATCATAAGACAATATACACACCGCTACCATTGAATCCTACAATCCCGATGGGGGTTCAACTCCTGCATCATGCAGTCACACCTGGGACCTGTAGCGCCGGCAAGATAATAATGGATGCCTAACAAAGGCCCGAAATATAATCGCGCATGTTTGTCCGAAATAGTATTAGAACGAAAAAAAAAAAAAAAAAAAAAGCTGAAGAGAGTCTTAAAAGTAGAGCCCTTTTTTTTTCCCGGGCTGAGTAAGCACCACTCTTTTTTTCCCCACGAAGTGTCCCACGACTCCGTCATCTCTCCAGGACTCCCTCATATCCCTTACGATTTGGGTCCTTGCACAGCTTATTTACAAGGTGAGTCTTTTATTTCCAAGTTAACTTGTTTTGGGGTTGTGTGTGTGTGTGTGACCCCGTGCGGCGTTTTATTTCCCCCAATAGTCGTGTGCCCTAAGCTCGCTCACTGCCCCCCCCCCCCAAAGAAAAATTTCTCAAACTCTCGTCCCCTTCCCTCTCATCCGTCCCTTTTTTTCTCTCATAGCTATCATAGCACCTGGAAATTATACCAGGCTTGCTAACCGCTCTACTCTTAGATCTCTTCGGTCCTTTTTAGGTCCACTTATTCGACCCTGCCTTTGGAATCCCCAAAGGCGATTCGGTCACCACGGCTCCAGTAGCCTCCCTTCTGGTTCTTAGCCAAATTGTCTCCACTCAACGTCTCCGCGACACTCTTAACAACATTCCACCTCCTGGTCTTCTCTGAACTCTCGTCCGGTGCGCCTTTTTTCGTCCCGTTGACGTCCCCGGAGATTATTCCCTCGTTCTCTGAGCTGCCGCATAGGACTTCTTTCAAGGTTCTTCCTCTTCAGGGGGAAGGGTCTAGGAGGCTTGGTCCAGTCAACTACGGTTGTGACACTTTTCGTCCTCCCTAACGCGCAGTCGCCTGCCGGTTTAAAAAACTTTTTATTATTTCTCTTTCTTCTACTATTGTGCTGAGTCGCAGCGGCATGGTTATGGCACCGACTGCGTGTGTATCGACTGCTGAAGTATGCACCTTCAGAAAAGACTTTACCAATAGTCTGGACCATCTTGGTCTCGTCAGTCATGGGGACAACAATTTGTTGCAATCATCGTTGACTGCCAAGGAACTTGTTTTGGATGTGTTGAAGAAGCGTGCGGCGGAAGTGGATGTGGACCACTGTGGTCCTGGGGATGAGGATGCTTTCTATGTGGCGGATATGGGGGAAGTCTACCGCCAGCATATGCGTTGGAAGATGAACTTGGGCCGTGTGAAGCCCTTCTACGGTAGGTCTCTCTCTGCCAGTGGATAGCCCCACTCTGGAGCCCGGCTAACGAAGACCCCAACAGCTGTTAAGTGTAACCCGGATCCGGAAGTACTCCGGCTCATGGCCCAACTTGGAAACGGTTTCGACTGTGCCTCCAAGTCTGAGATCGATCTGGCCCTTCAGACGGGCATTGATCCTAGCCGCATTATCTATGCCCAGCCTTGCAAGACCAAGTCTTACTTGCGCTATGCTGCCGAGGTCGGCGTCAAGCAGATGACCTTTGACAATGCCGATGAGCTGTACAAGATCAAGTCTACCTTCCCTGAGGCGGAACTCTACCTCCGTATCTTGACCGATGACTCGACCAGCCTGTGCCGGTTGAGTATGAAGTTCGGTGCTTCTATGGATCAGGCTCGTCCGTTGCTTGAGCTGGCTTATAAATTGGACCTCAAGGTCGTCGGTGTCAGTTTCCACGTCGGATCTGGCGCCGAGGATCCCCGGGCGTTCCTCAAGGCCGTGCAGGATGCGCGCATGGTCTTCGATCAGGCGGGAGAGATCGGCCACGAACTCCACACTCTGGATGTTGGCGGCGGTTTCTGCCAGGACACATTTGAGAAGTTCGCGGGCATTCTAGGCGAAGCCGTGGACACTTATTTCCCGCCCAACATTCGTGTGATCGCTGAGCCCGGTCGCTACTATGTAGCCACTGCCTACACTCTGGCCGCCAACGTCATTGCGCGGCGTGACATTCCGGATCCTGAAGATCCCTCTCGTGATGCTTTCATGTTGTACCTGAACGATGGCGTCTATGGCAACTTTTCGAACATCATCTTCGATCACCAGCATCCCGTCGCTCAGGTTCTCACCTGTGCCTCGGACGGCTCCCAGCCTGCTTCTCCGAACTCTGCGACTTCGGAGGACATCACTTACTCTATCTGGGGACCTACCTGCGATGGCATCGATGTCATCACCCAGCGTATTGGCTTGCCTGCCCTTCTGAACACCGGTGACTGGCTCTACTTTGAGGAGATGGGAGCCTACACCAAGTGTAGTGCTACCCGTTTCAACGGCTTCTCGGACAACCACGAGGTTATCTATATTTCTAGCGAGCCCGGTGCCTCCGCTCTGCTCAACTACTAGTTTGAAATTTGTTACAATCTTTTGCAATCGTGTCCCTTTTGTGTTTGGATCCACTTTTTGTTTGATAACCTCTACCCTTAGGGGGATATCTAATATAGTATCTATTGTGCGTTCTCGCTGTATATGCGATCGTGTTTTACGCCCACTAGATCCTAAATTAGAATAGAGGTCATCTTGTCAGTATCAATGTCCCTTGACCAGAGATCTTTTAGTATCTCTTGTGTTGACGTGTTGCTTTATGATTCTTGTTCATGCTTTTGAGCATAAAATATGAAAAGTCTTGATGTTTGATTACAGGTGTATCATGCTCTATCATCACATTTACAAGGTATCATGAGAAATTAACCACATCACGGCATATAAACAGGGGCCCCATTGAAAATCTAGACCAAGCGCTCCACCCTCAACTCCACACTCTCTCCATCACCCGCCTGGACCAGCCCACCAGCTTCGAGCTTCTTCTTCCACTTGGCCGACTCGTATCGAGCCATAATCAATGTAATGTGGGCAATGACAGCAGGGTCTGCAGATTCTGCGACCACAGCGGAAGGAGTGCAAGTCCAGCGCCCAAACGCCCAGTTGAGAATATAATACTGCACCCCAGACGTCTCGAGCGTCTGTCTCGCAGTCGAATTATCCGATGACTCCACCGGAAGATCCTGGTTCGAGCAGCGAACAATTCCCTTAATGCGATACACCTCCTCACGAGGCGCCATAGAGAGGAACCGCTCCAGAGCAGCAACATCGACCGTCTTCCCCTCAACCTCGGACTTCAAGACAACAGAAAGCACCTCCACCTCAGACTGATGATCATGCTGATGCTGATGATCATGTCCATGGCCAGCCGTAGCCCCATTCTCAGACTCCTTAAACAAAGCCCCATCAATACCCAGCAACACATCCATATCAACTCTCCCCTTATTGGACTTAACCCAAGGCGTCTCGACCTCCAAATCACCTACCCGATCCAGACAGACATCAAATCGATCGGGTGAATCCTCCCACTTATTAAAAACAATCAAATCGGTATATTTCGCCTGGATCTTGGCCGTGTACGAAGTATCCTCATACCCCTCCCAGTTCTCGACATCGATCACGCTGATCACGCCATCGAGAACGTAGTTTCCGCCCTGTTCACGCGCAAGCCGGTTCACCTCCATCGCGAGCGTTGCAGGGAACGCGCTGCCGCTGGTCTCGATCACGATGCGGTCGGGTTGGACTTCGGTGCGGAGCTGGTCCAGTGCATCGCTGAGTTGGCCAACGAGGTTGCAGCAGATACAGCCGTTGAGGAGTTCGCGCACGCCGCTGATGGATTGTGTTGAGGCTAGTTGGGAGTCCACGGCTACGTCGCCGAATTCGTTTTTGAGGAGGGCGAGCTTGTAGGTCTTTGGGAGTTGGGGGATTAGGTTGAGGAGGAGGGTTGTCTTGCCCGAGCCGAGGAAGCCCGTCACGATTGTTATGGGGATTGGCGCCATTTTGGTGGTGGTTGGACCTCTTGAGGTTGTTGCTTTCTGATGTTGGGGGCGGGAGGCTATCGCTGATCAATCGCCGATGGAGGGGCTAGCCCTAGATTAGGAGCCCTAATTACCCTTTTGGGGTTGTATATATCGAATTTCGACTTCAACTTGAAAGGCACTTGTTTGTTCGAAAGAAAGGTGATATCACCTATTTTCTTGGTCTAGGATCTAGATCTACTGTAGATCACTATTAGTCTGGATTGACATGCACATACGGTACATACGAGAAGTGCAGGTATGTAAACGGCAAGCAGAGCTACAAACCACCCAACGGAACCAGTATTCATGCAGTTGCCTCAACTAACTGCTAGAGCAGACAATATTTCAGCATTGGCGCTAGTGATTTCCCTGTGTATAAACAAAACTTTAGATTTAGAAAGTGCGAGAGAAAATGAAGAGTAACCTAATACCAGCATTCAATAGCAGGTGGCCTAGTGGTAACATGACAATGTGTACTACAAGGGAAGTGCCCAAGATCTTCCACTACTCGACTGTTCCGGTTTGACCCCGGCCGTTCTCACTCAAATCTTCTGGTGTTTACACCCCTCTTCGTTTTCAGGTCAGTTCGTGCCTAAGGGATTTAGGCTCACCCAGCATCGATAGCTCTCTATCCTCTCTCTTTCCTTCTTTTACTCCAAGTCACGGTCAGGATAGCATTCAACCAGAAAACAATACTGATGCCGCAAGGCAGATGTGTATTCCTTTATCTGAAGACGGGGATGATTCGTATCCCTAAAAGTACCTAGGTAGGATGGAAGGCTTGCATATGATGCGAGCTATGAATGTACCTATTTGTCTATAGCTAGTCAAATACTGTGTGCTAGGACGAACTATATCCCCTTGTCCAATACACCTGTCAGATGACGCACCTGAACAACCTAGCTTCCTACTAAAACATCAGCGAAAACAACATAAATATGAAGCATACTACACAATACTCATATCCGATCTTTTTCTAGCTACGTCAGATGTATGATGAATGCACGAGTTGAGATTGAGTAGTTGTCAAAGAAACCGTGAAGACTAAGTATGCTTCAGTATACATCGTGAGGTATGCAGGCCATACATGAGTTCAGATCTGGATGACCTTGATACAATCAGTCTGCGTACAATATCTCCCAAGAGATATCAGTTACCCAAGATCCAGCCCCATAAACTAGATGATACCGCACAAAGTATCAATGTTTCGAGGTGGATCGATACTTTGACCCCGTTGTTCCCTTGGTCGGTCTGTCGCTCGCCCTATTCCATGATCGATACTCGGACCGCTGGCGGCGGGAGTGACGTGCCGGTGCACCGCGGTTGGTAACTGCCGAATGATCTGTGTAATTGATGGACTCCTGGTTGTGTTCTTGATCGGACCCGTCACCGCTGGAACGACTCATACTTCGGGGCCGGGAGCTCATTTTGAATGGAGTTTAAGAAAAGGAGGTTCAGATTAATTATTGTTTAGTTGAGTTGATAATGGATCAAACAGAAGTACCGGTCCTCTCTTATACAGAGTGGCTGATACAAAGTGGCGGCGGTGGCACACTTCGCCCAAATATTGGTATTTACTTCATTGTGAACACATCTTGATGCAATATACAAAGGGGCAATTTGATAATTTCTTTTGTTGACTCGCCGGTATTTGTAGGTTGTTGAATGCCAACGGGTTTGATATACGTTTCTACCAAGATATATAAGTAACATGACCAGGAACCAATCCAAAAATGGATTGGTCGTGCCGATAAAAATCCCTAATTGATACTTCCATTAAATTATATACATATGTCGGGAGTTAGATGACAATGTCACGATATGAATGTCCAAAGAGGGAAAGGATAGACTTTCTGGACCTCGGCATAGAGGAAAATGAATTCCACTGCGGGGACAACATTTCAGTAATCTGATATTTCCTGATCTATTATTCTACCTTGTCCCAGTACGTTCAATCCTATTGGGTTAGCTATATACTTTAAATTCGACTACAAAGGTTCCACTATGCCGGGTCCTAAGATTACCCTTTACGTCGACATCGTCAGCCCCTTCGCATATATTGCGTTTCATGTGCTGCAGGTATGAAGACCGAAAATCTTGATATTTTTATGTATCTAACATGGTTCTAGAACTCACCCGCCTTTGCAAAATGTGAAATTACATATGTTCCGATTCTACTCGGAGGTTTGATGAATGCAACTGGCAACAGCCCTCCAATCAACGTCAAGAGTAAGTCCTAAATGAGTGGGAACATTGCAACAATGAAAGCTCACAGTATCTGCCATTCAGATAAGAAAGCCTACTTGGGCCAGCAGCGAGTGCGATGGGCGAAATATTTCTCAGTCCCGATTGTAGAGGGATTTCCCAAAGGCTTCCCCTTCCGCACACTAACCGTGCAACGTGCGCTGTGCGCAATCTCGCAGAAAGCCCCAGGAAAGCTCGCTACGGTAATCGGAGCATTATTCCACGCAGTTTGGGTTGAAGGCAACACAGCCATCGGTGAACCCGATGACTTCGCCCCCGTGATTGAGAGTGTACTTGGGAAGCAAGAGACGCTTGACATTTTGGCTGCTGTAAGTCCATTACAATACTCCCCTAATATTCTAACTAGTTCTGTACGAATGTGACCGCAAGGACTTAGCTAACTTGGCCCATAGATGAACACTCCGGAAGTCAAGGCCCTTCTGACGGCGAATACCGACCGATCATTTAACTCGGGAGCTTTCGGGCTGCCGTGGTTCGAGTGCACGAACTCCAAGGGCAAGACCGAGGGATTCTTCGGTGTTGATCACTTGGGCCAAGTGGCTGACTTCCTAGGTTTGGATCGCGCCCTTGACAGAGGATTCAGGGCGGCTCTCTAGGATCTAAGCACTATCAATTTGGATCGAGTTACTGTGTAAAGTTAGTTGTGAAATTTGCCACTCAAATAAATTCAGTTACTGCGACAGCTAATTATACATGTTAAGCAATGAACGAGGATCCTGTCCCCCTGGAGAAGAGATGCGATCAGCGACATCCGGAATGTTCGACTAGCCGCAAAAAAACAAAAATGATTCTAGACCTCCAGTCAATGGAGACTAGACCTCAAAACGCCAAGAATGTGCTGCCAGTTGTCTACTTCGTTGGCAGTGAGTGCTTATTGCTCATATTTTTCTCTCGAAGGAAGTCGCAAATCTGTTCGTTGCTCATTTTATCAATGCATTCGCGCTCTTCCTGGGAAAGTTCTGAACATTAACATCGTCAACAACCGAGTCATGTATGCTGGGAAACTCAAAACAAGAACATACCTTCAGGTACCGTCTCCTCAACCTCGTTGGATCCACCTGAAATAGAGCGAATGTGACCCCGAACGGTACGTAATGCTCCCTGCGCAGCAGGTAACGCACCCTCCATTATGGTATCCTTCGCGGCGACGATTCTCTCTTGGGCGGCGGAGCCAATGGAATTTCCAAACTCCGAGATCGAGCCACCAGGAGCCATCGAGTCCAATTGGTGTTTCATGCCCGCGAGAAGGCCTTCTCCTTCCTGCCCCTCGGCTTTCTGGAAAGCAGCGTCATTCGCCTTCATCTCGACCTCGGACTGCCTCCGTTGTCCGCGCGCAACACTGGAATCCAAATACAATGAGTCGCTGGAGGTATTTGGGATCATGGTGAATTGTTTTGCTTGGTTGGACTGAGCGAAAGGTTCGGATTCTGGCAACTGCATCCCCATCTCCTCCTTGGCCTGCCTCCGTTGTTCGAGCGCAACCTTGGAATCCAAGTACAATGAGTCGGTGGAGGTGTCTGGGATCATGGTGAACTTCTTCGCTTGCTTCGACTGGGAGAACTTTTCGAGTTCAGGTAACGACATGTGGGCGGAGAGTAATAGGAATTCTATGCAATGATAATAGTAAGGCGTAGGGCTGAGGCTGACGTAGGGCTGATATGGGGTGATCTGTTCAGATTGCGTATTGGGTGGAGGGTTATGACAGAGAGTAGAAAGAGGATTTTAAAAGTAGGCAGCCGGGATTTCTTTTGGGTAATTGGCCTTGTTTCACTGGTCTTTTCCTCCAAGAAACATGGGGGTCGATCGTTCCTAGTAATGATGTCATTGGGGTTCCACTTTTGACTGCGTTCATCGAGGCCAATATTTTGGACTGTTTTTATTTTCCCAATTCAGAGATTGGCGTATGTTATTATTCTAAGTAGAATCTGGAATTAAAGTGGTTTTTATGGGAATAACTAGCTCGGTTTCGCTAGGAAGAGGGCTAACTCGATCGGCCCAGGCTCTCTATTTGATCAAGGCATTTTCCTTGATCGTTTTAATGGTGTATGGAAAAAACAGGATATTTCAATTTGTTGATCCTGGGCTATGTATGTTGTACCATATAATCATATTCAAGACCCAACTAGTTGTAGACCGCAGCCTGAAGGCCAGGAATGATCTCGAGATCCTTCGGCTTATAGATGTACTTCCCCTCAGACGAAATCTTGACATCTTTATTTCTTCGCTGCTGCTGTGTTTGTCGAACTTTAACCCACTGCTCGGTCGTGAGGTGCTGTCCAAGTTCAGTAAACACGTTGGTGGTCAAGCCAAGCCTCTGGAGGAGGGGGCTGTTCTGAATTGGGTCAAGAACAATGTGATTGTTGGGGCTGCATTCATTAGAACCCGAAGACTCCGGATGCGGGATACCCAAAACAACTTACCGAGCAAAATACAGCACGCCCAACCGGTCTATGTGAGCCTGATCGGCTGGGGGTGCATGCACCCGATGAATACTAGACTTGATCAAACCACCAGTGAGTGCCGTCAAGGCATCGCAGGTGTTGATTGTAATAGTCCCATCCTGGGGCCGTACCCACTTCCAGTTACCCTCTGAATTGAGGATCTGAAGTGCGGCTACGGGTTGCCGGAACAGGAGAGTAACGGTTCCCAAGTCTGTGTGGCCGGGGGTGTAAAGTTCACCGACCTTCTTGTTATCCTCAGCACTTCGGGCAGCGTAATGCATATAGCGCAGATGATCCTCTCCCTTGACATCGTATTGATGATCGCGGACTAGTTGATCTTCATCCGGCAACTCAAGTAGAATTGCGAACAGACGGAGAAGCTTCTCAACAACTTCGGTGTGACATTTCTAGAGTTATTGTTAGAGCCTCAAATGACGACGACGAAAGGGAAAATACCCGACTGAAATTTTCAATCTCCTTAATATTCTCTGTAAGGACGGAAGGCTGGGGTCGCTCGTGGTGACCGTCGAACTTTGGGAGATTGTACACCTGGACATTATCCTTGACGCCATTTCCTAGGCTGAGTAAGATGTGTCAGTATTAGACAAATGTATATCTGAAAACAACCTGTTTCTTACATTCGTTGCCCAGCAGGACGGTAAGAGTTGTATTCACCTCTCTCAAGGTCACTGGCACTGTGGAACTTGAGTTTCTCTTCAAGTGGTAGGGCATAGAATTCCCGCCCTAAAGCAAACTGGTTGTCGATCTCTTCTTGACTGATGTTGAAGTTCTTCACGTAGAAGAATCCTGTTTACAGACTCTAATCAGAACTGAACATAAAGATGAAATTTAAGCAAAGTGCGGCTTGGGGGTATGGGCTGTTTTAGATGATGGGGTGGTCTCGTATAGATCCTCGACCTCGGTGTGGAGCGTAAGAAGGCATCGACTCACCAACATTTCTAACAGCATGATCGAGCTGTTTGACAAGATCTTCCTTTCCCCTTGGCTGTTCGTACTGGCTTAGGTCCAGTGTGATAAGTTCGGCCCAGTCAACTAACCGGGCTGTCAGCAAGACAAAAGGACCAAGAAAACAAGAAGCACTCACGGTCTTCCTTGGTGACAGGGACCTGGTCATATTTTTCAATATATTTTCCCGGCATATTGAAATGCCGATGAGTTGCCAAGAGGTGATAATCGAGTATCTTTAGTGGCTTCAAGTTGCTCTTACAACAACACCTTAGGAAGGATACGCCGTATATAAGTCCACCGGCACTTCATTCGGATCACATACCCCGCGTCAGATAATCGGAAGAAATAATCAAGAGCACGCAATAAACTCGATGAGGGCCTGCGATAAGGCTAATTCCAGATTTCGTGTGGTAGACCGGGCTGCGCGCACGCCATCACACAAAAGTATGTCGCCTCCACTGGCGCATAAAAGCGAGCAGTAAATGTGCTAGTTTCGTATTCAGACTTCCTTTGATCTAGTTGATGGCCGGGTTTGGCCATTTGGATCTGCCGAAGGAGTGATGGTGACAGCGAGCGGTGGAATTGGTTCACATTTGCCAGCTTATCTTCTCTTCTTACATCCCGGTATTCGATGGTGGGAGAGGATCATATAAGAAATAATGGTAATGGCAGGCCCTTCAATGTGCTTTGTCTTTTGTGTCTTTGGAGATAGCATCGGACGTCCGACAAGCCTTACTCATGTCTGACCCGAAGCAAAAATCCGGGAGATTATCCCCATTGGGCCTTTTCAAAGAGGTGTTTAATTGGTATCCATCCTCTTATCCTTCTGAAGAGAGAAAGTAAGCATATCAATGCCCAAGAATGTCCCAGTCAAGGTGTGTTGACATTTCTAGACTACTGTTCAAGTTAGACCTGTCAATTCTGATATTCGCCTGTCTCTGCTGTAAGTGTGCACCCGTTCAAATGACTTTCAGAGAAACGTAACTAACAAACTTAGTCTTTGTCAAGTATCTAGGTAGGCTGATGTCCCCATTCATTGCTCCTCAGCTCGATGCCAATATAATGCAGACCAGACAAACATTGGCAATGCGTATGTTAGTGGTCTAAAAGAGGACTTCGGCCTGTACGGAAACGAGTTGAACTACTTCAATATCTGCTACTATACATCATATGTGATATTTCAAATCCCAGGACTGCTGCTCATGTCACGCCCAAAGTTGTGAGTCCCAGTAATTGAAACGTCCTTCCACTAATAGCAAGCCACTAACTAATTCTATAGGGCTCGCTGGTTGCTGCCTACTCTTGAAGTACTCTGGGGTATTTGCACATTTACTCAAAGTCGTGTTACAAACGTGCACCAGATATACGCCCTTCGCTTCTTGGTTGGAATGCTAGAAGCACCCGTTTTTGCTGGAACCCATTTTGTTCTTGGTAAGTGGAAGAGGTATATATATATATATATATATATTGTCGTCTGGAATTATCCTAACCATAATGAAGGTTCATGGTACACGGGGCCCGAACTATTCAAACGAGCCGGAACATGGTTTATCTGTAACCCGCTCGGTACAATGGTGAGTGGATATCTACAAGCAGCCGCTTATACCAATCTCTCTGGTGTTGGAGGTATGCCAGGGTGGAGATGGCTGTTCATAATTGATGGCATATTCACCATCCCCGTGGCCTTAATTGGATTTGTTATATTTCCTGGTATCCCGGGCTCACCCAGACCATTCTATCTGACGGACCGCGATATTACATTGGTCAAGGAGAGAACCGAGAGAGCCAAAATTCGTCAGCCTGGCAAGATGAATCTCAATGTCTTCAAGAGGACTTTTAAGAGATGGCACATCTGGGTGTTTATCACTTGCTTCGCGTAAGTTCTGAAGGCAACGGTTGACTATTTGTAGTCAATACGCTAACTTCGGTTTTTATCTAGATGTATGATGATCTCCTCCTATCCAATCAACTATATGAGTCTGTGGCTCAAAGCAGAGGGATACTCCGTGACTCAAATTAACCAGCTGCCGACTGTCACCTACGCGATTTACATCGTGGTGTCCTGGCTAGGCACAACGTTAGCTGCAATCTATCCGGAATGGATCATTTTTACTATTGCATCGGCGTGCTGTCTATTCTCGACATTATGCTTGATAATTTGGAATATCCCTACAGCGCTGAAGTAAGATACATTCTGGCTCCATTCAATATTTTAGATCCTATCACTAACAAGGCTCAAAGATTCGTTGCTTGGTATACTTTCGGAGCGTCTGGATGCTTGAGTCCAATTCTGTACTCCACTATCAATATAATAGTGAGGGACGATGCTGAGGAGCGCGCTCTCATCATGGTATGCCCAGTTTCCTCACCCACCGCATTGAAAAAGAGTCATACTAACGACCATATGTATTGCACTACAGGGCTCCATGATGTCATTTGGTTATTCGTTTAACATCTGGGTGCCGTTGCTGGCATACCCAACCGCCGGCCCCGACGGTGCACCACGATGGCCAAAGGGATGGCCAATATCCTTTGTCTTTTTCTTCCTCCTATGGACTAGCTTTGTAGGCTCTATTTACCTATGGCGAAGGTAGAAGCCCGTCGTTGGATATTGGTGGACATTTAACTGACATCTCATTATAGGGATCAAAAGAAGCAAGACTTGGTGTCACCCCAGGAAGCTAGTGATGAGGAAACGGAAACTGTGGTAGTTGACGGGAGCCTGGCATTGAAAAGCTGAATTGAATGTGGTGGACGGCTTGGAATTAGAGCTCTGCAAAGCCCATAAATGGGGCCGAACCCCGGGTCTAAAGCCCAACCAGCAGTGGGCCACGGGCCTAACCCTGTATTCTCGGTAGAGGTCGAGATACCGCGGAAAAGGTTGATATATTGGGATTTGTATAAGATTACTACTACTTTCTAACTAAACCTATATAATTTATATTATCTAAATAACGCATTCTCCCGCATTTTTAAACTTGATATATAAACCTAACTAATAAATGATTTCGAATCGATTAGAATAATAAAATACATATTACCCCGAGATAAGGGCCAGAAACGGGGTCTAATATTGAGACGTATCAACACGGGGATGGGTGCTAAAGATTTCCGAGCAGGATGCAAGCTTGTGAGAACGCAAATGAATCACGTCTCCGAAAAGCTAAGCGAGGAGTGAAGATAGTGCAGTGGCAAAGGGAATGAAACATTGTAACTTAGCTCGGTGATTTATTTCCCGTAGCCGTGCCAAACCACCAACATCGGGACACCTTCGCAGACACCTGGTTACGACGGGGACAAGGTGTCTGCCGAAGTCCTTCTAGATTTCACATTAGATAAAGGTATGAATAGGCCGAGAAATCATGGAGATCCAGCTTGATGTTCCCTAGAGAGTGATCTTGAAAACATACAACACAGGTAGCTAAATATCTGCATGTGAACTCGAACATAACGGGACAATAGAAAATCAAACCGACTTGAATCCGGATGCCTCGTCATATACCGGGCTTGCTGTATCCGAAAGTCCGGATGGAAGGGAGATCCTGCCGAAGGCTCAGATATGTCATTATGATGATTACCATCAAATTTCTCCTGATTGGAGCATCCATTCAAGTCAACACACTTGGAAGATCTTTCTAGACTTGAATGGGGTTGCTTTCATCCCGATATCTCTTGAATTACTATGATACATGCATTTATCTGAGGTCAGTATGAACTAGTACAAAAATGGTCCAATGAGGACGAGACATTTATTTCCTACAATTACGTCTAGTATAATGAGACCACACTTAGATATTCCGAAGCCCCTGAGGAACATTTTCTATAGTGGCTATAATGACTTTTGTCCTTCGTCCATCAAAAACCACTCCATTCAGTCAACTCGTGTCACGAGCTATTCATAGACGTGGATTTGCTACTTCGCCTGTCGTCATGACACCTCGCATCAGTGAAACAATCAGAAAAGATCACCGGGAGATTGAATCATATTTTGGCACGATAATTAGCTCCACAGACCCGGATGAGCAGGCACGCTTTCAGAACCTGTTCACCTGGGAACTAGCTCGACACTCGATTGGGGAAGAGCTTGTTGTGTATCCTCTATTTGAGAAGATGCTCTCTGATGGCGTGCAAATGGCCAATAAAGACCGCAATGAGCATTTGGAGGTGAGTTAAGCTAATCCACCAACCATTATAGTGCTAACATGATGAGTATAGGTCAAAAAGCAACTGAAGGCATTTCAAAACATGACACCATCAGATATCCGGTTTCTTCCTGCTATCAGGGAGTTGATGGACAACCTTTCCAAGCATATCAAAGAGGAGGAATTGACCGATTTGCCCAAGCTGGAAGAAGCCTTGTCTCAAGAGGATAGTGAGAGCTACGCTAAGTCTTTTAGCCGAACGAAGATGTTCGTTCCTTCGCGTTCTCATCCTAGTGCACCGGACAAGCCACCGTACGAGACCGCTGTCGGGCTTTTAATGGCACCGATCGATCATCTCGCAGACCTGTTCCGCAAGTGGCCTGACACCGCAGGGATGCCCAATTCATCTACGAAATAAAGTCACGCTCGTGTGAGCCTTGCAGACTCTACGTACTTTATCGGAGTTAAACTTCGTTATTGTGTACATGATATGTAAATCAATGCTGGTTTGTTTTGAGCCTATGATCCCTTAATGTTATTCAAATCTCTTGACTGACGTGGGACGGCTGCCTATGAATGATGTATTGAACGAAATGCTTTCAGTTGCTAGCTCCGCGAGGCTGGCTATTGATTTCCACGTTGTGACATCCAATGGCCTGTCCGTTGTCAGCCCTGTAGTATGCCCGGCGAACCGTGCTCAAACCTTACCGAGGTGCTTTTGCCAGCGATTGGATACTCACTTCAGCGCGCGCCCGTCAGCTTCCCGGTGACGAAGCCATATACCTCCCTCGTAGTCCATCTCACACGTAGTCGGGACGATGCCCAGGGCATGGTGGTAAGGTAGTTGCTGTTGTGGAGTGGGGGAAAAGAAGAAACATAACGTTTGAAATTATCTATATAGTGATAATATTGAATAAATAGTAGTTTTAATACTGAAACTTGATAATGTTACCTTAGTAAGTGAATGTGAGCCTCTGCACTCACCCGCCAGTTGGCGGGATGGCGCAGCAACCTCCTGTTGTTATACTCCTCTCCACAGAAGGAGGGCGATATTGCCAAGGTAAGGCATGGTTTTCAATCCCCGTGTGCTATTTCTGTATCGAAATCATACATGATAATTTGCATGGAAGTAGATAAGTGAAAGGGAAGAAGAGAAGATGAGAAGAGTGGGGGGGGGGGCAGACAGTCGTCATATATATACACTCAGACATCATATAATAGTCCCAAATGCTTGGAGTATCTCATTATACATAATTCTGGAAGGAGGAATGCTGGAAGGAAAGTCAAGGCTGTTGTGCTGGCGATTTTGCCTCTCTAGGCGCTATCATCATCTTGTATGGATGTCGAGGCCTTTGCCGTTTAATAAGATGACTATCCTAATTTGACTTGAGATACCTCGACATTGAGTGTTCAGAAACCGATATCGAACCCAGACTCATTTATAGAAGTACTAGTTGGTAGGGTGTTGTTGAGTCGCCCGTAGTTGAGACTAGAAATAGATCGGCGTTAACCCATTGTTGTGGGATTTGAGTTATTACGCCCCTAATATACTACCGTTCGATGAAAATTTTAGAAATATCTTCCTATTTGCTTCAGAGCCCCCTTTGTGCCAACAGTCTGATAGCAAACACCAACCAGGGGAATGTGATTCAAGGCTGCGTAAATAATCTTCTATTTCCTCGTGATTTAAAACTCCCTACACCTGCCGCGGTTTTGTATCTCCATCTGGTGTTTGCTGACATTCGACACCTGTGGCTTCTCTGACATTTTGTCTTGGAGCCTGATACAGTCTTGGTGTGGCATTCACCGATTTGCCTGCCGCACGGCCTCCTTCCTATATACCTGGCATGTTGCTTGATACCGAGATGACATTGAGGGCTGCTTGCCGAGGAGGGGCGTTAATCATGCAAGGCACGGTACAAAATATCGACTTGTCGATAGCTTGAAGATTTTGGATTTTGAATAGAGGAAAAAGAAAAGTTGAAATGAAACGCGAAGTGAAGAGAAGAAGAGAAGAAGAGAAGAAGAGAAAGAAGAAAAAGGGGAGAGAGTGGGAAGACTGAAGTCCAACGACAAGATTGAGCGAACGTCATAGGACAGTAAAAGAGAGGAAAACGAAACGGCTAGTCACAAGAAATAAACACTATATGGTGATATATTGAAAATCTACAAATGAAATATATTTCGTATCATTAATCAGGCACGTTTCTGTAAATAAATCCAAGGTATGTAGGCAGCAGGCTGGTCGTTATACCTACAAATATACACAATATCCAGGACATTTAGCAAACTGGCCATATTGCAAGTTGGAAGAAAATAACTCACATGCTACCCAACTGCCAATGATAGGTCCTGGTACAAAGATATAATTTCCTCATCTAGTCTATAGGGTATCTGCAACTATGGCAAAAAGTAACCGTCTTTTCCGGATTTTCTCTGTGTATATACAATCAATGTGTCGGCTACATTACTGCTCAAAAGATCTCATAACAGCAATACCAGCCACCGAGCCCGATGCAACACGATTGTGACCTAAAGAATTACTAGTTAGTCTGTGGAATTGATAAGAAAGTTGCTTCAACATACCACCGTATCGAATCCGTTCCCATCTGACTGTCTTCACTATCTCAGTGCCATCTTGACCACTGATCTGATTCTTCCAAATCTTGACCTCGCTAGGATTGCCGTCCTCGGCTTTGTGATATGTCATAGCGCCAGGGGCACCCTTGATATGTCCGCCAGTGGCAGCCACCCAAACGCGGCGTCCTTCATACCAGGGGATTTCAGCATCGTCGAAAGCGTGAACAATAGTCAGATCAAGGCTTTTATCGGTGTATTCAGAGTTCAAGCTGTTCAATGAAGTAGTATTGACGCCGGTAAGACGTGCCAGTCTACCAGCCGTGTCCCAGTGGTCCACAATGTGACTCAACAACCACTTCTGAGCCCGAGGATATCCCATGATGGGGGACAGCATAGGTGGCGTGATGCCTTTGAAGCTATATGATTCGAGGAGATTTGTTAGGCTGCTGAACGACGCCAATAGAACGACGCCGGCGAATGGCTCAGCATTCTTGATCGCTGGTTGTATAGCTGCCGGGTCAGGCGATCCGAATGCAAAGCGCTCTGCCACTGCGGCTGTGACTGCAGTTCCAAGACTTTGGCCTACAATAGCGATGCGAGAAGTCGGAACTTTTAATGACCCCGCAGTAAGGAAGTTAATGAGGGACACTCCATCCGTGATAAGACCTTCCTCTGTGGGAGATCCAGTGCTAACACCAAAGCCACGGTAGTCAATTGTAAAGACGTGGACTGGGTTTGATGGGGTAGACAGGCTCAACATCGTGTTGTAAGTGGCAGGGCGTTGAGCAGAACCCAAGTGCGCCGCATTTCCGTGGACTTCATTCCTCAGAAGTTAGCTTGTTACAGTGAGAATTCAGGTTGTCTATCACTTACAGCTTACAACGACTCGTGCATTGGGGTCATTGGCGAGAAGCTTGTGGGCAACTGTCTTCGTGTAATCCTCAGCGGGGCCCGTAGAGGGATTCTCCATTAATTCCTTTTCGTGTTCCAGGCAAAGATGCAAGGGCATCAAGTGCCAGCCGTAAATGGTTTCATTATCAGGTGTCACCAAATGAAACGGTTGGACTTGGGTTCCTTTGAGGATTGGTTAGCAAACATACTTCCGTTGGGGTTCACCTGGACAGAGGGGCCGTACTCAAAAATCCAAATTGCTCAACTTGATTGACATCCTGCCACAAGCTGGGGTTGATCTTGTTGGCATAAAGAACACTGTGTTATCTATGTTAGCTCACTTTCGGCCTAGACCTGAGAACTAGATACATACAAGCGTTGGACCTCTGGGAAGGTTAAGGAGAGGAGACACAGCACATAGAGCAGTCCTCCACAGGCAAGAGACCAGTAGGCTTTCCTGAAAATAGGTTTAAGCTCAACCATTATGCGTTCAGGGGTTGAGGGGATGTCCGTTGACAGCCACACAAGTCTCGGGGGACGGAGGTGAGCGGACGACGGCGCTGATAAGCGGCGCGTTATCGCGTCTTTCTCATTTCTCCCTTCTAAGGATCCACCCTCTCTCCATCCCCCTCTAACATTTCGATATACGATGTGTCTTATAATTCCATCGTGGGTATCGTGATTGTCTCATTGAATCCACCATGGCCGAAAAGCGCAAGCTTCCGTCCCGGCGTGAGTCTGCAGCCAAAAGACGTGTCTCCGAAGCCACGCCGCAGTCTCACAAGAAAAAGGCGCCCACTCCTCGCGCTACATCGCCCGAACTAGTTGACGCCCCTTTACCAACAAAAGTTAAGGATGGAGATAGCTTGCCTATTGTCCGCATGCGACAGCCGCTTTCCTTGCCGGACAATGAGTACCAGTCAATCGCCCAAAGGTTCGGAATCGCGACCCCCATTGGTATTGCATCACTGACATTCTCTGTCGTATCTCAACAGTGCAGTCCTCCTTGCTTCACTCGAACGGTCGAAGAAAAAGTGGCTGAGCGATGGCATCCTTGTTCGATACTACACTAAGCCGAAAAAGACGAAGCGCGAACAGACCGAGAAGAACAACCCATCAAAGGACACTATGACAAAGATTGGACCATGCGATGTCACCATTGGTCCCCATTTCTTTGATGCCATGATTTACATTGTCAAAGATCCCAGTGCGCCGGCGGCACTCCAATATGCACCCTCGCAACGACCGATGGTTCACTATGGCCACCCTAATAACTTCCAACAATACCGACCGTATCCAACCCCATCCAATCAACAACGACCTGCGCAATATTCTCCTGCTCCTCCGGGTCGCCCTGGGTATACAGGCAGCCACCCCTCACCCCAGGCAGCTCGTGACCCGAATCAACCCTCCCCTCAAGGAGGACAAAAGCCACCACAAGGACCAAAGGGCCAGCCTGCCAAGCCAAGTCCGGACCCTGTGATTCAAATGCTGGCTACAAGGGCAGCTGCAGACCCTGAACTGAAGGCCTTGATGCGTGTTGTTGCCTCAAGCCAAGCATCCCAGGAGCAGCTCCGCGCTTTCCAAGCGCACATCGACGAACTCAACGCAATCATCAAATCAAGAGAGCAGCAAGAACAACGGCAGCAATCGTCAACAGCACAACAAATCACACAACAGTCAACCCCTACGCCACAAACTCAGACTCCATCCAAAGCTTCCAAGCAGCCACCCGCAAAGACGGAGGGCCAGCCTGAGACCCCTGCTCAAGCTCCAGCAAGCCAGGCTCCTAAACCGCCCCAGAGCGCCACTGGTTCGAGCACCATCAAGGAAGAACAATCAGCCGCAGGGCCCAATGGCTCCAAACTTGTGCCGTCTGATGGAGGGCGCCCCGTGGCACCGACCCAATCAGCGACTTCTGGTTCTGCAAGCAATCCAGCTCCTGCTCCTATCTCTCAGCAGCAGACTTCTGTGGTAAACCCGACACCACCAGGAATTGCTCCACAGCCAGGAGCACGACCGGGACCACCATATGCCCCCCACCAACAACCTTCTTATGGGTCACAACCTCCACTACAGTCTCGACCACCCCAATTTGGTACTCCTGTTCCATTCCCCCGTCCACCTCCAATTCCTTACGTCTCGCCACTTGGATCCCCACCAGTAAACTATAAGTCTGTGGTTTTCGAATTCACATCTCCCTTAACTCCATATGGAAGCAGTACCTCGGGTCACGCCGGTTCGGGTGACCGCTATCTTTTCCCTGAGTACACCATCTTGGAATGGCTCCCAGCTGAGAACACGGTCATCGCCTCGTTTCTGGTAGTCCGGAAGGTGGCCCCAAATACACCATTCCCTCTTGAAACTGCCACAGAAGCTGCCAACTCCAAAAGCAAAGGCAAAGGGGCATCGAAAACTAAGAAGAGTGAACCAAAAGTCAAAGCCGACAAGGGAAAACTGCCAACTGATACCCCAACCCCCAGCCAGCCAGGCACGCCTACACCTGGAACTCCACAAAAGCAGGAACCCACCGACCAAACAGGTATTCCAACCCCCAGCCTCCCAGGGACTCCTGCCAATGAGGCGAATCTTAAGGAATACTGGCAACCCGTCACTTTCCGTATCCACGCCCCCAATGCCAAAATCCTCGAGCCTCTAGCCCGGGTCGTCAAGCCTGCCGACGAGGTGCGCAAATATATGAACGATATCATGGACCGCGCCGAACGTGCGCCAGATGGCTACCTGGCGATGCGTCTGCCTCGCGAGTCAGCATCAGAATCCTTCGAAAAGGACGGGACACCTGCTTCTTCTGGCAATTTCGCTACCGGCACCCGCAGTCGTCTTTCCCGTGTTCAGCTCGCTGGCGACGAATCTGAGGTAGAGGTTTCTGGTTTCGAATTCGAGGAGGATGAAGAAGATCTCAAAGATTTCTACGATGCGCCGAGCGGGCTACCGCCATTGAAAGCATGATGACAGGTTCATGTACCGCTAGAGGCGCCTGGAGGTTCATGGATCCTTACGCTCAGTGATTATTTGACATCACAAGTAGGCTGTCAGAAAGATCGAGTAACCCTATAGCACTGATCTAGCAATGACACATACGCGGCCGAAAACGAAAAGCCTCCGGCGGCAGGACCTGCGAGACAGCTCGGATATAGATGGAATTCTGGACCCCCAGGATGCCCCTAGGTTGATTGTACAATAAATAAGGTCATATTTGCGCCAGTTGTTAAATGTACGATAATGAATTGCTGCAGCGCTTCCGTTTATATACGCACTGGCTGTTCTCTCTAACCCCCACGTTCAGCGGAAGTAACACGCTCTCCAACTAGGTTTAAAAGACGGCAAGTGAACTGTATAAAAAGATGCTTCTGAAAATGCCGCCAGCTTTGGATAGCTAGAAAAATTCAAGCCTGTAGGACAGGTAATTAATGTAGGTTTACGATAAGCTCGCTAGCGATCTCAACACAAATGACACCAAGTCGCAAAAAGTACCCGACAGCCCCGTCGCATAAGACATTCAAACAAACAGTTGCTCGGTACACAGGCAACAAACGAACCCTAGCCCCCTCCACCAGCATATCGCGCCTGATCCCCAACAATACCGGCCGCCTCCAAAAGCCACCTCGCACTCTCGGTTGCCGGATCCCCAGCCCCAGCCTTGATATTGATATTACGACGGCGCTCAGCCTCCCGTGCCTCGAATTCCCACTTCGCACGCTGAATCTCCACCGGACTCAAGCTCGGGTCTGCGGAGAATGACGCGTCTGGGTCAGGGACGATACCCCAAATCTCTAGGGTATAAAGATCAAGCTTGATCTTTGTCGGCGGGTCTTCGGGGGAAGTATTGGCAGCGGGTAAGAAGACGCCGTTGTGTCCGAAGGGTGCGGCGTGAAACTCGGCTGTTTCTATGTTCGCGTCGATAATAAGACTACCTGCTCCGTGCGGGGACGGGTAGGTTTGGTTCGTGCGGGATGGGGCGGGGATTTTGCAGCCGATTGCGATGCCGGTGTTGGGTGAGAAATAGGCGGTTGGGGTGTTCGGCTTTGTTGCCGATGGAGAGGGATTACCCGGGAGGAGCATGTGTTTTGGTGATAGTTGGAAGAGGCAGGGGAGGAGGTCGGATGTTTTTGAAGATGAGCCCGAGGTTGATATGGAGGTTTTCCATGGTTGGGGAATGTAGGCGCCTAGCGTTACTAATTCCTCGCTAGATGAGTCTGCTAACGATCCTTGCAGAATGAGGAGGGTGGCAGATTGCCAGGTAAGGACGTGGTGGGAGAAATATGTTAAGGAAGACCCATGGGCGCTTGTCGAGAAGACGGGATGTAGTTTAAGGTCACTTCGGAGAATATTGATATCGGGTGATGTGGAAGGGAGGAAGAATGAAAGATGTGAGTGAAGTGTCGGGTTTAATATGGCTGACTCGAAGCTTCCCGGAAGAGTAAGTGCAGCCGGTGGTAAGGGAAGTTCTTCGTTCTCCTTGCTCTCCTGTTCGCTCTCCGTGGCTAAACCATTTTGGCGACGTTGAGATAGGTTCAAGTTCTTGCTAAAAAGCATGTGCTCGAATAGAGCAGTGAGCGGATCGAACAGATATGGCAGAGATAGTGATATTGTTCGGGCGAAAGCCTTGTAGGTTATCCCACCATCACTCTCTTCCGGAGAAAAGGCTGCAATGATACTGTCTGCTTCTTTCTTAACCAGTTCCATACGTCGACCATCCAGTCCAGATGTATATACCTTCAAAGACTCCAATGGCTTCAGTGGTGCAATGACAAGGAGTAGCATCAGCAACCGGCGGAATGTATCGATTGAAATCCGGGTCTCGTAAACGGTCTTGTCAACACGGTGATCATGTTTGAATACTTCAATCGCATCAAGAGACTCCAGTGCTGCGAGTGCAAGATCATCATCCTCATCCTCATCGTACTCATCGTTGGCCGGTTCGTCTATGGAGAAACCTAGAGCATGGGAATTCCCAGCCGAAGCTCCAGATTCTTCGGTGATAGATTCTCCTTCAGAATTGGCGGGAGTCTTTCTCCCCACATCAGCCAGACTGCCAAATAGTAACTTAGTTCGATCCTTGTGTCCCCGCTTCAGTGCTTTCCCGTAGCGCTCGGTCAAGAGCACAACCACTTTGACCATGGCCTCAAACGTCAACACACTGGGCGCGAGCGTGTTTTGAAATGGAAATGCTCCCAGATAAGAGACCATGCGAAATATCACCGGCCCTGCATCTAGCGACTGCTCCTTTGAAGAGGTATAGATACCATCTGGGATACCCAAGAAATCTGAAAGGACTTTCTCATTCCAATACCGCAGGCCTCCCTGCTCCAAGGCCCGGGAGAAGAAGTTGTCTTTGAAATGTGCGAGCTCTAATGGACTGAAGCATTTTGTGGCAAAGCGCTCGGCGAGCACGGAGCTCAACTCCTCTGTTTATGCATGTGGTCAGATACAATTGGTATTGACAAGATGTCATTGACCAAATGGAGGGTATTCCATGTCAAGTCAAAGCCATATGACTGGCAATTATGGTTGATCAAGAGATAGGATATTCATATGTCTCCTGAACACAAACAGAAAGGTAACAGATAGGACTCACCAGGGGATGATGCACCATGCTCATTCGACTGTCCTGCACCCATCGTTGATAGTTGATGCGGGGAGGACCCCACTGCTGGGCTGCGTGTTCCGTCACAGTGCTCAAGAGCTGAAATGAAGAGAGAAGTTGGAAGAATATAAAGACCGGTGAAATTCAATGGTTTAGAATGGTCAAGGTAGTTTCAAGAAATTGCGCAGCACCAACAAACAATAAATAGTAAACATAAACTGCGCTCTTTCATGGGACGACGTCAGGCAGTCTGCCTGAGGCAGAATGGCTCTAGACTCTTGCCTGGCTGCCTGAGGCTGAAAATTAGGTAAAATTATGTAATGGTCGATCATGTGCCAACCTGGGCAGGTGCCCTGGGACCACATGACCAGCAATTTACTATTACGGTTGCTAATTCGACTGGGCTAGGCCTCTTGGTATCTCCAGTTTATCACTAGTAGCTTCGAAAACCCAGGGCACTATACTATCAGTTCTTGTGCTACATCCCTTTGGACTTTTTTCTTCTTTTTCACCAAGCCCGTCCCTCGCTACCCTACTCGGCAGTACCTCTGGCATGATGCCTTCGCTCTCTATGATTTGGCTGAGGCGTCAGTTGACTAGCCTCCTGGCTCACCCCCGAATCAATCCGAGCAGTCTGTCCAAAGCCAAGATGCTTCGGAGAGAAACAGTACGTTTTCATGAAAATGGGAGACCAATCAAAATGCTCCAAAGTCCATTAGCATAAGCACACCATGTGCTTTCCCTCGGGAATCTCACTGCAATCACAGTCAGCCCAACTATGATCCGAACCAGAGTACCAGATATTGGACATCATATCGATTGGATTACCTTCCGTACTGTGTATGGTTTCAATCAGCATGCTCTCGTGATGATCGGAAGGTCATATATACGCACTTCAAAAAAAGGCAAGGATTGTCTCTAAATTGTGGATAGAGTCTTCCTGATATCCAATTGGACATTGGCTTCCTATGGTCTACGCGTGAGTTATGTGGGAACTAACTGGCAATGCAACTAACGACATAACATCACCGACGGCTACTTCCTTTCCTATTAGGAGCGGGCATTCATTAAGGGGTTAAAACGTGAATCGATCATGTTATTTTGACAATCAAATGAAGAAGTGCAGATTGATATGCAATTCCACTGCACGGAAGCATAGGACCTTGATATGGCCTACGCCTCCGGGAGCAGTATGGCCCAGGTCTTCTAACACTAGTGTTGGCAGGGGATATCCCATAGTATGCCCTGTAGGGCTGCACATACACGCAGAACCGGTAGCTAGTGCCTGCAGTGACGGCGAAGAAAACTTCCGACCCGAACACCAGAGGTCGGATGTACAACGCGGGGTCGGCGTGATAGGGAAGGACATAGTCGCCGTTACGGATCGCTGCAGGTTGATGTTGCTTAGGGAGACACTTTCTAGGACAGGTGGGGTGGTAATGGTCAAGCAACACAGGGCGAGACGAGCTGCGTGCTCGAGTCGAAAGATTCGGATCTGGCCGTGAGTGTCACAGAAAGCTGGAGAAAGAAAGCTGCCGAGTTGAACACCACACTACACTAATTTCCACAATTTTACTTTACACGCTTACGGTTGAGCGAAAGTTGAGACCGGTAGCCCCCAAAATTCGAAAGGTCTGCCCACGCCGTGAGAGCTAAGATTTACTCGAAACGTGGGTACCTAAGTCTCATTCTGATCAAAATAGTGTGCAATAAGACCCAAACCCGACTGCCCAAACGCCTCTAAACAGTGATCTCTGTTTTTAGTCGGGATTCAATATGCGTATATATAATTTGAGCGAGAATGAAATCACGGAAGTATCACACATCAATACTCTGTCTCTCTCCTTTGTATGTCACGACAACATGCATCTCCCTGTCGATCCTCAATTGACACTTCCGGACCTACTGGTGATAAAAGAGCTCCTCAGGCAGAATGCGCAAGAAAATGAGTACAGCACCAGCAAAGACACGATCCAGAAGCTGAAGTCTCTCAATGACACCTCCGATCCTGAGTTCGACCCCACGGTCTTCCAATTCTGGGAGACATGTCTGCTGCGGGAAAGACTTCCCCTTCCAATACGACAGCACCTACTGGAGCCATATATTCGCTGGGTGCAAGGTATCGTACGCTTTCCAACTGACGTGGTGATGGTCACGCACCTCCTGCTCTACCTCACCACCTCCGTCCCCAGTGCACTCTGGCTCTACTGCTACCACTTCAACTGGATCCATGGCCTTCTCCACTGGATCGTGCATGTATGGTATGCGGGGAGCTACACACTCATGAAGCATCAGTAAGTACACATGAACGGCGTGTTGGCACCTCGATATCGTCTGATCGACACCCTCTTCCCATACATCGTTGATCCCTTCGTTGGCCACACATGGAATTCATACTATTACCACCACATGAAGATGCACCATGTCGAGGGCAATTGGCCCCGAGACCTCAACTCGACCATGTGGTGCGATCGAGATTCAATCGCGGATTTCGCCCGCTATGTCGGCCGGTTCTTTTTTCCCATCTCACTGGACCTGCCGGTGTATCTACTTCGCAGGAGCCAGTACTACACTTCTTTCAAGACGGCTTTCTGGGAGCTCAGTAACTACCTAGCCATCGCTCTGCTGTTCCGCTACGGTCAAGCACAGGTGACACGCTGCGTCTTCCTTTTACCCCTTTGGACACTTCGTGCTGGATTGATGGCGGGCAATTGGGGCCAGCACGCCTTTGTGGATCCTAATGATCCTTTGTCGGATTTCCGGTCTAGTATTACCTTGATCGATGTTGCCGTAAGTTTGCACCCGATGTAGTTGGTCCACTTCATTAAGAGGGACTGCCTGAACTAACATCTTTCTCTCCAGAGTAATCGATTCTGCTTCCATGACGGTTACCACACATCACACCATCTGCATCCTCGGCGCCACTGGAGGGAGCATCCCGTGGCGCTTCTTCAAGACCAGGAACGTTACTCGGACGAGCGGGCGCTGGTGTTCCAAAATCTGGATTATCTCATGCTGACTGTTAAACTGTTCCGAAAGAATTATGCGCACCTGGCTCGATGCATGCTTCCAATCGGTGCTGAGCAGAGATCAATGACTCTATAACAGCGGGAAAACTTGTTACGCAATCGTACTCGGCGATTCACCGAGCTGCATTTAGAACATAACAGCGTATCTAAGCGGCGATAAGCTAGCATCCAAGCATCGGACTAGGGTTGAAAAGTTCTCTTTGGCGGAAATTAATGCGCCAGTGCTTTTACGAAAGGCGTTGTTCAAATCACACATGAAAATGCGTTTTAAGACGGTCCAAATTAACAGCTGTACAAATAATACGAATGGAAGACATAGTACGGAGTACATCCATGCATACTACTATAGTAATAGTACAATATAAATTACATGTTATGAAACACTAGACCCGAAATACATACGGAAATACAGATTACAGCGGTTTATCCCCGAAACATGCCCGTTAGGGCTAACTTGTCTTAGTGCTGACGCGCATTGACCCTCCAGGGGTCGACTAGGTGCTGGCATGCATTCAATTAGCTTTCCCAAGGCTGCAATATATTATGGATTCAATGCTTGATAATTCATCTAGCGATGGTGTTATTATTTGGATACTCTTACGGAGTGCTCCGTAGTAATAGTAGCAATACCTATCACCCTACTACCAGGTAACTGAGATGCATGGGGAACTACAATCCACAATATCAACAGCTAACTAACCTCCTGTAGAATTCCAGAAGATTGGTTAAAACCGATATCGCCTCGTAGACCCCCAGGCTGACTGAGAGGATCGCGAGCTAGAAGCTCGCCTGGAGGGTCTAGTTCGAAAACAGTCCCATCTGACACCACTGTGACGCGGTCGCCATCTAGAATGGCGGAAGTACGATGCGTAATTGTAATAAGAGTGCGGGATGCAAAGTGTTCAGGAATACTCTCTTGCATTACTCGGTCTCACGATCCACAATGGCTGTGACCTCGTCCAGAACCACCACCGAGCCCGGACGGATCATGGCCCGGACTAAGCACACCATCTACTAATGCCATCTACTGAACAGACCACCCGAGAGTTGGGTGTGTATCCTGCCTCGCGAAACCACTGTATCCCAGAGATGCGCATCGTTAGGTGCTAGTTCAATCACCTGGTCATCGGCTGTTGCACCGAAGAGGTTGAGCCTTTTTGCGAATCGCACCTATAACGAAATAATGAGCCTTTGTGGCGAAAATTAGCTGGTTATGTTATATAGCGTGTCGGGAGCCATAGTTGAGATGTCCACATCGTCAACGGCAATCGCCCCATGGGTGGGGCGAGGGGACGAAATAGGCTGGCGGCAACTGGTGATTTGCCTGTAGCACGCACGGTGAGGTAGCTAAAGAGTATTTTCGGAGAAACGTTGACGAAAAAACCACAGCTGGTTATACAGAGTGACATTTAAGATGTTGCGTCGAATAATGGCATTAGTGGTCCACGACGTGTGACTGAAGTAAGTTATGCGCTGGACGAGACTTCTAGCCGGCCATCATGACGACTCATTTCCACGAGGATGGTCAGCAACAACGAGGTCTTGACACATGCCACTGGGCCAACCACGAAGTTGACACTGGACAGCCAACCTCGAAGCTAAAATCCTTCAGGACCATAGGTCTCTAGACCCACCCAGCACGAAACCCCTCCGTTATCACCATCGTTGGTTGCGGCTTTTCATCTAGGGGTGCACATTGGTGCTTAGTAGATTGGATAGTCGGCTACTTCTACCAGAGGCTCCAGTAGGTTTCGATGAATACTCGCCAATGCGAGCCACGGGGTGGAGGCTGGTATACCGGTCTCCCGATGAATCATAGCGGCTCCCGAGTAATGAAGAGAGGGTGGTAAGAAAAAATTCTCTTCGGATATCAGGGTGAAGTCAAAGCCATCGTGACAGTCGGCGCTAATGGTAAGACCAAAGACGTTCTGAGCAGCAATGTCACACATTGTTGCCTAGATCCCTGTTTCTCTTTTGGAACAAATAAAGTGACAGGGAAGTGGATTTTAGCTCGCCTACGGTGCTAGAGGGGAGACTGAGGACATGGGTATGTTTGGGGGCCAAGAATAAATAAGCAATCCAGAACTGTATATAATGTGTATTGCTGAAATACAAAGTAACCCCATAACGCTCCAACCATTAGTAGTACTACTACTAGTAGTAGCTTTAATGTGGGAAAGAATAGAGCGTATTTTACCAGCCCATAACAAAACCCTAGATTATTGTATGAGGCCTAGCGGCGTCATGTCAGTTGTTTGATGTTTAAACCTGCCTCCAGGGCTATTTTTAACCAGCCTCTGGACCTCATCTCTATTCCAAGGCAACCATAATCCAGATTTCGCAAGCGTGTATGTTATTTCTCCAGGCATCAGACATTGATATAAACTAACAGCTTGAGTACCTTCAAAATGATTTTAACCGTGTCTTTCTCTTCTACACTTTCGCATCTCTTTCTCTTAGGCATCGTGACCTGATACATTCCGTCTGTGATTGCTTGTCATATTTTCTTGTCATTATGCGATTTCCGATCTCGGGGTTGTTGTTCATGGTGGTGTCGGCCATGATGGCTCGGGCATCCCCTGTCCAAACCGCCGCCCCTCAGCCCGGGGTGTTACAGCGGGATGCCACCCCCACTACAGCCACAAACCCGGAGACCACCACAGCGACCACCACGACAGATGACTTTGAATTCCACTTGACCTTAAGCTTAGATTTGCCCTCCAACACATGTACGCCTACCATAGCGCCTGACAAATATGGTTGGGTACCACCTTCGGAGTGCGATGCCTTGTACCTATATTACCCGTCATTTGGAGCCGCTGTCGCTGCCGCTGTAATCTTCGGCCTCCTCATGATGGCCCACTTTGTGCAAGCGACCATGTACAAGGCGGGCTTTGCCTGGGTCATCCTCATGGGAGTCTCGTGGGAGACCGTAGCTTACGCGGTCCGCGCTTTCAGCACTCACAATCAGCAGAACGAGACTGTTGTGACAGTCGCCCAAATGTTTATTCTTTTGGCTCCATTGTGTACGACCCCGAATTTCTTATTTGGCACACTCCCATTCTATGATACTGACTTTAGATAAAGGGGTCAATGCATTTGACTACATGGTCCTGGCTCGCATGATCCATTTCTTCGTCCCCGAGCGTCGCATCGGCATGTTCAAGCCCTCCTTGCTAGCCAAGACATTCGTCCTGCTTGACTTCATCTCCTTCGTTATCCAAATGATCGGTGGCTTCATGGCCACCGGTACAGACCAGCAGGAAATGAACGGCATCCATATCTACATGGGCGGCATCGGAATCCAAGAGTTCTTCATCGTGTGCTTTTTGGTGTTGGCCGTGCAGTTCCACCGATTGATGCTGAAGCTGGAGCGAGCTGGCAGACTGCCTGTCGAGAAGCTGAACTGGCGTCGAATGCTCTACGCCCTGTATGGCAGTCTCCTGGCCATTACGGTGCGCATCATCTACCGGTTGGTTGAATTTTCCGCCGGATACCATGAGGCAAATCCCATTCCATACCATGAATGGTATATGTATGTGTTTGATGGGCTTCCCATAGCCTTGGCCATTCTCGTCTGGAACTTTGCGCCGCCTGGTGCCGTGCTACAGGGTCCGGATGCGAAAATGCCCTCCAGTGGCATCGGCAAGTGGCTCTTCTGTAACGGCTGTGGCTGCTGTGGTGGATGTTGCTGTCGAAGCTGCCGGAAGCCCCGCAAGGGAAAGAAGAATATGCAGCGACTACCGGATCACGACATATATGGCGATGATGTGGCACTCCAAAGCCGGGAATCATCCCCTTACCGCGATACATACACTACCGGTCCCTGAGTCGGTGTTCTTTTTTCTGTTTTCGTTCGGCTATTTTTCAACATGTACATTTGAGTGGAACACATTCTACTTTCATGTTTACGTTCATTTCTTTTTCCCTTCTTTTCTTCTCTCTTATTTTCTTTTCATTCTCCTTTGCATTATGCTTTCTACTCTCGATCATACACGCATTTGAGAACAAAACATGGACCAAGTGTTCAATGACAGCGGCTCTCGGACGTTTTAGGTCTTGCATATACCCCCATCGACTTAGGGGTCATCCAGGCTCATACAATTTTTACTTGACAAACGGTAGATGGTGACAAAGAAACTCTATAAATCCAGATCAATAAACACATTTTCTACAAATCAATATAGTATCCCAGAAACGATCAACTTGCATCACGAAAATTCAATGGCAGCGAATCAATGACTAAAGTAACTCAGCACATCTGACCTTGACTTTCTTAAACTGGCGTAAGTTTCATACTTAATTACATACGAGTATGGTATTGGGAAAACGTATGGTATTCGAGCTTTTCTATTATTTATGTGGTATTGGATGGTATAGTGGTGCTCGGTTCTATCTAGGCTTCTACATATCGAATCACATATATAACAGATGAAGGGAAGCAGAAATTCAATCAAGTAGGACAAAGTACGAACATGAAATCGCTTTACTAGTTGGGCTGACTACCTGGTTTGTATCTGGTGACCATCATGCTTTGGAGTCCGTTTGACGAGAAAGGCGGCCCTGCTGGTTAGTGGTCCCATCGTATCTGGGTTTATCATTCAGAATCTAATAACTTGATAACTAACTAGCCACTCAAGTCAGAGTTCACAGTTCTGGCAATGTCGTCACCGCGGCTTATTATCACCACTGTGTAGCTCTCCCGCTCGAATCGCTGCAGCCATTGGTCTACAACGCCCTGTCGCGGGTGATAATGCAATTTCCAGGAATGGGGGCCATCCTCCAACAGGTCCCTTTTATTCAGATAAAGGACGGCCGAGATCAAGAAGTTGAGATGCTCGTGGAGGAACAGCAGAACATGGGATTCTCGCAACCCTCTGAGCAGGAGCCATGCTGGCGTCTGGTTGTGGCGTACACAGCTGAGCAAAATTACATGTCTGATATGGTAGCTTGTTTTGTGGTAGGCGAGACCGCCAGGGATCGGTTCTGCGCGGTGGCCTTCCATCGATCATTCTTGGCCGCATTGTTGCTGGTCAACCAGACAAAAATATCGAAACAGCCATCGGAATACCCCAGTCCCATAGCTTCAAAACGACTGTCTGGGACTTCTATATCACGACAGGCAAGGCAAACCAACTATACGCAATGTCATTCTCGGTTCAAAACAGTTACACTTGGAGCCAAGGAAACAGCCCGTCTCCTGGCAGATTGCTTTGCCAGTACGACTCTCACTGGTGTCATCCAAGCGATTCTCGCGGCGTCGTTGTTTGCGAACTTGACCTCAGAATTCTGCTATCTGCGTACTGCAGGACAGATATCGCCTAGTGGCACCATAGGGAACCCGATCGCTGCGCCCTGCTCCAGATATATTGTGACACATGACAGAGCACAGGGATGGAATGTGGCTTCTGTCTGGAACGAGGCTCAGCGTATCCACACAGCTTCGAAGTCCGAGCTAAGTGAAAAGATGAGAAAGAACGGTCTAATAGGGCTTCTTCGACACGAGGGAGATGATACGAAATACACCAGAGAGACTAGTGGCGTCAGCGCTGCAGTATCGAGCATGGGAAGCTTCCAGGATCCAAAATCATCCGTGTCCCAAGAGCAGCGACAGTGGCAGACAAGGAGGGTGATATGCAGCAATTATAACACCGAAATCGGTGCTGCTTTGTGGATCACACTAGTAGTTGGAGGAGACGGTTGTTTGATAATGGGATTTTCTTGGTTAGAAGGTATCATCGAGGAGGTTTGGCTTGACCAAGTTATCGCCACCATGAGACGGATGATTGAAGAACCTTTGCACGCCGATGGTGCCATGAAAACGAGAACAACGATACCAGAGCCACTCCCTTGGGGAGGTTCGATGTCTCGGCTGGTCTGTCTAGTCAGGGACCTCATGTTGGATTAAGGCTTCCCTGCATTACACAGAGTTTACCTTCTTCAGAAGCTTCTTCATATAAATATACGGAGAAGCGATGGATATTCGTAAAATTATAGATCAAGTTCTTCCAGTGTTCCATGTTGGGACCAACACTGAATTCGCTAGTAGCAGCCACAAGTCTGGCCTAATGATCTTCGTATATAAAATGGGTTGTTTCATTTTTATATTCTTATCGCTAGCACGATACAAGGCAAAGAAATTCGTTTTCGGGGTATCCGACGTTAGATTTACTAGCCAAAGCGTCAGGCCTAGAGCATGACGATACCGACACCTCCCATCTTCGACTCGTCGGGCAAGTTCTTCTCGTTAATTCCACCACCAATAGGTGCAGCACGGTAGTTGTATAGGTAAAAGTGGAGCTGGCCATCACCGGCACCGAACTTGAGATCCTCGAGGAAGAGGGGGTTGTCATGCGAGGTGAGGGCGTTGAAGACATCAAAGCGAGCCTAACGAGATTAGCATATAGAATTAGGTATAATATATTACAACATACCTGCTTTGCGCAAATTAGGGCATCGTTCATCAAAAGCTGCAAGCGATCCTTGAAAGCCTTCTTGTCGTCAGAGAACGCGGTCTCGGTCGCGTAGTAGTACAAGTATGCGGCACGGACTGTATCGTGCTTGGGGTGGTCGATCACAGTAGACTCGAGATTGTAGAACGATACAAAGTCGGTGATCTTGTGGGTTTCCGGGTCTTCGGCAACATATGACCAGACAACCTGCTCCTTGCCGGGCTGCTCTTTGTACACCAGCCAGTGGTCAATTTCTTCCCGTGTAAAGGCCTGGTTCAAGTCGAAGCGCCGCATGTATCGCTCCAACAGATCAAAGACGGCATCAATATCCTTGGATTCCATAGGGCGCAGACCGGGGGTCAATGTCTCGCTAGGGAGGTGGTTCTTAGTGATCATGCGGGCCTTGGTCGAGCCATGGGGCAGAGGCGAGAAGCCAACATCGTAGAGCTTCAGCCAATCGAGAGAACGGTGGTAGTATCGGCAAGAGCTGACGGGTGTGGGCAGGATTATACCGCCAGTGTAGATAGCCTGGTAGATGCCCCTGAGGTAGCAGCGGCGAGTAATCTCCTTGATCAGGACGGGAGTCAGGCGCTTGGAGCGGAGCTTCTTGTGGATACACAAGAAGTTGATCTCCGTCACCTTGATGCGCTCGCCGCGGACGCGGAGTTCAGTCGGGACACCGCAGATGGATGCAACCAACTTGCGCGACTTTGTGGCGCGCACACCAACATGCCATTCCTTTTTCCATCCAGGAGACATCAGGGCCCTATTCATGTAACATTAGCGGTCTGAAATAGGTACAAAAGTCCAGGACTCAACCGCACCAATGAAGGAAGGATTCCGAGTAGTTGAAACGGAACATGGCGTTATCATCCTCGACATAATGCTTGTTAAGGAGCTCATATAGCTCTTTCAACTCCTCCTCGTTCGTCAGGTCAAGAGTGCACCACTCGAACCCCTCAACGAGCGCATCGGGAGTCTTGGAGACCTTTTCTGGGTCAATGGTCTTGATAGGTCCCTGGGTAATCTGCTTCTTTCCGGCCTCTTCAAATGCAGGCACTGGCTGTGTCTGCCAAAATTTGTATGAGGCCATATCCTTCTGGTTCTTGCCTCCCACTGCCAATCCGGTCAACATCTGCGAGAGGTCCATGTTGTGCAGTAGAGCGGCGGCCTGGTCCTTGTCCATCGCAGCTAGCTCGTTCTTCAGGGCGGGGTTTTGTTCGAGGAGTAAGGAAGCAAACTTCGCGGGAAGCTTCTTTCCACCTTTTGGAATTTGAATGTCAGATGCGAATCTGCGAGTGCTTGGTGCCTAGGGAGGCTGGATGGAGAGGCCTACCATTACCCGAGTCTGATGGAGTAGACTCCTCTTCATTGCGCTTGGGGGCTTTGCCCTTCTTATCGCTGGAATCAGACATGATGTGTTGTTGGGGTGTTGAGGAGGAAGGAATTGGAGGTCCCACGTTTCAAACACCGCGGATCTTTGGTGGGGGGGAACTGCGGGCGGGCAATTTGACTTAAATAATATACGAACAGCCTCTACGCAACTCGCTATGCACGCTATTTAGAAAAATATAACAAAAGCTTGTCGACTATTATTTATGGACACGTTTCACCTTATACGAAGTACTTCATGCTCCACTGTGAAGAGTGAAGACCCCTGCTCAATGAATTCTTAGTGGCCTACAGGAACCTCGGCATTCACATATGCAAAAATGTAGATCTAAAACACCTACAAGGTGTGAACATGGTATCATTCGAATGCATTGTGAATTTAGAAACTATATTGAGAATTAGAGAATTGTTGAAATCCAAGCAAAAACACCTCTATGTCCGTTCTATGCTAAGCCAAAAGCATATCTCAAGTTGATACAAGAATGCAATAGTCATTGGAGCTCCGGGCTACCAATCATCGGGGAATCACTCATCGGTAGGCGGCTTCGTCTCGATAACGTCGAGGAATCCTCCAACCAAATGGATGCTGCCGGTGACAAAAGTCATGACCGGCGCTTCGTCCTTATGCAGGACCTTGCGTTCCTGGCCCGCAACCTCCCGCGCAAAATCAACAGCCTCCTCAATTGTACCAAAGACATGTGTTTGAGCGCGGGGGTCAATAGCATTCCACTCCACAGCAAGAGACTTTTGGACTCGAAGAATTTCGAGGTCATCGGCGTTGGTGTTCATACTGACCAAGTCGGGTCGGAATCCCGCCTGTTTGTAGGTGATATTCGTGCAGAATAGTGCGTGAGTGAATGGATTGTCATTTCCAAGGGCAGACGATAGGGTCTCGTGGAGAGCACGAGCAAGCGCTGTGCTGTTACGAGTCTGTTGGTTGAAAATCAAAATTCGTGTCTTCTTGGCGGCTACATCCTCAGAAGATGAGTCGGCCTTGATCCGCGACGCAAACCACTGGCCAGCCAGCCGGATGCTCTCCAAAGTATGCCCGCCATCGATATACCAAGAGACATTCTTCTCAAATCGGGTCTCACATCTGCCACCCAGGCGAGTTTCTTCCAGGCCAGTCTTGAACTTCGCCGGTAGCGGCCCTGTCATGATATTGTCTGGAACATCGATGTCAACCTGGCGCAAGAAGTCCGCGGCAACTGCCACTGCGACCGAGGCATTGGTGTACTGGAAGTCTCCAGCCAACCCAAGGGTGATCTTACTACTCTCGGGACGAAGCTCAGAATGTCCAGTCACAATTTCCAGATGAGCGCCAGCCTCCTCGGCGCGTTTGGCCAAGACTTGTTCCGCGCCCGCAGGTTGCGGTGCCGCGAATCCATTCACGCCAGACTTGAAAATGCCACCCTTGTGCCACGCGATTTCCTCAATCGTATGTCCAAGCAAATCAACGTGATCAATTCCAAGACTGCTGATCGCCGTCACCTTGGGCTGTGGGATCACGTTGGTACAGTCATATTGACCGCCGATTCCACATTCGATCACCGCAGCGTCCACACCCTCGCTCAGGTAGGTATGGAACGCCATCACGGTCAAGTACCGGAAATATTGTGGTTTCGTCGCAGGCCCGGTGGGGTCCTGACCCGCTAGTTTAGCAGAGTTCTCAAGACGATCCCATACTTCGAAGAAATAGCGCGCAAACTGTTCTTCAGACAATGGGGCGTTGTTGATCTTTATGCGCTCGCGTGCGAACCGAAGGTGCGGGGAGGTGTAGAGACCGATCTTAAGGTTGGATTCAGGTTGGTCCGCATCTTTTCGGGTGTATTGGGAAAGGATCGTGGAGATGAATGCGGAGGTCGAGCCCTTGCCTTTCGTGCCGGCCACATGAATTGCGTTCAGCCGATTTAGGTCAGAAGGCTAGAGAATGTGAAGATCTCACATCAGCTTCACTCATAAAGAATCAAGATCCCTGCCATCAGCGCACCTTGTATCCAATGCGCTTCAGCCATTCCACTGTCTCCGGGAGGGATAACTCGTTGATCTCCTGCCTCGTTTTGGACTTCTTGAACGCTTCGACGATCGCAAAGTTGGTTTGCAGAGAGTTGAGAGACGTAATTGCTGCCTATCCATTCCAGGGTCAGCATTTGCTATATTTTGTTGGGAATTAGTCCCATGTCGCAAAGGCCCGAGTGGCATACCTCATATGTTCGAGTCATGGTGGGCGAAGTCGAAAATCGCCGTGTGCAAAACTGCCAGCGAATAGAGCTCCAAAGCCCTTTCATGAACAATTGAGTCCTGTACCTGAAGTCCTCAAATGAGCAGGGGTGATTGAAGAAACCCCAGGAGCTCTCTCAGTTTATGATTCTCTGGTTGATCCCACCCGCTCTCCTCGGGAAACCGAGTTGGCGCTGATCGGAAAGATCACGTGCTTGCTAACATACTAGAACCAGACTGAACTGATCTATACACCGTCTTTTTTATATTTCATAAGTGAATAAATTCTTTTGCAGGTAGCTGTACAATATGTGGCAGGTCGCTGTATAGTATGGGCTCCCATTTTGGCAGTTTTCGGTGCAACAAAACCAAATCGCAAGAAAAGACCATATGGCGATTGCTAACAATATCAATATTTATTACAACTTCCGATAGGCATTTCATGCCTTGTCTTCTGCTAATCCGGATAAAAAGAATAAAATTGGGAGTCAAACATGGAATTTTACCTGACTGGCTTTAATCATCCGATAGTGGGTCACCGTTGGCTCTATAGATGGCCAAAAAGCGCTATAATATAGTTTGGTCTGGAAGGCACAATACTTTTGTAGTTTTACTTTTACAAAAAAAGACCCATATACAGTGATTTGCATCATCACAAGCCATCGATATGAGCGAAATTGAGCTTATTGGATTTGAGGGCCGGCCTGTTCGCAGTATGTGTATCCCATGCTATCCAATCACAGTATGACAGTTTAATACTGGCCACTAAATATCTAACTCCTTGATAGTCAATACGGGGCTTTTCATCAATAATGATTTTCAGCTAGCGACAGGAGGATCACAGCTTGAGGTCGAGAATCCCACTACGGGTAGCCATCTTGCATCTGTGTCAGCTGCACAGCGAGAAGATGTCGATGCCGCCGTAAGTGCAGCCAAGTCGGCATTGCGGGGTGAATGGGCGACTGTGAGTCCAGCTCGCAGAGGTCAGTTGCTGAATCGGCTCGCCGACCTGATTGAGCGGGATGCGGATGACCTCGCCAGCCTCGAGGCCTTGGACGCTGGTATCTTGTTTGGGGAGTCCAAGAATCTCCACATTCCACAGGCTACAGAGACACTTAGGTACTTCGCCGGATGGGCAGACAAGATCACTGGCCAGCTGTTGAGTATCCCACAAGGATATGCGTATACCCGGAGAGAACCGCTCGGGGTGTGCGCTGCCGTTGTGCCTTGGAACGCGCCTTTGTAAGTTTTCCTCGCTTACCCAATGTCAATATGGTTGCTAACACTAGAAATATAGAATGATTACTATCTGGAAGCTGGCTCCCGCTATCGCAGCAGGTAACGTGTTGATCATCAAGACACCAGAGCTCGCGCCTTTGTATGCGCAGAAACTTGCAGCCCTCATAAAAGAGGCAGGGTTCCCACCTGGTGTGCTCGCTATTCTCTGTGGGTACGGCTCAGTCGCCGGTCAGGCTCTGGCTGAGCACGGCGGGGTCAAGAAGATTGCATTCACAGGGAGCGCCCCTGTCGGCCGGGAGATATTGCGAGCTGCGGCGGGTTCGAATCTCAAGAAGGTGACATTGGAACTAGGCGGCAAGAGCCCTTCGATCGTGTTCTCTGACGCTGAGCTGGACAATGCCGTATTCTGGACGACGTTAGGATTCACGGCCAACAATGGACAGGTTTGTGCGGCAGGGTCGCGCATCTATGTCCATGCAAACATCTACGATAAGTTCCTCCTCGCCTTCGCCGAGAAATTAGCCCACACCACCCCTGGAGACCCTCTGTCAGGACAGACAACCAAAGGTCCCGTTATTAGTCAGAGGCAGAGGGAAAAAATTACCGAATATATCCGCCATGCAAGGGAATCCGGTATTCGCCTGTTGGCTGGAGGAGATGAGATTCCTGGGAAGGGTAACTTCGTTCCCAATGCTGCCTTCGCCGATGTACCTGATGATGCACGCATCATGCAAGAGGAGATATTTGGTCCTGTCGCCGTAAGTTTTCGAGACAAAGGCAGTGATTTGACATACTTGCTAATCTTGGATTCTAGTCAATTGCAAAGTTTAATACTGAAGCCGAGGTCATTGCGAAGGCCAATGCCACCGAATTCGGACTCAGTGCAGCCGTGTTCACCAACGATGTTAACCGGGCACAGCGTGTTTCGGAAGCCCTGGAATCTGGTCAAGTCACAGTTAACTGCTGGGGGATGCTGCATGCTAACACTCCATTTGGAGGAGTTAAGCAGTCCGGGTTCGGCCGTGATATGGGTGAAGAAGCATTGGATGCGTGGATGTCAACGAAGACTGTGAAGTACTTTACTCTACCGACAGCCGATGAGAAGTAGGTATTAGTAGAATCCAAATATTATAACGGTTCATAGTTCATTATATCAATAAAAGAGACCGCATATGCGGCCGCCTATTCTTGTTAGTGATCTAGTCTGAGATTAATGCGGCTAAAATATGCTTAGCCTCAAACATGCATGATCCATCTACATTGTCAACCTTAAACACGAGGCAATCAACTCCAGCCCACGACTTGAAAATTAACGGATGTATAGTAAGCGGAATTTTAGGAATATATATTCATCAATTTTATATGTCTACCTCATTCGACCAACTGCTATCGCCTTTCGTGAACATAGCTTGTAAATTCATCCATTTTTAGAGATTATCATTCGACGTCGTCTCAGTGCATCTTGGAGCGAGCGCCAACTTTATAAGCGACGGCATACCGGGGCGTAGAGAAGACAATCGAGCTTCCACGGTGAATAAAGAACGTATCTCCAGGGAAGAGCTTAGCAGTATTGCCCTTCTCATCCTCGAGGTGCAGCTCGCCTAAGAACAACCAACCATATAGCTTGTCAGCATCATTTATGCCGATGTATTGTAACTTGTATGAATTGATGGGAAATGTCTCACCTTTCAGCAAGTGGAGAAACCGCAAAGTGACGATGAGGCACGACTGGCAGCTTTCGGTCAGGAGCAGGCCATGGGCCGTCATTTCAACGTCTGGTCCCTGATATTTCTTGCCTGCTGCACCAGTGTCACCTGGGAAGCCCTCACCTCGACCATGGCCCAATCTCTTCGGGCGGGTGGCAGCTCCAGCCTCGTGTGGGGATTCGTCGCCGCGGCTATCGGCGCTCTAAGTATCGCTCTCTCGCTCAGCGAGTTCGCCAGCATGGTTCCAACAGCCGGCGGGCAATACCACTACGTGGCCGCCCTGTCTCCCCTCAAATATAGACGCCTATTTTCATGGATCGCCGGCTGGGCTACCATCTGGAGCTGGGTTCTGTCAACACTGACAGGTATCTTCTCCAATTCCATGCAGCTGCAAGCCTACATCATCTTGTTTGCTCCAGACTACGTGTATCAGCGATGGCACACAAGCATGATCGTCATTGGTATGACCACCTGCTTTCTCGGTATCAACATCCTTGGCACTCGCTGGCTGCATCGATTGACCTTCTTGGGTATCGTGTTGCACATTGCTGGATATGTCGCCATCATCGTTTACCTGTTGGCGACGGTGCACCCAAAGAATACGGCCGCTTACGTCTTCTCAGACCTGACCAACCTGAGCGGGTGGAAAAGCGACGGAGTCTCGTGGTCAATCGGTCTGATGAGCTCTGCTATAGCTTTTATTAATTGGGACTCGGCTACACATATGGCGGAGGAGATGCAGAATGCGTCGAGGGATCTTCCACGAGTCCGTAAGTTCAAACCATTGTTATACGATATTGTATTTGTCATTAACTCTCTCTGCCAGTATATGGCTGCGTTGCTCTTTCCGGTATCATCACATTCCCTTGGGTGATCGCCCTGGCCTTCTGTATGACGGACATCGAGGGCGTGCTAAATGGGCCGGTTGGACGGATCTACCCGTTGGTGCAGCTCATATACAACGTTTCCGGTGGCAGTCAATCCATGACAATAGGACTCACCTGGTTCTACCTTTTCCTGGGGTTCTTTGTTGGCGGACCAGGGTGCATGGCCGCGTCGTCCCGCGTCATCTGGTCATTCGCCCGAGAAGGGGGTCTTCCCGACTGCTTTTCACGCGTCCACAGTCGCTTCGAGGTCCCCGTCAACGCATTGTTGTTGTCATGGGTATCGATATCCGCGCTAGCCCTGATTTACATCGGCAACGAAACCGCATTTTACGGACTCGCCTCCGGTGTGACGGTGGTCATGATTTTCTCGTACGCAATGCCCATCTTCCTCCGGCTTATCTACGGCTTTAAGCACTCGAATTTGCAGCCCGGTCCATTCACGCTCGGCGCCTGGGGCCTGCCAATTAACATCTTTGCCGCGTGCTGGTGCACCTACCTCATTATCTTCATGTGTCTCCCCACTCTCATGCCTGTAACGAAGGAAAATATGAACTACGCGGTTCTTATCTTTGGAGCAAGTTTGTTGGTCGCTGCAGGCACATGGTGGGTGTATGGTCGTCGGGTTTATCTCGGGGTTCTGGCTGAGGGAGATAGCCCTTTTCATGAGGAGACTGTGGTGGATCAACAGATTGGACATGAGAAGAAAGGCTCAGTTGCCTCTTCTGATATATAGGATTATTCGCTAGCTTTCATTGAACTGATACTTTGGTGATATTACAAACTTATTCTTAGCGTATCGCGTAGCTCATCTATCATTTCGAGACAGCAGATGTGCGAGGCACAACTCCAAAACAAACACTACTCTCAACATAAGACAATAAACCAATTACTGTTATCGGTCTAAATTTTTGCCTTTCCAAGCTGGTGAATAATTAGGCTGTGTGAGGCCAAGGTTGGAGAGGGCGATGCCGCAGTCTAAATGGGTTGGATGGGGTGCGTCACGCTCTTACCGAATACGTTAACTATTTACGCCATTGTTCTTTCATTCTTCTTTCTCAGTTCCTCCTTGCCTTTCCTTTAACTCAAACTATCTTAAGGTTGTGTTTGAAACTTCGAAAAAATGTCTTTAACGGCGATGAAGCTGAGCAAAGCCATAAATGCACTCTGCGCTGCTAGGGGCAAGACTTCATGTGCGCAGTTTTATCAACTAATGCACGAGCACGATGATGATGAGAGAATTCCGTCCGTTCGTCTATCGTTGTTGAATGTCTCTGAAGTCGGACATATACTGTGCCTTGAGCCTGCCAAGAACAATCAGGGATTGAATTCTTTCCTACTGTCCCCCTGCCTGAGTTGTTGAGTGAGTAAGAGGAATCGTAGAGGGGAATCTCGCTAACTTCATGAAGTCAAAAACCTCGCCATGGCTGACGGTGCTTTGAGGAACGAAATAAGCGCTGAAGCGAGTATGCGCTGGAGGATGAATAACTTTCTTCTCTTTGCATTCAACATAGCAACGGACTCGCGTTCTGAAGAGAGCAGACTTTTAGAGATCCACCATGAGCCCAAATGGTCATTCGGACCCGTCCGATACAAGGACCAGGCCGTCAAGTTATCAGGATACCCATCTTACGCCCTGTGGTATGGAGACGAAGACGAAGCCGCTCCGAATGTCGTTGTGGCCCAGAGTAAGAGGTTTAGGGGGTTCGATGAGGGAATTGCGGAAGTACTAGGATATATGGATGAGTGCATTATGCTACTTACTATACTACTCGTTGACTAACTTGGTCGAAGGTTTCATCTATCACCATCGCAAGAATGCAAACAAAGAAAATTGTCCGGTGTATGGAGTCGCAACGGACTCTAGAATGTTTCACTTTGTCAGACTGGACAATGACTCCACGGTATGCTTATTAAATATGTCTCACTTGAAGAGTTACGTTCTAATACCTTCTAGTTTGTCACCACAACACTGGATTCTCAGGTGGATATAGAAAAAGCATTCAGTCTATTGGTTTATGTCTTGAAAGAAGCAATGATCTTCCAATCGGCGATCTCGCCCCCTACCTGAAGCCAAGACCAATGCCAAGCAGCTATAGTCAGTCAACACAGAATGAGAAGCTAACAGATTGCGCTATCTCGGGTATGACTAGTTTATTCACATTATACAATCGAATATTGATCCGTCCTAATATCATTCACATTTTGTACTAGCGAATAGAATGGGAGTGTAGAGCCCCGCTAGAAATATCGGAGATAAAGAGCAACACACGGAATATCTTTTGATTGGGTCACTGAAGCCATTTTCCATTACACCTAAACGGGAAAAACGGAGGGCATAATATCGGCACTTGGAGTACATTGATGAATTTATATAGAAGAAATCTCGTTGAGTCGACTGTGTCAAATTCGTTGGAATTCCCCAAATATTCGAATCCGTCAAGCTCCTATCACCACGCAAACATGGTCAAATCAACCAGCAAAGACCTCCGCGTCGTCATCGTTGGTGGTGGCTTTGCCGGCCTAACCGCAGCCATTGAGTGCAAGCTACGAGGCATGCACCCAATTCTAGTTGAGGCATACCCGGGAGCCAGCTCACACGGCGACTTACTCGACTTTGTGCGCAATGCTGGCCGGGTGTTCGAATCCTGGGATAACGGCAACATCGGCCGCAAGCTCATGTCGGCAGGAGTCAATTCTGCCAAGTACCTTGAGTTCTACAACGCTAAGAACGTGCTTCTGCGGAAGGATCCCTGGCCGCAGGCGACAGACAAGGACTGCGTCTATGCTGGGCACCGCGGAGAGATGCACAGGGTTATCTACGAGTACGCCATTGAGGTGGGCGTGGATATGCAGTTCGGCAAGCGTGTTGAGAAGTACCTCGACTCGGACACCGAGAGAGGTGTTTTGATCGAGGGAGGCGAGAAGATCCTCGGTGATGTCGTTTTGGCCTGTGATGGTCCCCGGTCCTTGGCTCGCTCTCAACTTCTTCAGCTGCCCGAGTCGACGGTCAACAGTGGTTATGCTATCTTTAGGGCATACTTCAATATTACTGATGAGATGCGCCAGCTTCCTGAGTTCGCTGAGATGATCAAGGAGGGCGAGGACAGCGTTAGGTTTTGGGCTGGCCGGGATATGCATGGGCTGATCTACATATGGAACAATGGAAGGTACACATTCTTTCTCCCGACACACCACTTTATTAGATCACACTCTAACGAAGTCCTTTTCTATCTGTTTCTAGGGACTGTGCCTGGGTTCTGACACATCTCGACGAAGCGAATATTGCCGAAACGTGGTCCTTCCCCGGGAAGAAGGAGGACGTTGTCAAATATCTCAAAGATGCCGGATTCCCTATAATCTGGCACCAAGCCCTCGAGGCTACACCAGATGACCGGATCATCGATTATAAGCTAGTCTGGCGGGACGCCATCCCGACATGGCTATCTAGTTCCAAGAAATCTGCGGTAATGGGCGACGCAGCGCATTGTCATCTCCCAACATCTGCCCAGGGAGCCTGTCAAGCAGTTGAGGATGCCGTTACTGCTGCCATCTGCCTGCAAAAGTGCAACGGCGATGTGGCGGCCGGGTTGCAAGTGTTTGAGCGGATGCGATTCAATCGGTCGCATGTAATTCACCAGGCGTCCATTCTGACGCGCAACATTTATCACAAGAACGACTGGACACCTGAGCTGGTGCGCGAATATCCCGACTCTTTAATCCTTCCTTTCTACCCTTGGGTCACCGATTTCGACGTTTTTGCCAATGCAGAGGAGCACTTCGATCACTTGCTACAAGATGTCACAAGCGGCAAACCTGGTACTATCGAGCAGCTCGCCCTGCCCGCTGGGGGGAACTACGACGCAATGTTGCTGGAGAAGAGAGCACCAGAAGGGAAGTTGGATGAGCTGGCGCCTTCTAATGTTATCCGAGTTCAGTAGTGAATTGGTAGTAATATTAGAAAATATATCTGCCAACTGGGATATAGAAATCGACATTATATATGGAAACCGTTACTTTCTAAAACCATATACCAAATACTACCTTTGTTCGAGTTAAGTGGACTATTGTATATTATGACTACTAACAGTTTGGATATCGATAGTCTGGTTAATTCCAATGTTCCTCTACGGACTTTCTACATGTCTTTTCAAATATACTTGCATGGACATAATAGGAAGTTTGTGACAGAGTCGAAGCATTTTGATCTAAGAGCTAAATTAAAGCTGACAACTACGACTGAACAAAACTAGAATGTCCTTTCGACAATTATTTGTGAAACTCCAAAGACTATTGTCAAATTCAGAGAGTATAAGATTCACCAGTTGACAAGGAAAATAGCCATGGAAGACAATAAAACGAATGATAACGTGACCTATGGTCATTATTTCTTATATTGACATTAGAAATAGAATGCATAATGAAATCCATGGGGATTTTCATTCTAAATGTGCCGTTTGGCCAGTTTCACCATCAGTCCTGTCTGGGGCGTAAACCAGCGACACTTGAACGACAACTTCGCATTTGGATCCACCAATTCAAGATCGTATTGCACCAGCAGTGATGCAACCAATTTTGTAATTTCCACCAAACTGATATTCTTCCCAAGGCAGGTATGCGAACCGGCACTAAACGCAAAGATAGACCTCTTCCTCTGCGCCACCAAGTCAGCGTCCTTAGACAACCAACGCTCTGGCTGAAACTTCTCAGGTTCGGGGAATAGCTCCGGGTCATAATGCACCACCCAAGGGCTGATACCCACTTCTGTTCCCCCGGGCATGAACTTCCCACATATCGTAGCACCCTCTGGCGGCACGGTTCGGCCAAACATGACACCGTTGGGTGGGTGGATGCGCAGTGCTTCTTTGATGACCGCGTCTAGATATGGGAGGGTACTGGCAGCGCCATATGTGATCGGAATGGTCAATCTGGCCTCTTCGCGAATTTCACGGCACAGGGTATCGTAGATCTCGGGATGTTTTATCACGTTGAACATGATCGTCCGCATGGCAATCGCAGTGGTGTCTGCCCCTGCGGTGACATTACCAAATGCATGGGTGTTTAGTTCCCGATCCGTGATAGAGTCTGGATGGGCTACCTGATGCTCTAAGAGTCGCTGCACGAATGAGGAAGGACCTGTCACTAACTGCGCTGACATCTTCTGTCGGAATTTCACAACCTGCTTCAGTGCCAGGTTCAAAACAGCGCCGTCGAGTGCACTACTTCCAAGCACTATGCTGGAAATAAAGCTATTACCGAGTAGGAATTTGTGAACCCATGGGAATTGACCAACCTGATCAGGCAGATTAGTAAATGCACTTGTAGGGTGTCAAGGTAATAAGACCGGGGAGGGCTCTGCCTTACAATTGCCGTATAATCTCCAGCAACATATTCAAGCATTGGCATCATTCCAATGGGATCTCCCTTTTCCATAAATTGAAGGTCCTCGCCGAATGTGACGGTGAAAATAACGTCAGTTGCATAATAGCGCAACCACTTTCCCAAATCGCATGTCCGACTGGGAGTCTCAACGATCTCGTCGAGGATTTTGAACAAACGGTTTGTAACTGTATCGACAAGGGGCTCTAGTTGTAACATGGATCCCATCGAGTATGCATTATATGCGTTTTTCTTCATGCGTGTGTGAAGTGTCTTGTCCGACAAGACCAATGGATCTGGAAGCAACCCTTGATCATCATAAATCATGAAAGGAATATAAAACGCCGACTAAACTTTGATCAGAGCTTGCAAATGACATATTATATTCGTTTGTCAATGTCTTACCTTCTTGAACTTATCAGAGGCGTTGTAGATGACGTTGATTTCCGCCGGATCTCCCACTGATACAAGGTCTGGACCTGTCCGCACAACTTTGCCGTACTTGCGATGTAGGTCTAGTTCCCATTCATGTGGTCGCCCTCGCAGCACGGCGAAAAAACGGGGGAGGCGGGTCCATGATGCGAAGAACGGCCCAGGGATGTGTCTCAGCGGTGTTAGATATTTTTGAGACAGAGCCCATGATATCAGTACGCCGAAGATCACAATTGGCCAGTACTGCTTGGCAAAGCCCACCAGCAATGATAAAGTTTCTTTGGAAGCCAGCATCGTTCCCAAAAGTAAATCGAAAAAGAAAGATGAAGACAAAGGCACTGAAACCAGGGTTCGTAGTGACGCTTTGCAATCTATTTAGGAAGATTTGGAACTCATTCGAGGAAGTATGATCTTCCAATCAAGAGGCATTTCATCTCAGGGTCTTTATCGAATACATAGTCATTCCAGATCTAGAGCCGAATACGGGGTAGAATGGGGAAAACAAAAAAGGAAAAACTTGTTATTGGACAGGGAAAGTGTTGACCCCAATTTTGATCATATCTAATACGTTGAATGTGATTTGGTGGATTTATCTTCAACTGGCCAGCCTAGTGGGTAAACTTGCTCCGGGGGTGGACAACAGTCCCCAGCAATATGTTACTGTAAGAGAATGCCATGCCTGGCCCTTAGCTTAGCCTGGGGTGCAACTCAAATTGAAATGAGTCTATGTAGAGACTACATGGCTAAGGGTGATTGGGATTCTTTGTATCATCTCGTTCATAAAAAAGGGCTTGTAGTAAATACTCCTTGGACAAATAATGTGATCGTAGAAAATCCACAAGAGCTTCATGGTTGCGACCGCGATAATCTAGAGCTTTGGCAGAAACTCGTGGACGTAGGCACATAGAAGAGGAGACTAAAGGTGATCATGATTCCACGGCGATTAAAGCAATCACTTTAACAGCCTTGAGTCAGGGGAACACTCGAGAGGGTGGGCAGTAAAATCTGCCTGTGGGCAGGAGTGGCACATTTAAGGGAAATTGTTCAGAGACTGCTTTCCTCCAAAGATTCAAGCTCAGCCCGAATTCAGCTTCGAGGCAGCCATGGCTGAGTTCTAGACAATGCCATCTGCACCTTCCATCTGAGTATCTGCATTGGTCCCTCTCGGCCGCTAATAGGGCGACGTGCGTCAGGCAATCTTCCCTAATTCGGGATTTCAACTTCCTCGACTACCCGGGTGAGGACATGCTATCACCCATCTGGGAAAGACAATTCCACACGGCAGTGACAGGAAGTTGAGCTGGAAGGGATTCGAATATCGAGCTTTTGTGTGCATACAATGACACCCGGGCATACATTTCCTGTTGGGAAACCCGGTGCACTTCTTCAGGGTTGCACCGTTGAGCCGAGGAGCGCTGTCGATGGCATGGAAGATATGCTGGTAAGCTAACCTATTTCCATGTCAACATTTCCACTCCATGATGGTCCATGATGTTCTCGTACCGGCTGCAATTTCCAACTAGCCAAAGATTTACTAGACCAATATCTGTGACTGTCCAATTCGTTGCATCGTATCTTGCCACCTCTCCGGCGTTGCTTGTCCGCGAGTAACAAGGTCTCGACGAGTCCAGACCTCGTCAAGAATCTTTTGACCATTCTTTGTATTGTGAATTCCTAGTAGATGGAGGCCATCCAGTCTAAACTGGACATAGTCTCTCTCATGAACGCCGTCCATCTCAGCCCCTATCACAACCAGGCACCAACCGAGGTTAGCGCCGGGGCCAAGGGCGTCAGGAACCATAGTCAGTAGCTCCTGCGCGGTGTCAAGTGACACCTGCATCTCCTCGGTGAGTGGCTCCTCGGGCCCGTGCAGAATACGGTGTACATAAATGTGCGACGAATGACGGAATATTTCCGCTGTCGCGACCATCCTCCGGCGCAGTTCCTCCTGGCCCATCCCCACGGTCGCGAACGGCTGTGCAGTACTCCGGCATGAGATGTTTACTAGAGGACTTGACTCGAGAATTATGGCTGTCGACCGGATCTGGGCTTGTAGAGCGTCCACTTGGCTCTGTAATTCGTTCATCGTTGTTTGGTCCTTGGATGCTACGTATAATCGAGAAGCGGCCCACTAAAATGCCACAAAGTCAGCTCGTCTCTTTTAAATGTGAAGAAACCCAAAGAAACATCTGTAATAAGTGGGAGATGTGGGCATAATTATGTGGGCTGACTGACCATAAGCTTCGGTAGCCTGGATGAACAACCAAAAAGAGCATCAACGAATTCTCCTTGACCCCCCGGCTCTGCCGTCACATCAAGCCAGGACTCTAGCTCTGGCATCGCCGGTTGGCCGAGATTGAGGGCAGTCTGGGTGTCGATCAGGCAAACCCACGTTTTCAAAAATGGTTCGAGATCGGAGCAGTCGCCTCGAGATCGGATCCAGCCCCGGATTGCATCGTAATGTCCTTTCCACCGACTTGAGCCCGAAAATACCTGAAAACCAGGCTATTTAGTAAAATGCGGAACAATTAGGGTAATTAAATTTGATGATCCAAAAATGAAATATACCTCAAAAGAAACTAGCAGCAGCATCGAGGCTAATGTAACGGGATCATGGATTCTGCTCGGAGACAAAAACCTCTCTCGTAGGGCTTTGGAAGCCGCGCGGAGGTACTTGCGAGACACCGTGTCGGGCTTGCGCTGCCAGCGACTGTGGTGGGAAGCAGCGACTGCTAAGGCGGCGTTTAATACCGCGGGTTCTTGCACAGCCATGGGTAGCAGGGAGCGATATCCGTTTCCGTTGTAGTCGATGGCGAGGGCTATCCTAGCGATATTCTCTGGTTGAAGAGGTACATATGAGCAAACGAACAAATAATTGGAAGATCAGGGGGATAAGTAATAGCTTAGCTTGCATAAACAACGTACGGAGGTAATGTTGCATGAAGAAGCTCTCCTCTGCCGGTAGCGCTAGAGCTGATATGGCCCCTGGCAGGGCTAGTTCCAGCGAGTCCGAAGTCGATGATCTGCTTAGACGCCTTCTCGCTATCTTTTGTTTTGAAACACTTGCCACTCCCGATGGCCATTGCAGGCGGACTCCATATCCGCGACATTTCACCCCCCTTTGTATGCAGATCCTACAGCCTAGGGGGGCCATTAATATTTAAGGCCTGGTAAGTTCGATCATATGATCATCTAGGGCAAGGAAACGTACGAGGCAGGCCCCCATCACATTGTCTGTTCTTATCCAGACACGTCCAACATACGCCGCTATCATTCTGGCGCTCCGCCTGGGGTAGATTCCGCTCCATTGTTGGAGTTATTGGATCGCGATGAGATATCAATCCCACTGTGTGCTTTTGGCTACAAGAGAAGAAACAAAACGGAAGGAAAAGCGGAACACAACCGGCTTATCATTAGATTTGACATATTTCCCCGCCTGGACTCCAAAATAAAACGCCACGATCGATTAGTCCTAGTGACCCGAGCTTGCATATCATATAGCCAAGAGTTTTAGTGAGTATTTGATGATGAGAAAGTGTCATTCAGCCTAGTATATATTGGCGTATTCAACTGTCTTGTTGACACTTTCCGGGGAATCTGAGGAATATCCACATCGCGGCATCGCCCGGTTCATAGGACTTGAAGTAGTGTCCCCCCGGTGTTTTACTTCCAATTTTTTAATGTCTCAAAAAGCTGCCAAAACCATTATCAACAGGGAGAAGTCGATTATCATTTGAACATATTATTGTTAAATATATCTGACCACATGTCCGACTCACCAACAACGGATTCCAGTCCTGGAAAGATGGACATCTCAGCACCCAGTCCAGTGAATTCAGCAAACGTAGGCATTTGACTGAAGAGCTCGGGAAATGCATCATTAGTGTCTTCAGTCATGGAGCGTCGGTCATACCCCGGATGAGATTGCCCGTGCAATTGGAGTTGTTGATTTTGTGATTGCAAGGAAAAGTTCGGTGTTCCGCTCGACATAGATGTGAGGATTGCGCCAGCCATATGAACTGGCAATACTTCTGAAGCGCCTGTTTCCATTTCAATAAACTCTTGGCCCTGTCCTTCATGGAATGCGGGTGACGGAAGCACCTGGGTCATGGTGCTTCTCGCTTGTAGCGGAGCTGGATCGATATGGACGGCTGAGCTGCGTGAACTGTCGTCGGGGTTCTGCTCATCATCTGTGTCGATATCTCCTGACAAGTGACCTGCATACGCTTGCAGCCATTCCGGTGCCCTGTCCGCGGGGTCTAGTTGTTCTTGGCTTCCAGGGTGGTTGTCGTTCTGCGATTTTGGAATAGGCACGGGCTCATCATTCCCCTCGGTATCCCTGGAATTATTTTCGCTATGCTTTGGATCTAGTGGCATAAATGGCGGCTCCTCAATGTCGAGAAACCGACTAAAGTAGCTATTAAATGACAGATCAATTGTCTCAGATGTATGTCTGAGTCGGGTATTTGTATCGTGAGCACGAAAGAGCACATCCATCTGTAATCACAATCAAGGCAAGTTCGCTATTGTCAGCAAGGTGTGTATAATTGAAGCTGCGCTATTCTAGATGGAGTAAAACATACCCACTCGTTCGCCGGAGCATAAAATGTTTTGAGGGCCCCCAGTACAATGAAGGCGAGTTTCAGGTTCTCCACAATCCGATTATCGTACGGTCTCGGTGACCGATGGAGGCGGTTGATAGATACTAGTGCACTCTGTGTGCAGGCAAATCCGACGAATAGCGCATGCTAATCGGAACAAATTTCAAAAAGCCGTCAGCAGATAACCCATCACGAAAGAGATTGACTAAAACTTACAGAATAAAATCCTCCATTTCTGATAACGTCCTGCGAAATGTCACATATGGCCTCTGCGCTGGACTCGCATCGGTATATTCTCTCTTTCAAAAATAGGGGAGGTGCCCCGGGGAACTGAAGACAGCGAATCGGCAGCTCTTGTCCGCCATCCTCTGCTGTCTGGGGTCGTCTCTCCGGTATCGGAAGGAAAGTGCGGTTAAGTACGATAACACAGCAATGCCAGACCATGGATGAAATAGAGGCGTCCAGGTCCTCCAGTCTCGATGGGCGGCTCGAAGGAGAATTGGAGCCGAAGCGGAATGTGCTAGGATGGCGGAGGAGGTATTCTTCTAGATCGTCTTGCAATGCTCGAAATTCTGAATTCAATGTCCAGGGTGGCGGATTCTGGTCTGTGAATGGGGTGAGACACAGTTGATGGATACAAGAAAGTACTTCAAGTAACTCTACTAAATGCGGACAATCCTCGGGGCATGGTGCACATTCCAATCTAGGTCTTTTGACTTGTCGACTGCTCGAGGGTTGAAGATGACGATGGCCCAAGCAATGAGACGCTTGTGCGATGGCAAGGTACCGCTCCGCAACGCTCAACACTTGAATCTGTTCCGCGTCAAGTTCGCAATCTGATCTGGCTAGTTGCACTAGGCTGCGACCCATTGCTGCGGATGGTCAGCATGTTCGCCTACATAACCAGGTACTATATGGGACAGATGTAGAAGCTGTCTGACTGAGCTTACCAATATCTATCCACGCTTGCCGCCCGTGAGCCCTACTGGCTTCATAGTCGATTAAAACACATATGGTCTTGACATTGTTTACTTGTTGCCAGGTAGCACTGGAGGCTTGAATGCAATTTCGGGCCTCTCGTTCCATTGTCTCAGCAAACTCCCGAGCGTGTGCTCCACGTGCGGCTTTGTGCACAGTGAAACGCATGCTCGAAGCGCATACCGCCAGCACTAAGGCCTGAGACATGGTACCCTGGGATAGGTGATGTTGCATTTGAGCCGGTGATAGCAGCGATCTCAGTTGCGCGCTTGCCCGAGTGCAAAAAGTATGGATGAGATGGCACATGAGATCTATGTCCAGCGTTGGCAGGCTGTGGGGATTGTATATCAGCATCAGTGCAAGATGAGTGAAAGGAATGCATCGTTGGGTTAGCATACATCTTTAAAATGGTCTCATTGCTGCAAATTAAGTCCTCCAAGCCAGGTTTCCATACAGATGGATCCAGTGAGAGGTGATCGTCATCATCATCATCTTCTTCTTCTTCTTCTTCTTCTTCGTCATCACCGTCGTCCGTGACACATCTCTCGGTCCCTTCCACATCCTGCATCTCATTTTGGGGATGCCATACGAGGTCGACTTCAGTTTGTGGGTGTGAAGAGACAGTCACTTGCCTACTGGACGGGATTCGAGCGGCCAACTGATGAACAATTCTTTGAGGCTGCACAGTCCGTCGGGGTCTGGGGCCGCGTCTCCCTCTATTCTTGCTATCAAATTCGCATTGCCGCCCGCTCTCAGAGCACAGCGTGCATGGTTGGCTACCGCTACATTTGACCTTGAGATTTTAGTAGCTACGTTAGCATCGGCTGCCAGTATGTGAGAATGGTCCCTGAACTAGCTACTCACCCTTCGCTTGCGGCAAGAATCACAAGCTAGAGTCACCTTCCTTCTGTATGGTCCATGGATGGCAGAATTGGCTTGAGACATTGCCCAGGAAAAGCCAACATTCCGTTTGAAATTCAATACTTGATCATATCTAAATTGCCAAATTGATGGCGTGAGCGCAAAATGAGCCTGTCAGATTAGAATACCCTTTTACCCCTTCGCAGCCCCTCACAAGAGCCCCGGCAATCTTTTTTTTTTTTTTTTTTTTGTTTTCGGGGAGATTGAAATGTCCAGGACAGCTCTGGAGGACCTCGGGAGTTCCCAGGTCCTATCGCGAGAAAAGAACACGTTTTGATTGGTCGTAATTTTCCGTCTTGGCAGCCCCATATTCCAGCGAATCAACATGAGATGCTTGGGGGATATTGTCATGGTCAAGTGGACTGATACACTTGCTGTGTTTTTCCCTTTAGATCTTTTAGCTAGAATTGAGGAAATGGAAGAAAGACATAAGACTCTCCAGCGTACCGCGCATGGAATCATCAATTCGTCGATCTTGATTCATACAACCTGAATATTGTAAGTCAAGACAAAGCAACATGGTGTACTCTTCCGATGGCTTCTCATGGACCCCCTCTACTGGTCGTCGAGAAGGTCTTCCAACAATTGGCGTTGTTGAGCCCTCGTCACACTCTACTCAGCCGGAGGACGACATTCATGATGTGATTGTCATCGGAGCCGGGTATGCTGGCTTAGTCGCCTCTCGAGACCTGGCCACACAAGGTAGGCTTTATGATATGGGCTATCCCTTCCTCTGCTCAAACCATAGATAGCCCTGGCTAATAGTGTTTGGCAGGAAAGACAACACTGCTCTTGGAAGCCCGAGACAGACTCGGGGGCCGCACATGGCATGCAACCATCGATGGCTTCAATTACGAGATGGGTGGTACTTGGATCCATTGGCATATGCCCCATATCTACCATGAGGTATCTCTGTATGGCCTACACAATGACTGGATCATCACCCAAAACCCCGGTGGAAAAGAAGACTACTTCACTGCCACCACGGGAAGCGAGCAGCGCAATCTCTCACACGAAGAAGAGGTATGTACTCATATATGATCCCGTGAAAATAAATGCCCCAAACTCATCTAAATTCAATACAACAGGTGGACATCTGTGGCAGAGTCTTCCGCATCTTCAGCAATGTCGACGGGGACGATCTCCGGCAGTCATGGAAATACGCCTTCGGCACAGACCAGTCGCCTGAACTCATGTCCAAGTGGGACAAGCTCTCGTGCCAGGACCGGCTAGACCAGATCCGTGACCAGCTAACGGCCGAGGAGGTGAGCGTATTGGAGGCCCAGCTGATGCAGATGGGCGGCAATACCCTGGATAAGATGGGGCTCGTGGGTGCACTCCGCTGGTGGGCGCTAGGCAGCCACACCCCGACGGGCCTGAATGACATCGCCCTCCACACGCGACTGCGGAGCGGGAACAGCGAGCTGCACCGCCGCATCTTTGAGCACGCCATGTCTACCGACAACTTGTCCTACGGGTTCAGTGCCCCGGTTCAACGTATTGAGGACGCTGGAGACATTGTCACTGTGACGACCAGGAATGGGAAGAAGTGGAAGGCCAGATCCGTCATATGTACGGTGCCGCTCAATGTCTTGTCCTCGGTCGAGTTCAGCCCCCGCCTTCCAGCGGACAAGGTGGCGGCTGTGCAGCAGCAGTCGGTCAACAGGTGCAACAAGGTCCACGTCGATATCAACGGGCCTGATTACCTGTCCTGGGGTTCGTTGGCAACCCCCGGGAAAGGATTGATCTCGGCGTTTGGAGATCATCTCACCCCAGCGGATGACACTCATCTAGTATGCTTCGGTCCTGACCCGGAATCTTCTACGGGAATCTCGCTCGACAATCTCGATACTGTGAAGGATGCCGTTGTCCATCTCCTGCCAGAGAATAAACAGAGCGAGGCTATCGTCAACCGTATTGTATGTAAATACCCTCGAGCACCCGCACCTCCCCCCCCCCCAACAATCGCTCTGTCTCTGTTCTCTTTCGGTTACTGTCAATTGTCTCAATAATATACTGACTTTGTTTGCCCAGGTGTCTCATGACTGGAACAAGGACGAGTTTGCGAATGGTACATGGTTCTTCCCTCCACCAAACGCCACGACACAGTATCTCTCCGTCCTACAAAGACCACATGGAAACATTTTCTTCGCCAGCGCGGACTGGTCGGATGGTTGGTGTGGTTGGATTGATGGCGCCGTCCAGAGCGGTATGCAGACGGCGCGTCAGGTCATTCTGGAGCAAGGGAAGGCTGCCGTTGTGAAGAAGAAGGTCCTACAAAAGGGCCTTTCTATTGACCTTTCCATTGACCTCTCCAAGGGTATCGTACGATGCGTTATCTGAGGGTCGTTCAATAAGTAGTTGTCATTATAGCCCTGGAGGTGAAGATGAGGTAAGAAGAAGTGAAAGTATAGAAAATCCTCACTCTGATTTTATATTTAGACACGCATTTTAGTCACATCAATCAGAGTTGCAAAATGAGATGTTGTAGAAAGAAATAAGATACGTTTACCTACGAAACCTAGCCGTAGAAGGACAAGGTTAGAAATGGCATACATAAAGGCCCTTTGTTCATGATGTTCCTTTCTATCCTCAATGTTCCTATCCATTCCATTTTCTAAAGGTTGAAATATGTACGAGACCTCATATTCACATAACTAAATTTGAAGATGAATGTAGGTCTTCGAAAGTGTTCATGTATTGGCTAAGCCCTTCGGGAGCTTCGAGGGAGAATCTGAGCCGCAGGAACAATGTGGACGATTTAAAAACCACAACAGCAGCATACAGCTAGAAAATCTTGTGACTTCGAAAAAGAAGCAGTGTATCGGACAAAGATGAAATATGATTAAAATTGAAGGGGCGAGGAACAGAAAGGAAAATGCCGGCGGGCCTGTAGTGGTGAAAAGAATGATAATAAAACATACAGCCATGAAGTATACAGAGTATGGGGACAAAGGGTAGAAAGAAGTGGCCAAGAACGCCGGAATGAGTGAAACATCTACTCAATCCTAGTCTTTCCCTCTTCCAAAAAGACGAGGCGGGCATTGCTAATACCACGCTGGTGTCGTCTGGCAGGAAGCCACTTACCGACGATGGGATCGGAGCGTGCTTTGATGAGAGCATCCTGATAACCCTCAGCGCCAGCGACCGGCGTGTTTAGCTTGGGCCAATTGACCTGTTGAAAAAAGCAGGGTCAGCGGGACAATACTTCAAGTTGGTTAGGATGGGAATGAACTTACATAGAGCATGCCATGTCCATGCACGAAACGGAAACAATAGACCGCCACCAGCAACCAGAAGATCATAAATAGGCGGAGCGGCCAGACAGCAGCATCAGGCATTCGTCTTGTGAAAAGTGCTACCAAAACCATAAACACACTGGCAGCGAGGACATATGGAACCGACTGGATGACAAGTGGTCGCTGGTCAAGGAATAGCTGGATGTTGGCAAATGTCGAGTCCGATGGGATGTAGGTGCCCAAAAATACGTCGAACCCATCTTGTCGAGGGCCGTCCATAAAGTTGTTCCGTACATATCGCGTGATAGAATTGTTCAAATCTTGCAGCATGCCGGCCCGCGTACGTTTGCCAGTCCGAGTGAAATCAGTCTTCAGGGCGCCAGTACCGGAATAAGACTTGGAGACCACATCTGCGTTGTCGGCCCAGATATTTCGGAATAGGTTTTCAAACTCCTGGTCATCGTTGGCAGTCTCCCCGGCACAGAGAACGCCTGCATCCATAAGCTGTCGTGTAACCGCCCAGCGGCCGAGCATGCTTTGCACTACATTGGTGCGATCCAGACAATCCATACAGTTTGTTCGGACAACACTCGTTTGCTTAGAACGAGTATCCAACTGCCCACCAGGGGCACCAGGACTCTCCACCCCACGGAAATAACCACCCTGGGTCAGCCCGTCGTTCAGACGACCCATGAGCAACTCTGCGCGGTGCCACTTGAGGCCCTTAGTCTCGTGGTGGAAATCAAAGTACACATAATGCAGGCGGTCCATCTCTTTCTGCTTGAACCCTGGTTCCAAAACATGCATCTTTTCAGGGGTGCGTTCATCAGCCTCGATGCTTTCAGATGTGGAAGTGACTAGTGTGCGAACCAGCTCCTCGTATGCCCGTTTGACATTCTCCTCCCTGCCCTTTTGATTGACGAGATTGACCATGTAGTTTTCTCCATAGATGCGGATCTGTTCCGCGAAATGCTTCCGCGCAGCTTCGACGGAAGTCTCCACCCCACGAACCTGAAGCTTCGGTGTGTATTTGAGATCGTTAACTTCGGCCCAAAACACGGGGACACTGCCTCGAGTTTGTACAAAAGAGTAGACTTGAAGGTCCTGTCCAGCTTTGCCACTAGTCATTGATTGACCTCCGCCAAACCCAGATAGTGCACCCTTCGAGTCATTCAAGATCACAATCTGCTCAGTCTCGTTGTAGTTTGAAACATTTCCTTGCTCGTCAATTCCGCGAGAGAAGTATCTCGTTCCGGCTCGGTGTCTGGATCGCCGGGTGATAAGCGCGAAAGTGAATGATGTCGACTTCACTCGGGCAGGAGTAATGCGCATCATGCCAAACATCACTGGCAAGATATAGGGGTCAACCCCTGGTTGGGGCCCGTAGCGAATTCCACTTGTGTCGTTTGCCCCGACGCTAAAATTGATCAGATCGGATTGAATAAAGCGATTCCAGAAGAAGCGGTCGTCTGCGCCCTTCCACATCGGAATGTTAGGGGGATTTTGTGATTGTCGTTGGAAATTATTGGTGACATCTAGCGAGTAGGAGAAGTACATGGGTCCCCTTCGAAGCAGGTCTTTCACCAATGCAAGATAGGCATCTTCGTCGGTGTCATGAAGCGGCCGTTCTCGCATTGGGAGGAATTCCGTTCCGGCAACTTTGTACACCATATGGCCGCGCAACCGCCCCATGGGCTGGGCTTTAGTGATAACAATGATGTACTTATCTGTGAACGTCAGCGCAATCTCCTTAGTTTCTATTTGCGAGCGCAATTACCAAGCTTCAACTTGAGAATTCCGAGAATTCCAGCAATACTGGAAATGCGCTTAGCACCTGGAAGGGGTCCATCGTTCAAGCGCAAATCACCAGTTGGTCGGTCTACTACCAGAGTGGGTGCCTGGCGTGACGATGGCGAAGTAAAGGCATAGTGGGAAGGCGACGCGTGTAGGTTGATATCCCGAAATGGGAGAATAGGAGCCATATTTAAAACCGAACCTCCAGAAATGATGATTACAAGAGAATGTCAAGAGCAAGCATCAAAAGTAAATCCATAAAACAACGGGAAGGTACAAGGTACAGCGGGCCACTCTGGTCAGTACGCAGCCACACCGCCCCGCTGCTCTTGTGGCTGGGCCTTCCGTCATCTATTCCTGTCTGCCTTAAACTACGAGGTCTTTGAATATCTAAATCCTTGTACCGTTTGGATCTTTCATTTTTCTATATCCACCGGGTCTCTCAAGACCTTGAATCTCATAACACAGTTCCTCGACCGTTTCATCTTCCTTCCTCCGACCCTCCTTCAACCCTCCCCCGACCCTCCATTCTCTCCTGATCATGGCTTCCAGGCAAGCAGCAGGAGCCCGTCCGGGCGCAAGATTTGCTCAGTTCAAGCTTGTCCTTCTTGGTATGTTCTGGTTTTTATTTGCTTCCCTTTTTTTACTTCGGAACCATAGCTGACATGCTGTACTTATAGGAGAGTCCGCCGTCGGAAAGGTTTGGGATAACACTTGCGATCTTCTTTATCAACCGCTGACTTAACCGCTATCTTCCAGAGTTCGCTAGTCCTCAGATTCGTTAAAGTGAGTCTTCAACGGTCGCCAAATTACTTCCCGCGGCGAGCCGAACGTACTTGGAGTAACAAAATGCTAATCGGTTCAGGACCAATTCGATGATTATCGCGAGTCGACGATCGGAGCCGCCTTCCTGACACAGACCATCTCCCTCGATGATACCACCACAGTCAAGTTCGAAATTTGGGATACCGCTGGCCAGGAGCGTTATAAGTCGTTGGCTCCGATGTACTATCGGAATGCCAACTGCGCTGTGGTTGTCTATGACATCACTCAAGCTGTATGGTCCTATCCTACATCGTGCCTTTCACTACATTAACTGTACAGAAGCTAACATGAAACTCCCATATAGTCGTCGCTAGACAAAGCAAAGTCATGGGTGAAGGAACTCCAGCGCCAAGCAAATGAGAACATTGTGATCGCCCTGGCAGGCAACAAGCTCGATCTTGTCACAGAGAGTCCTGATAAGCGAGCAATCCAAGAGGCCGACGCCGAGGCCTACGCACGTGAAGCCGGCCTGCTATTTTTCGAAACCTCTGCCAAGTCCTCGATAAATGTCAAGGAACTATTCACCGCCATCGCCAAGAAACTACCTCTGGATCAGGCCGGCCCTCGGAACATGCGGGCGACCCCCCGGCCCGGCGTTGACTTGCGACCAGAGGCCCCTGGAACCCAGGGTGCCGGTGCGTGCAATTGCTAAACAATTATCCGACCATATTCTCCCTTAGCCACTGTGCCCTCACCTCATCCACCGTTTGAAAGAAGGCGAAGACTACACATATCCCAGCATCGTTCAACGGTGGTATAACTTTGTCACTTTCTATGATTTCACCAATCTCATCCGATCGGACTCTGGCACATTCCCTACCCGCTACGGAGCCGAGGGATAGACTCTCGGTTCATGATCAATCTAACTCTCTCGGATTTTCCTTTGCTTCTTTTGTCCTTGCCCAGCCTGCTCAACTGAGGCCTCGCGAGTTCCCCATTGGCGGAAGGATTTAACTTCTAAGGACGCACGTGGAATTTGGCTTTAGATATGCTGCAGCTGGATCTGTCGGTGCTTTGACGGTGCTGTTCCTTCTGTACTCCTTGTTTCTTCTCACCTGGCGTCTGCATCTGCTCTTCTTTCTTTCGTCCTACGTCCTGGGCTGAATTCCTGCTATTCCCGTTAAACTTGTCTCTCTCAGAATTCTTAGTATGTTATGCTCAAATAATACATTTTCCTCACCTGTATGTACAGTGAAGACCTACAATATGTTAGTGGTTTGGGCAGATCAAATAGACATATAAGCTTTATCTACCTAGCATGTTGAATACAGTCAACAAGTATGGATATTTTATTATTATTTTTGAATCTATGTGTGTTGCTCATGTGTCGATATATTTCTCGGTCGGTGTTTACAACTGAACCCCGAAGACTTGATGAGAGGCCAATATCCCGAAAGAGATGTTCTCACATTTATAGGTCAACGTCTATCTGATATTTTATTGTACCGAATGAAAAGCTATACATCTCTGATGTCACAGTAGTATATGGAAGTGGGCATGAAATGGCGCGCAAAGCCACCCTGACCGCCCGCAGGATTATCGGAGCGGATCGCAACTGAACAACCAAATCCCGTTTTCCTACTCATCCATCTTTCTGATCACCTTTAGCCACTCATTTTGGCGATTGTGCAGCTCGTCATGCTGCGCTCCTCGATTGCTCCGGGTCGGCAATTGCTGTCAAACCCTGTCCGCCAACGGATCCCGTCGCAATGGCTGTCTAGAGCCGGTGCAAGCAACCGGCTGGCAGGTCAGGTAAAGACAACCATATCCACAAGCTTCCTATCTCTTCATACTCACAATCATCATGCGCAGCGATTCTTCGCCGATATTAAGCCCCCTACCACTGGTGGTCCGACACCAGTCTCCCCTTCCTCCGAATCCAGTATCCCTCCGGAGACCATCTTGAAGGCCGCTGAACAAGGTATGACGACCCCCTCCTTCATCAATTACCATTGAGGCCTACCCTTCGCGTCCTAATGCGATTTTCTTGCAGAATCTAAGCTTCCTCCTTCGCCTCCGGCACCTGCTCCTCGCAAATCCGGTCGGTTCCGTCGGTTCTTGATTTATCTGATCCTCACATCCGGCTTTGCCTATGGTGGCAGCATCTTCCTGGCCCTGAAGTCCGACAACTTCCACGATTTCTTTACTGAGTACATTCCCTACGGTGAAGAATGCGTTCTTTACTTTGAGGAGCGCGACTTCTACCGCCGCTTCCCCAATGCCTTGAGACACCAAAACCTACCGACTGCACCCCGAGCAGAGGGAAAGCCCGTCACAATTCCTAGCAAGAGCGGCATGTCTTGGAAGCTTGCCGAAGAAGAGAAGGCCGACGCCGATTCTAAGAAGGCAGCTCACATGAACGCTAGTGCCCACGAGGGCCAAACTAAGTCCGTGGCCGCCAAGCCCGAGGATCGGAACGCCGCCGTCATGAAGGCAAAGGAAGACACGGCCTCGAAGCACAGCCCCAAGGAAACGAAGTCTGAGGCCGAGGCGAAGAGCCCCGTCTCACTGGACGAGCCCAGACAACCTGCTGTATCTGCGAGCACCATTGAATTGCTCCAGTTGCAGGATGCCGATGACGCTGTTGTCCAGGATCTGGTCAAGACCTTCAACGATATCGTCACCGTCATCAGCGCCGATGAAAATTCCAGCAAGTACTCCGCGCCTGTCGCCAAGGCCAAGGGCGAGTTGGAAAAGATTGCCGAGAAGATCGCTGCTATTCGTGGCGACGCTCGCAACGCCGCCCAGGAGGAGCTCAACAAGCTACATGCCACCTTTGATGACTCGGCACGTGAATTGATGCGCCAATTTGAGGAAGTGCGCTCCACTGATCTTGCTTCGTTCCGTGAAGAGTTCGAGGCCGAACGCGAGAAGCTAGCTTTGGCATACCAGCAGAAGGTCCACACCGAGCTTCGCCACGCTCAGGAACTTGCTGAGCAGCGTCTTCAGAACGAGCTTGTTGAGCAGGCCATCGAGCTGAACCGCAAGTATGTTCACCAGGTCCAGAGTCTGGTCGAACGCGAGCGTGAGGGCCGTCTGAGCAAGTTGACTGAGCTCACAGCCGACATTAATGAGCTCGAGAAGCTGACTGCTGGATGGAGTGACGTTATCGACACCAACCTCAAGACTCAGCAGCTGCAGGTCGCCTTGGACGCCGTTCGCACCGTGGTTGAGCGTGCTGAGACCCCCCGGCCGTTTGTGCGTGAGCTTGTGGCCGTGAAAGAGCTTGCTGCGGGTGATGCCGTCGTCGAGGCTGCCATCGCATCTATTAACCCCACCGCTTACCAGCGTGGTATCCCCTCCACTACTCAGATCTTCGAGCGTTTCCGCCGAGTTGCAAGTGAAGTCCGCAAGGCTAGCCTGCTGCCCGAGGATGCTGGTGTGGCAAGTCACGCTGCCAGCCTTGTCCTGAGCAAGGTCATGTTCAAGAAGGATGCTTTGTCCGAGGGTGATGACGTGGAGAGCGTCCTAGTGCGCACTGAGAGCTTGTTGCAGCAGGGCGATGTTGATGCCGCCGCTCGGGAAATGAACACTCTCCAGGGCTGGGCTAAGATTCTCAGCAAGGATTGGCTGGGTGATGTTCGCAAGGTTCTTGAAGTCAGACAGGCTCTCGAGGTAAGCTTTTGTTGCACATTTCCGTTTGGCAATTTACAACAGATCCACTAACAACTTTTTTTTCATAGGTCATCGAGGCTGAGGCCCGCCTCCAATGCTTGCGGGTTGAGTAAGCGCATACTTTTGAGCGAAGCTGAATTCATTTTACCCTGTATATTCTCGTCTTTTACAGGAATTGTACCTCTAGTTGTACTTGTGCTTTAGACCCAAATGCTAGAACTTTCCCATGTCTCTCGGCTTATCTAAGGTGTGCAGTATGTAGCCACATATCTCTACTTGGATAAATCTTTCCTACGTTGAATTCTGAATAAGTTTGATGCTTGTGTCTTCTAGGGTTTAATGCCTACATAGTAGACTGCCTAGGCCGGTGCGAATAAAGTGATTACATAATAATGGCTGACGCGCATTCGGATCTACACTGGGGATGTTACGTCTTGCAGGTCATGCAATATTTCGTCTTTAATTTCACTAGTATTTGAACCCTTGCTAACTTGGTGGATTGCATTTATGCTTATGTCTGGCCAAATTATGTCCGTCCCTTTTTCGACCGTTGCCATCTAGCATTGTTGCCCTTCCTGCAGCAATGTCGCAACGACCAAACCAGTCCCCTGTACGATCTTCAGTCTCTCCGGCGAATATACGACCCCGAGACCGATCCTCTGGAACTGAGTCTCCTTTGCTCCGATCCGATCCGGGCTCATTTCGCCAGACCCCGCCCCGAAAGAGTGACGGCCGACCGAGCGGGGAGTTGGAAGGCAGTACACTGGGCAGCGGTTCCCGTGATGGAGATCGAAGGACACCGGGCCAGCGGAGGACCCCGAGCTCAGGTGGCTTCCTGCTTGACTCGTTACCTCGCGCGCGAAGCACAAGGGTTAGCCTGAACCGCCTTCGTCCCTCAGAACCTCCTCAAGAGAAGCGCAGCGTTCCCGAGCCGGATATCGTGGTCCCCAAGAAACGCTCACGATTTTCATGGAGCCGACATAAACACCATACAGCTGAAGTGGTGTCAAATGATGCGACTTTAAGCCCGATCAATGCCAGGCAAAATTCCACGTCTCCTGATAGACAGCTCTCCGGAAGCTCCCATCCCGAGGGACAGGAAGACAATATGGCACATACAACTCCTGGCCTCGATAGGGACTCGATTCAGATTGTGAATTTAGCCTTGAATCTCAATGAGTCTCGGAGGAGGACGGCTTCTGGATTACCCCCGGGCTCCGAGAGCCGAAGACCAATATCTGTCTCTCAACCTGCTGTTCCGTCTGTAGACAGCTATGCATATCCCCCCCGAGCGAGGAATTTCCAGCGTGATTCGACGTATCGCAACTTTAGTCAACTCTCCGGTAATCCTTTGTCCCAGGGGACACTGCCGAGCTTAGAGCAATCCTCCGTTGTGAATTTATTGCCTCCATCCGCGATTGAAGATCAACGGGCATACGAATTTTCCGAAAGCACAGTGGCTCGTGCCGAGAGAGCACGCAATCATTTTGATTTATTTCATGAATATATGCGGCTACTGCCCTCATTACCACCTCTTCGAGACGCAGTCAAGGATGACTCTGAGTTCAAACCACAGAAAACCCACCGTTGCTATAATCCGCTTCAAATGATTCGAAACAGAAAGGTCAGGTATCGTGAGAAATGCTCCATTGATGCAGATGCAGAAGGATGGCACGACGTTGAAAGAGTCCACCAATGGATCAATAACGTCGAGCAAAAATACAGCCAAAGAGAGTACGACCAACTGAATTGCTTAAAGCTGCCGCCTTTCCAACAAGGTCGCCACCATATCTCCATTGGGGAACACGAAGATATGGATATGATGCCTACTTCTCCGGGATCGAGCTTGCGGCGGGTCAGCCGAACTAGCAGCATGAAGGCCCGTCGGCCACGTATTGATTGGAAGATTTCGCCGGCAGAGCTTTTGGCTGATGTAGCCTGGCTGGAATATGGTACCAACAAGACGAAGGTAGTCGACAAGGATGGTCATAAACTCTACCCGGACCCCAAAGAATTAGTTATCGTGGATACAAGCGATGACTTCAGGACGCCGCTTAAGCAGCAGCGTCTTTCGGCCGAAGCGGGAAATCCTAGAGAGACATATACATCACCGCACACTTCTTTCTCTAGTTCTCACCCTGCGTTGGCGCACGAATTTAAGAGCGTGGGTCATGGGCGGCACAGGCACAGATTTGGAAGTCATTCGCATAGCTTACGCAGCCGCAGCGCTTCGAGCAAACGAAAGCCATCGCGGTGGGATAATGTCAAAATGCGTTCGGGCAGCGTCTCGAGTTCTTCAAGCTCAGATACGCACCCTTCCGTCGATGAAAAGCCCCGCATGTCTCGTGAGCATATCCGCGACCATGTCCAAAGATTTGTCGGCCATGCACACTCAGGATCTCGGATGTCCCGCTCTAAATCCCCGGCTGTTCGTAACACTGACATTGACCGGGGAAGGACACCGCAACCAACCGAGCCGTTGTCCGTCAATACGAAGCAAGCCCGCAAGCACAGAAAAGGGTCTTTCTCATCAGCAGGTAGCCTTGATGACCGGCATGATCCTCGGATGTCTCTGGAAGGCATGGATAGCACTGCGCCTAACTCTCCCGCCCATGTTGGTTATTTCCCAAGCATGGCAGTAAATCTGTCCCCCCCTTCAAGTCGATCTCCCTCGCCCGCAAAGAAGGGCCTCCGTCACAAGATTGTTTCACGGCACGAGCGTAGCAAGAGCAAACAAGCAGATCGAGAGCGAGAGCGGGAAGATGAATACCCGGAACCCGAGACTTTGCGTCAGCGAAATGTGACGGCGCCTGAGCGGACGGATGGTGCCTCCAAGCTCGAGCCAAGTCCTCTTCCTGATGTTGTGTCGTCATCCTATCCCGATGATCAAGGCACAGAGGGGAATCGAGTAGACGGACATCGAGCCCGTAAAGGGCCCCATCTTCCCGAATCAAAGCTACGAGGAATATTTAAGGGACCAGGTCGGATAGCAGAGATCGTGGGCAATGAGGTCTCTAAGGTCGGAGATCTTATCTTGAAGAAGGATGCTGATCCTGAATCTCGGAAATCATCGTCCGCCACCACTTTTGCATCAGAAAATAGCGATTCTGATGAAGAATTCAGAGGCGATAGGAAATCTGGCTCCAAAGGCCTTTTACGGCGTCTGCCAACATTTACAGATGAGCCTGGGCGATTGACTCGCAGAGATTCCGAGAAGAACTCATCCCGAAGCTTTATTCCCTCTTTGCCGACCTTCACGTCACCCCTGCGGCAAGATGAACGAAGTGAAGCAGCAGAAGCGACCGATTTCGGCAGCCCCAGCGAACGAGTTTCCTCTCCAAAAAAATACGGTTCCCGTGATTCTCTCAAAAAATTCTCGCTGCCACGTAGCAAAACGCTTGATTTCAACCCTTCTCTGCACACGGGACGGACAAAGCGCCACGAGATGAATGACCCTTCGATCCCTTTCAACCTAACATGCCCTCCTGTCACTGGGCTTGCCAACGCTCGAGCATCACCAAACCTTTCCCCGGAGGGAAGACACTCAGGGCTTTCAGGCGCTAGTCGCGCCTGGAGTATATCTGGGCGGAGTATCCACACCTTGATTGACACGGGCGTACCCGGGAAACCAGAAGTCGAGCGCACACGGGCTCTTCTGTTGTCTTCGGGGATTAAGGCCCGGGAGATCACTCGCCGAGCCCACACTCATCGTGAACCAGTCCCTCACTGGCTTCAAAGCTCCATGGGGCCTGGTACATCTGTTCCACAAGTGATGCGGATCGACGAATTCGACCTCGCTGCTCAAAACCTCCTCCGGCGTTTCGAGCAGACCCAGCACTCGTTCCAACAAGCCATGCATAATTTCTCCACCTCCACCTCGTCACCCCTCCGATCTCAGCTGACGAACCTGGAAAACCTGGTCAACCATTCCCTGGCCCCCCGCGTCCGAACCACGGCAAATGACGCCGAGGACCTGTGTGTCCATCTCAACACCACCAGCACGCTCGCTGTTAAACAGCTGAGCGATGCCCTTGATAGGGGGCTTCGTAAGCGTCGCCGTCGATTGCGGTGGATTCGCCGTACTGGGTTCATGGTTTTGGAATGGGCCCTTGTTGCGATGCTTTGGTGGGTATGGCTGATTGTCATGGCCTTCAAACTTGTGCGTGGTGTCTTCCAGGGTGCCTTCACTGGTATCCGATGGATCTTGTGGCTTTGATTATAGGCTGTATCTGGACATTTCTTCCATATCTTTCCGCGCCTACTTCCCTTTTATAGACTTTTCTATTTACGTTGCTGCTTTTAACTCCATCGCCCCTGTTGGCATGCATATACCCTTCCAGTGAGCTTGTTTATGCCCGCTGTCTTCTTTTCTAATCCATCATACATGATTTAATGGACCGTTGCATCTGTTTCAAAAGATTCCCATAATATTTCCTCTTCATCCTTTGTACATAATTCAGCTGCGCTGTCTCTATTTCAATACATTTGCATTTGAACAATGCTCATTAGCCTCTTCTGATAGTGGGACTTGTCCACTGGTTGTTCTCCAGCCAGTCCTCATATTGTATTCCTCTGCAAGCAACCGGGGTCGACAATGAATGCCTCGAAATTTTGAGAACAAAGCTGTTCACCTCTTTGTTCGTTGCCAGTCTTGCGGGATATTCCAGAACAATATCTTTGATCATAATACTTGAAAGTATGCAAGCATACCTCTTTGTTTTGTCCTCTTCCTCTTGTCCATGCTTAACAATGGGAACCTTCATGATATAAAAAGGACCAAGCATAAATATCTGGAAATTTCCGTTGGATTCAATCACAGATCTTGAGTACAACATTTCTTTTCAGCAGAAACAAAGCAATCTTTCCTCAGGTATATTCCTATTCACAATATATCGCTCATCTTGTGAACCAAAAATGTCTCCAACATGTAAAAAGAGTCCCACTAACTCCTCCAGCCCAGCAAAAACCCCCCTTAAGCCACTCCTACAAGGAAGCTAGCACCAGCCGGTGGCAACTACAAGCCCTTTTCCAGTCATTCTTGGAGGACAGACCAGTCGATACCATGCTTGCTGTTCAAGAACGGCGTCTTCTCATTTCCTGGGACCTTAAGGCCATTCATTACTTGAGGAGATGCTTGAGGACGTGGATTCTGGATCAGGTCCCCGGTGATGCGATCGGTGCATTCTTCGTGACTGTCTTGTATGAACAAGACTTTCATCTGGATTACCGACTGACTATGATGGTGAGGGAAAGACAAAGCCAGCTGCACATCGCTCGTCGTTTATTGGCATTCTATCAAATCCGAGACGAAGCAGGCGCTCCGATCTGGGATAATGTCACCGTCTATCCCGAAGACACCCACTCAGAAACACGAGGTCAGGGCAAGAGTATTTCTGAACGCTCCGATGCCACGAAGGAGCTTCCCCCTCGTATCCCTACACCGCCGCCTGTTGATGCGCGATGGCCTCTATTCATGGGTGCGCTTAGCGACTCGGAGCTTGAAGACCTCATGGACAAGCTAGGAGACGACGACCAGCATGCAGAGGATGATCTTCCTCCATTGTTCACCGGTGTGCGTGAAGAAGATATTCCCATCATCCAGGCGTTCCGCAGATTCAATCTTCACAAGAATGATTTCTCCGAAGACATTCCTCTGCCTGAGTCTGGGACCGATCGGATTGAATGTACATCGAAGCAGACTAACATATTACAGGATAAGCCTCTTCCTCCCATTCCCATGAAGCCTCTCCCAACTCTACCCATTGACAAGGCTCTTCCCCATAATTTCCCCCTCCCCCTGCCACCCCTTTCACGTCCATCAGGCCCAAATCCCTTATCCGTGCGTGTGTCGACATTCAAATCAGAAAAGAAGCCTAAAACCCAACAGGCAGACTATATACCAAGTAAACATGCTAACGTCGAACAGAGAAAGGGTAATAATGACCTCCGTTCGTCTCCGGCATCTCGCCTAAAGCCGACGCCTCCCGTTAACGTCAACCAACGCGCTCCTCATCCCTCATGCATCACTTATATTCCCTGCCATGTACATTATAATCCTCTCCCGTCCCCTCCCAAGCTTAGAAAGAAAGCGGCAGTCGAAGACTTGCGCCAGGCCCTGAGAGCGCGGTGGTTGAATGGAGATGTTGGGTTGATACATTAGGGTTAGACTTACAGTCCTGAGTTTATACTCCGCGGGAGTCATTAACAATCCAAATAAGAGAGGTCATAATAAAACAATAATCTATTTGTTCAGATGGGAGAGTTTATCTTAATCTTGAAATACAGGTCCCAGAAAGTCACAATGTGATATAGTGCCATGCGTAAATAGTACAGGGGGGGGGGGGGGGGGGGGGGTTGATGAAAGAAGCAGCAGGGAATGAAACCAAAATATGCTGCTTCTTAGTTCCAACAAGAGCCAATGCCAGGCACTGCCTGGCTTGGGTTGCCAGAGTAGTCGGAGTGGGTGGGTGTTATTACATATTTTATCGTTTATTTCTTGTGTCTGTCGGCCTGGGCCTTGACGTACTTGGCAATGAGTTCCTTCCTGTAAGAGAAGATGGTTAGTAACGGACAATGTGTGAAGAGTAATTCTGATTGAAACATACTGCATGTGAGGAGGAGCCTTCTCGTAGTGGCTGAACTCCATGGTGTATTCACCCTTGCCCTGAGTAGCGGCGCGCAAGTTACTGCTGAAACCGAACATGCCGTTCAGACTGCAGTCAGCGTAGACAGTGAACTCGTCAACACCGGTCTCGGTGTCGTTGATAGTGGCACTGCGCTTGTTCAGCAGGCCGATAACATCACCCTGGAACTCAGTAGGAGCGGTCACGACCGTCTTCATGAGAGGCTCCAGAACAGAGGGCTGACTTTCGGCGAAAGCCTTGCGGAACGCCTGTTGGGTGGCGTTCTTGAATGACATTTCGGACGAATCAGTCATGTGAGTGGCACCGTCGTTGATGACCATGCGAGTACCAAGAACCTTGTGGCCGATCAGAGGACCCTTCTCACAAGAGAGGTTGAAACCCTTCTCGCAAGCATACAGGAACTTCTCCGAAATGCTGCCTCCAATAACCTGCTGCTCGAACTTGTTCTCCTCGAGGACGCCGGTAGGCTCCATGAATCCCATAACACGGGCGAATTCACCAGGTCCACCGGACTGCTTCTTGAGCAGGTGGTCGAACTCAACACGGTTGCCGATGGTCTCACGGTAGGCGACCTGGGGCTGGCCAGTCTCGCAGTCGACCCGGTACTCACGGCGCATACGCTCCACGTAGATGTCAAGGTGGAGTTCACCCATTCCGGAGATAATAGTCTGGTCGCTCTCGCTATCGTAGCTCACTCGGAAGGTCGGGTCCTCTCTCTGGAAGCGGGCCATGGCCTTGGAGAAGTTGGCACCGTCCTTGCTCTGCTTGGGCTTGATAGAGAGCGAGATAACGGGCTCGGGAACGAACATGGATGACATGCTGTAGCCGAGAGTACCATCGGTGAAAGTGTCACCAGATGCACACTCAATACCGAACACGGCACAAATCTCACCAGAGCCAATCTCGCTGACTTCCTCCATATCGTTGGAGTGCATGCGGACAATACGGGGAACCTTGACCTTCTTGTTGTTGCGAGCGTTGAAGACGTTGGAGCCCTTGCGGAGAGTACCCTGGTAGACGCGAATGTAGGTCAATTGACCGAAGTTGCTCTCTTCCAGCTTGAAGGCCAGACCAACAAAGGGAAGAGAGTTATAGGGGACAAGCTTGACAGGCGCTTCTTCACGCTTCTGGTCAAGTGCGAGGTTCTCCACCTCAGAGGGGTTGGGAAGGAAGTCAATAACACCGTCCAGCATGGGCTGAACTGACTTGTTGGCCAGAGCAGATCCCATGAAGACAGGGGTGAACTTCAAGCCAATAGTAGCTCGGCGGATGGCGGCTCGGATCTGATCCTCACTGGGTGTGATCTCGTCCAAGAACAGCTCCGCGATCTCATCGTCGACATCGGCAAGAGTCTCGATGAGCATGGTGCGGCGCTCCTCGGCAATGGCCTTGACCTTCTCGGGAATTTCATCCTTCTCCACAATCTCCTCACCACTCTCGCCAACGTTGTATAGAGCCTTCATACGGATCAAATCAACAACACCCTCGAACTCGTCCTCGGCACCGATGGGGACCTGAACAGCAGCGGCAGGGATCTTCAGCTTAGTGTTGATCTGATCAACCGCCTTGAAGGGGTTAGCACCCATGCGGTCCATCTTATTCACAAATGAGATACGAGGAACATTGTAGCGGCGCATTTGGCGATCGACGGTAATCGTTTGGGACTGGACACCCGAGACAGCACACAGAATCATGACAGCGCCGTCCAGAACGCGCAGCGCTCTCTCGACCTCGATAGTGAAATCAATGTGACCGGGGGTATCAATCAAGTTGAGGTGGTACTTTTGGTCAACACCCTCCTTATCCTTCTTAACCCAGTCACAGAAAGTGGCCGCGGACTGGATGGTAATACCCTTCTCACGCTCCAAGTCCATGGAGTCCATCTTGGCACCGACGCTGTCACGCCCGCGGACCTCGTGGATAGCCTTGATACGACCAGTATAGAAAAGAACTCGCTCGGTACAGGTGGTTTTACCGCTGTCGATGTGGGCCTGCGCAGGGAGAACTTCATTAGACAAGAGCGAAGAGCAGGTACGGATCGATTGGGATAGTATGTACCGCAATACCAATGTTACGACACTTGTCAAGACGAGCGGCCTCAACCGGATCGAGACTGTCGATGATGGCCGCTTGTGATAGACCGTCCGGGTTGGCCTTAGCAGCCTCGAGACTAAAAACAAACATTAAAAACAGTGATAGAAAGAGATCGATTCGACGAGTATACTTACACTGCAGAGGCAACCTCAGAGGCATTTCGGCGCTGGTCCCATTGTCCCAGCTTCGACTGATAAGCCGGCGCAACAGCGGCAGACCGGAACGCGGCCGTGGAAGCGCATCGCTGGCGCAGAAGAGTCTGGGGCTGGAAACGAGCTGATCTGGTCAAACCAGACACCGCGCGGGTTTGTAACCGCATAAGAGAAGGAGACCGCATGGTGATGATCCAACCACACCAGAATTGATATGATCAACGCGAATTGAATGTTTAGTTGGCTCCCCGAAAAAAGTTCGGGGAAGCCAGGAACGCATCACGTGACTATTTACATCGGCCCATCAGAGCCGGTTGATTGCAATTCGTTGGACGTATAGCCATCAAATCAGATATCAACATTGGAAACGACGATGTCTTGGTTGTTCGGAGGCTTGAGTATGGTAACAAGCTGTTGGTTGGAGTAAACTGCACATATATCCATAGATGTTGGTTATCCAAGAAAGACAAGACTGGAGATCATGATGAGTTGAATTGAAACATGAAGACCCAATAAACTTCATTGCAACACTAATATACAGGAAAAAGACACAAGCGCCGTGGTATCCAACCACTGTCTGGTTTTGAAACAAGAATGCAAAAGTATGCCGCCGATCCGAGTTCCGCGACGATAGGCCGTATATCCAAGGGATTTCAAGACGACCTGGCTATCGAGAGCATATTTGTATGCCTAGAAATATTGCCAAAATTCTCAGATTGTTCGAGTAAAGGCTGCCGTGGAAGGACAAAGTGATAGACGCTACCGGAGAAAATGATGGAAAGCAACAACTCTATTTCCCTTGCCGTTGCTTGTGCTTGGGGTTCTTCGAGCTAAAAAACGAAGAGAACAAAACGTTAAAACCGAACGACTTCAAGTATAACCTTCAATGGCACTGGGTAATCACAACTCACCAGATGATGTAGACACGGCCTTTCCGGTGAACGGGCTGTTTAGCAGTTAGCACCAGCCAAACCACGATTTCCCAATTTTCAATGTGAACATATTCAATATCCCAAATCATACCTTGCAGCCATCGCACAGTCTCTTGACGGAAGACCGAGTCTTCATTCCCCGAACCTGCTCCACCTGTCTGGCAGACGCATTCGCCACGGCAATGCTGTTGCCGGACTTTGCTTGTCCACGGAGCCTCGTCAGGCTGTTGCGAATCATGTGCGAGAAAGGACGTAATGAGGCGGTCCGGGTGGTCACAGAGGGGAGGAACTGGCGGAGGGCACCGGAGGAGGCACCGAAGACGGCGCGGAGGGAGAACATGACGGCGGATTTCGATTTTGGTTTATCTCCACGGGAGGTGATCAATTGGAGGCTGCGCCTCAAGTATCACCTTATGGAAAACAAGAGGTATCGGGGTGTGGTGCGAGGTCGATATGTTTGGCTCCAAAGGTTCTCTCGTGCTGCGATCGCAAATGTTGGCCGGAGCTTCTGTATCGCCGGTCGGCCGACGGGGCTGGCCGCTTTGATTGGTCGGCTTCGGACTACGAGTATAAGGACAGCAGGGAAAAACAGAAAGACAATGCGGAAGTGAAGATTTATCGAATGAGGACAGAAGAGCCAGCCTTATTCATTGAAGCTGTTCAGAATAGCTAGCTGGAATATCCCTGCTGGGCTGAATTGAAGACGTGATCCGCAAGACAGAATTTGCGTGTATGAATGCTCGACAGTGAGAAAAGGACATTTTAGGATATTTGTACTTATGCAAGTATGTAGTAAGAAATCCAAACAGTATGTAGACTATGGGACCTATGATACAGAGGGTCTATCGAAATGAACCAAACGCCAAACAAGAGACAAAACAGGCCTGGACCTTAAACCGCTTAAACCATAACAAGCTATAACAAGCTATGAACAATGCATCTTCTCGTTACCCACCTTCTATTCTTATCCGATTTTGAAACAAAATCCTTAGTCGGAACGCAAGAAGGTCTTGTAAGTGGGAGAATCAGTGTGCTCACTGAACGGATAGCCCAGATCCTGAAGGAATGCCTCCAAGTCCTCCTTCTCAGGCGACGGGCACTGGATTCCAGCCAAAACCTTGCCTACATCACCACCGTAATTGCGGTAGTGGAACAGAGAGATATTCTGTTCAGGGCGGAGGGTAGTGAGGAATTTGGCGAGAGCACCTGGACGCTCGGGGAACTCGAACATGAAGATGCGCTCATCGGCGACCTCGCAGCGGCCACCGACGAGGAATCGCAGATGGCGCTTGGCAAGTTCGTCATCACTCAAGTCCCGGCAGCTCATACCACCCTTCTCCAGCTCTCCCATGATCTTGGCGAGGTCTTCGCGGCCAGTAGAGGTGGATAGTGAGATACCCATCAGCACATCGGCGGACTCTGCGCGGGCATAGCGGTAGTTGAACGCGGTAACGGCGTGGGGTAGGACAATTTCAACTAGTTTGGCGAACGCGCCAGGCTTCTCAGGGATCTTCACGCTAAGGAGTGCCTCCTTCTTCTCGCCAAGGGCGGCGCGCTCGGCAACAAACCGCAGACGGTCGAAGTCCATATTGGCGCCGGAGGCAATAGCAATGAGCTCGCGGTTGGGGTCAGGGCTGGGGTTCTTGGCAATGTACTTCTTGAGACCGGCAAGAGCGAGAGCGCCGGCAGGCTCAACGATGGACCGGGTATCCTCGAAGGCGTCCTTGATGGCCGCGCAGGTCTCGTCGGTGGAGACCTGGATGACATCGTCGATGACCTCGCGGCTAAGACGCCAAGTTTCCTCGCCAACAGACTTGACTGCTGCACCGTCCGCAAAGAGGCCAACCTCCTTGAGGAAAACCCGGCTACCCGCATGGAGGGACTGAGTCATAGCGTTGGCATCGTAAGCCTCGACACCGATGACCTTCACCTGGGGTGCGATGCGCTTGATGTAAACTCCAATGCCAGCAATCAGACCACCTCCACCAACAGCACAGAAGACTGCCTCGAGCTTGTCCAGGTTTGCCTGGCGCAGAAGCTCCATACCGATAGTACCTTGGCCAGCAATGACATACGGATCGTCGAACGGTGGGATGTTTGTCAGATCATGCTGCTTTTCCAATCGATGAGCCTCGTCCTTGGCAGCATCAAAGTCCATTCCATGAAGAACCACACTTCCTCCCAAGCGAGCAACATTCAAGTGTTTGATGGCGGGGGTACCAGAAGGCATGACGATGGTAGCGGGGATTTTCAGCTTGCGGGCAGAATAGGCCACACCTTGAGCATGGTTTCCTATGTAGAGTGAGTAAGAAGCAATTCCAGTTTGTCTTATCTATCAGGTATAGACTCACCAGCAGAGCAAGCAATAACACCCTTCCAGCGCTGTTCATTGTTCAGATGAGCCATCTTGTTGTATGCGCCACGGAGCTTGAAGCTGAACACAGGGAGCAGATCCTCGCGCTTGAGAAGCACCCGGCTTTCCAGCCGGTTACTCAGGTTGACAGCATGGGTCAGAGGACTTTCTTCAATAACATCGTAAACTCGTGACGTCAAAATCAACCGGAGATACTAGAATTGCGGGGCAATGTTAGAATTGGAAGATTGAGAGTGGATTGCAAAGCTTGAATTACATCTGGATAGCCGTTGGGAAGCAGGAAAGCTTCAGGGATACCCCAATTGGGAGGCAAGCCGGGGGTCCTATGCTCGCGTTCAGAGGGCGGCGTCGGAGCGGCGGTATACTCGGTCAACGCAAGCCCGCTCATCTTGGGAGTGACAGGCGTCGCGACGCCGTTGGTTTCGTCAGACATAATGGCTTTGAGATGATTTCTACCAAATGGAGACAATCAATCCCAATTCTGATTAGAAAGAATTTGGAGGCCGGCAAATTTAAACTCTCTCTGACTCTTTTTTCTTTCGAAGGCGGGACCGTGATCGGAGGCCCTTATGTCATCAACCCTGAGTGCGAGCCCTAAACAAAGGTTGATTTAGGCGTGTTGAATGGAAAGTAGATGAGATCGAAGTGAATGATCGCTAAAATTTTCAGACAGATATGAAATTGTGTATCCCTTTGAGATGATTAAATGTTCGAGGGGCAGCCCTGGACAGGTATAGGGACGATGTACAAGTAGATAGCGGTCAACAATGAGGTGTTGTACAAGAATAACTTATCTTTGCTTTTATATTTTTATATTATAGGCGAGTCAAGAGATAAGGGATTCCTCAATAGAAGCATTTAGGCAAAATAGAAAGCCCAATGTCCTCATTCGTCTGGAGACATAGATGCTGTGTATGCTGTAGTTAGTAGTTCACGGGCCCAGATAGTTACATAACCCGATATGTTTGAAAACTTGGCGTCATACCACAGACCCTACCTACCAGCATCTTGAGTCTATTCCAACCTCGAAACTTCAAACTCCTAGCGCCTCTCGGTTTACCCTTTGCCATCCTCGATTTATAAGGATCGACCGAATATCCCTGACGCGAAAACTCCACATTCTGTGGACGCAATTGCACTCCGCCCGACCATTGTCAAGATACCCGACCCCCCCCCAATCAACTTCGCGATGAACAGGGATCCCGTGCCTTCGTCTTTTGACGATAACCCGTATGTGTCACACATTATCCGCGTGCCCCGCAAGCGGCACCCAACGATGCCGCAGAGAAAGCGAAGGGACGGTTCGTCTGCTAACACTTGGCCTCGGACAGTCAATTTACAGAAGAGACCGGTACTCAAAAATTCACACGACGCCTCAGGGAAGAGCCGCTCGTTCCACTTGGTACGCAATTCCCCCAGCACAAGCCCTCACATTTCCCCTTTCCATTCACTTCCCGACCTTAAAAACTCATACATACTACCACAGGATGCGCCGCAACATGCTATGCCCTTTACCGCGCCTACCGGTCGATGAAATCCGGCGACTCAGTTGAAATGAACCGAATGTTCCGAGCCCGTATCTACGCACAAGCCTTCACGCTAGTCGCCCTAGTTGCCGGCGGAATGTACTTCAAGTCGGAACGGCAGCAGCGCCGCGAATTCGACCAGGCTGTGGAACTTCGGAAAAAGCAAGAAAAGCGCGACGCGTGGTTGCGCGAGCTGGAGGTTCGTGATAAGGAGGATCGCGAGTGGAGGGAGCGCCACGCTTCCATTGAGGCTGCGGCTAAGGAGGTCGGGAATAAGCCGGCGCAACCAGCGCCCCGCAAGGAGTCTGAAGAGGCGAGGTCCTCGATTGAGCCCGCCGATGAGAAGTCTATTGGGGTTATGGATGCTGTGAGGGCTCTTATTTCACGGAACTAATGGCGTGCGCTCTGTAAGATAGGAGATATTCTTTTTCTTTTTTGTATATATGCATCGAAATTCTCCATTATGTGGATCTTCAACTGATGGATTGTGCTGTTCTAGAATGCATAAGCATAAGTGACAGAAGTACGATGAGCTCATCCGGTTGTCATATCGGGGTTATGTTGTGTACAGTCCGAGGATCGACGTGCCGAGGTCGAGATGTGTTTGATCCGCGCCAAACAAGCTTGAATGGCGGCACTAGCACAATAAGGTAAACCATGTTCTTGGCAACATCCTGGAAATATTTCCGAAAACACAGCATGTTGATTTTGGATCAGCATGGCCGAATTTGCTTTCTTGGCCGAGGCTTTCATGTGAGATCGACAAGGCTAGCGCCGTGCGGGCAACTTAACATATGATACTCTTATTCGGAACGGAAGTACCGTCAAGTGAACGTGGCTTTGAAATGGCATTGTTGAATTCGCAAGAGTATAGGATGAATGGCATTTTTCATCTTGAATACATGTAACATGGTCAGCTGCATGGTCAAAGGAGATGATCCCAAGGCGGGGAAGTTGAACTAGACATTAAACCCTAATTCGGAAAGCCTCAGGGTCTATCAGAATCCTGCGTCAAAGTTTTCAGTCATTGCTCCGAGACTCCACTCATCCAACCTAACTCTCGCAAATCTTCCCCAATGCACATCCTTTTCCGAATCACAAATGACGTGGGGAAACATGAGCTAGTCGCCCTGTGGGCCGTCTCTCACGAGAGTACAAAAGCCCATGACATTCCCTTATGACTGTAGATCTTCTCGCTTTGCAATCCTTTCCTCTATACACCTATCAAAGAGGCACTATATCCATCTGTATACGTTATACCCAACAAAAAAGAACTGTCTCCACATCCAAGATGCTTTCCTGGATCTACCCATTGCGAATCGTGCAAGCCATCCTGTCCCTAGCCACTATTGGTCTTACTGCATATGGTTTGTTTCACTATGAAATTCACCAGAACACCACTGACAAGATCTAGAAATTGCCTCTCTGTACGACGAATGGTCCTACTCAAATGTCATCTACTACATGCTCTTCAACGGCTGCTGGACAACGGCCATCGCAGTTCCCTACTTGGGCCTCGCACCCGTAGCCTACCCTCGATTTTCACATGAAATCGCCATTCCCCTCATAGAACTGCTCACCGGCGGCCTCTGGCTCAGCGGTTGGATCGCCTTGGCTGTCATGATCCCCTCGCCTGGCGCATGCCACTATTCCAGCTGCCACGCTCTCCAAGCTTTGATTGTCGTCGGGGCCATCCAATGGTAAGAACGGACACCCAAGGATCAATACACACATACATGATCTAACCTATTGTTCTGAGCAGGGCTACTTTCGTTGTCACAAACACCTTCGCCATCATAGACGTGAAGAACTCTCGCCGCAACGCGAAGAACCACCGCAACGATGCCCCAGAGATGACTGCAGCTGGGGCAAATACCAACGGCAACAACACTACCGCCACCGCTGATGCTGTCTAGATGGGCTTGTCCACGCCCTGAGGATATGTTTATATACCGAAACTTACGCAACTTGCAAACTATGATACGCACGTGGTTCAGTTTCATAGATGAAAGCGATACCCCACTTGGTACATTTGATGAACACATGCCCGTCCCTGTTTATATTCAAGGATTTCCTGATAATGCCAGAAATGGTCTGGTCATGTATCGACCTAATGTTAATACGATAATCTCCTTACTCTCTCTCTTTCCCCGACGGTCCACTCAATTTATACTATCAAAAAGGAAATTGTACCAACTTAGAATTCAAGTCTTGAAATCATGAGTTTAATCTAGTATTAAAAAATAGCATCAGCCTTCTAATCAATAAAACGCTTCAACGAACATAAATAACTGAGATACCCGAAAGATATATATATAGTTTGTCGCGATCAACCAATGTCCATACCGTCCACCTGGTTTATCGATTTCATCGGCCCGCTCTGGCCTGCGTGATTCATTTCTGAGTGGAATGCCAGTACCTCGCCGTACCTAGTAAGAATAGTCAGGAGGATGTCCAGATATGCGTCGCGGTGGGCTGCATTTAGGATTTACATGATGGTTTTCCAGATATCGGCTGGGAGATTTGCCTCGAGGAAGGCCCAGTCAAATGTCTCTGCTGCGACTGGTTCGTCGTTGGGATCGTGATATGGTGCGAGATATGGAGACGAGAGGGCTTCTGTTGCGGAGATTCGTACTTGAGGGTCGAATTCAAGCAATTTGTCAATCAATATAGCCGCTGATTTGGTTAGTGCTTTGATTTCTTAAAGGAATAGCTTGAAACTTACCATCTTCATTGGCTTTGGGGATGAGCTGTGATATTGGCTTGCGTTCTCGCTTCGGGAGTGAATTGATAAAGTTCAGTGTCTGTCGGAAAAAAGAAAAGCAATCAGCAAACCCCGTTCCTTTCAAAAGAGTATGATATTAGCTACTCACATTTTCGCTTGTTATATTGTTGATCACTTCTTCGGGTGGATTACCGAGTAGATCGGTGATAACACAGAACTGGTTAATATGATTCGTTCCGGGGAACAAAGGCTCGCCCAAGAGTAATTCCGCGAAGATGCACCCGGCACTCCACATATCGACTTTCTCGGTATACTTTCGCCATGTGAGCATAATCTCCGGAGCACGATAGTACCTCGTCGAGACGTAACCGGTCATGTGGGATTCTTGGATACGGGCCAGGCCAAAGTCACATATTTTCAAGTCGCAGTTTTCATTGACCAGAATGTTGCTTGGCTTTAAATCTCGGTGGATGACACCAGCTGAATGGAGATATTTTAAGCCACGCTGGAATTGTTGGTTAGAAAATGGTGCTTGCTGGGCGTTAGTTGTAGAGGGCACCAACCATTATTTGATACATGAAGTATTGGGCGAATTGGTCTTCGACCTTTTTCGCCTTGAGAATTGTATTAAGGTCGGTTGCCATCAGTTCGGTCACAATGTATCTGAAATTATTAGTACTTTCGTAAAGAGAGTAGAGTCTCTTCATACATGTCTTCAGAGGGAGAGATAAAGATGTCGGTCAAGTTGATGATCTGGCTGTCAATCAGATAGTTGTTTCATCCTAGCTGTCGAGATTCTCACGTTTTCATGTCGCAACTGTCTCAGTAATTTCATTTCTCGAAACATGTGTCTCGCAATAGCCGGTGTCTTGAAAGGTTCCGCGAGTTTCTTCACGGCGACAGTCCGATGAGCAAGCTGATCCCTTGCAGAGCTATAAGGGCACTGTTAGTTTCGACTGATCATAGTCTCTGCTCCACAAAAGATAATACCAGACAAGCCCAGATACTCCAAGGCCGAGAGGTTTCCATTCCGTATAGCTGGATCGTATAATCTTAGCATATAAGATAGGATGTTACAGGATTTAGCCTTTTTCTAACCGTTCAGTCGTCTCGAATATTGTACCCATTACTGATTTCTGGGAGAAAGTTGCCATTTGCTCCCCGTAGGGAGGCGTGAGTAAGGCCGTGGGCATCATCGGGAGATAGGATTGAAGTTAATAATGGCTCGCTATAATATTCGGTACATCAGTTATAGACTTAAAAACCAATAGTATGAATGATATAGCCCTGGAGAAAATGAAACAATATATACCTACAGTTCACGATGATGACATCAGAGGCTTTGTGGATCTCCCCACATAACCAGCACTGACCAGCACAGACCAAGTACTCTTGGCAATAGAAGACTCTTGCACGTTCGTCACATATTTTTTCTCTGCAGGTGGATTGTGTGCGTGTCTACCCCCGTGTGACCCGGTGAAATGGTCTACCTAGAGGGTTGAGGCATTCCGCTACGGATTTGTCATCTGGTATAAGCCTCATCGTCATATCCTATCTAGAATGTTCAGATGTTCATGCAATGTCATAGGTAGATTCGTATATTCGTTGATTCGTAACTATGAGTTTTGTTCTGAGATTAATATACAACTTGTAAACGCCCCGCTAAAAGAACAGTCCAAGGTCAGTTAGGTATACACATTGTCCGCATCGATAAAGTTTTCAAACATCGAATCGGTAAAACCATTCGGCTCGTAAGGGGTGAAATCGTTCGCGATCGCAGGCAACACCGTCCAATCGTTGCGATCGTATGTGTTTGCATCGTATGCGCCCGATCCGGTGGGGTTGGCATCATCTACCGATTCATCGGACCACGTCCCAGTCGAAAAGGGAGATGAGCTTGTAGGCAGGCTAGAATTGGCTTCCAGGTTGGGATTACCATGCAGGACGGTCTCGGTCATCCTGGCGAGCTGGTGGTTGATTTGGTGGTCTTGGCACTCGGCGTGCTGAAAGATGAGATTTTTCAAATCCCAGACTTCTTCTCGTAAACAGTTCAACTGTGCTAGGAGAAGGTCTTTCTTTTCGGTTTCGTCGCTAAGGCGGCGCTCGATTTGCTTGTGTTCTCTCTTCTTTCTTTCCCGGCATTTGTTGGCGGCGACGCGGTTGCGTTCGAGGTGCTTAGCCCGCCCGGGGCTGACGGAAGAAGAGGGTGAGGTGGGTGATACGGATTTCATGGTTGTTTTTTATTTTTTTGGGCCACGCTACCTATAGAGGTATTGAAAGTATTCGAGGTGATAAAAGAGGTAATAGAAAGTAATTTGGAATATAGAAGGGGTTTTTTTTTTTTTTTTCAGTGACTAGAGAAATTTCAAAAATCTCCGTAGAGATCTGACTTGATATATGAAACCATCAGCGCAGACTCGATATAAAGAGTCTGGACCAAAATCAATGACGTACTACTTCAAGGATCCGGACAAGATCTGGACTGAAACGAAAAGCAAGCTTCGAAACAGCTGCAACCTGGCAGCCGTTTCCGGTTTTACTACCCAATCATCCAATGATGCCTCAGGTCCCATAATTTGTGAGAGATGCTAGAAGACACTTAGTGTGGAGAGAGGTCTGTGGCAATTCTATTCTACATTGTAGATCCATATTAACCGCCAAGATTAAACTAAATTAAAGATGAGTCTGACATCATATATTTATATTCTAGTGTCTAGATCATCTATGAACAATAAGAGGTACAGCGTAGCAAACAATGTCTTCCAAGATTGACCGGAACTTCGTTTGCTTGCGGATTCAGATTATATACTGTAGCATGTCTCGATGTGGAGATACTAGAATCTCCTACACCCCCACTGAAAAACTTGGCTTCCATCCCGTAGTGGAACGAGCTTCCGAGGTCCCTCCAATATTTCTTTGCTTGCCCATCGGGGCTATAAGTATACCGACAGCTCATTGGAAGCCAGAACTGATCTGCAACCCCAACATGCTCCCTAATTGTGAAATCGGGGTTCATTCGCCAATGGAAACCTTGGAAAGTCTCCCTTCGTATCACTGTCCAATCAATAGTATGGAGGTTAACCCCCCAATGTCTACGGTTTCTTCCCCCTAATTCGACCTTCCACACTTTTGAAATGTGAGCTGATATCATACAAAATATATTTACATAGATGCCTATATACACAGCTCAACCAGCGATCTGTTCATCGATATAGCGTCTCATCGTCTCGAATTCTGATTTGCCTGTCTTTGAGTTCGTTAGCAATCCAAACTTTATAACACAACATGTAAATCTTCATACCGAAAGCAAGTATCTTATGTGTTGCTGCAGAGCAAAAAACCAGTTAGTTCGCTATTCTCAAATCTTTAAGCTTCCCAAGAGCCGAGAATATCAACCTACCACATCCGATACTTGGCGATGGCGCTCGAACTCATCACGTGCATATCTGTGCAACTCGGTCCGTGTTGGCGAAGGAGGGATCTCTGAGCAATCTGTTAGTTATCTGTCATACATAGCCCGGAAATTGGGATGGTGGGCGTACTTATTAATGCTCGCACAATTTCCCGCCATAATGATAGCACCCGCTGTCTTTGAATAAACTGCATTGTTTAATTAGTACATATACTTCAAAGCAAGCTTGAATTGCTTACATGGTCTAGACTGATGGAAGGCTTCTTCAGCTTGGATGGCTGACTGCGCGAGACCGCGGCAAGGAAACGGGATGAGGGACGCATTGAATCAGATCAAACCACGGCCTTATGTATAAAACGGAGGATTGAATGCGTCATGAAGTGTTTTTTTCTGATGATCGAGATGCCGATTAGTTCGTAGGAGAAGGGATATGGAGGGCGGTGAGATGGATATTTCTGCCGCAAGTACTGTGTTCAAGGTCAGGTGATGTCCTGCTATATGTGACGAACCGAGGGTGAAGAGGAAAAGGTTCATATTCCTATGGCTAAGGGAGGAAGAGAAAGAAGAATAATTGTTATTCAATCTGAGAAGAAGTAGGGTATTTATACCCTGATATCCGACAAACAATCTGCCCGCAAGCAAACAATGAGAGATGGGATTATCCGACACATATAAATGCGTGGTAGGTTTTTATCTAACAAGGATATAATATATAGTTTGGGAGTAGATCATTATTCAATTTTTTTTTACTCCTGTAGAGGCGCACCCATGCCACCGAAAGTAATACTCTTAATAGTCATGAACTCGTCAATACCATACTTGCTGCCCTCACGACCGAAGCCACTCTGCTTGACACCACCGAATCTATAGAAAGGTTAGAGCTTGAGATACGAATATAAGGAGATGTAAACTTACGGAGACGCAACATCACTAATCAGACCGGTGTTGACACCAACCATGCCAACCTCCAGGGCCTCAGCAACACGGAAGATGCGGCGAACATTACCACTGAAGAAGTAACCAGCAAGACCGACCTCGGCATGGTTAGCCAGTTCAACAACCTCCTTCTCGGTCTTGAAGGAGAAAAGACCAGCCACGGGGCCGAAAGTCTCTTCGGAAGCAAGAAGCATATCCTTGCTCATGCCCGTAAGAACAGTAGGGTGGTAGAAGTTAGGTCCGAGCGCGGTAGCCCGCTGCCCACCGATGACAATCTCGGCGCCCTTGGACGTAGCATCCTGCACATGCTCATGGGCCTTGTTGGCAGCGCGCTCGTGAATGACAGGTCCGTGGGTGATGCCCTCTTCGAAACCACCACCGAGCTTGAAGTCCTTGACCTTCTGGACAAAGCGCTTGGCAAACTCCTCATACACGCCCTCTTGAACGTAGATCCGGTTGGCACACACGCAGGTCTGGCCAGAGCTGCGGAACTTGGAGTTAATGGCGCCGGTCACGGCAGCGTCGAGGTCCTCGACGTCATCGAACACGATGAATGGCGCATTCCCACCAAGCTCCCAGGAGACCTTCTTGAGTGTCGATGCAGACTGCTTCATAAGGATGCGGCCGACGTTGGTCGAGCCGGTGAATGACACCTTGCGCACCTCTGGGTGAGTGGTAATGAGCTCGCCCACTGCAGGGGTGTTCTTCGAGGAGGTAACAATGTTGACAACGCCCTTGGGGATTCCAGCCCGGCGCGCAAGCTCAGCAATTGCGTTCGCTGTGAAGGGTGTCTCCTGAGGAGACTTGGCTACGACTGTGCAGCCCGCCGCCAGGGCAGGACCGATTTTTCGCGTAATCATCGCCGCGGGGAAGTTCCATGGCGTAATCAGACCGCATACACCAACAGGTTCCTTAAGAGTCATAACCCGGTTTCCGGGGACGGTGGCGGGGATTGTGTCCCCGTATGTGCGGGGTGCCTCCTCACTGAACCACTCGAAGAAGCTGGCGGCATAATTGACCTCACCCTTCGCGTCCGCAAGGGGTTTTCCGTTCTCCCATGTAATCAACTTTGCTAGATCATCCGCGTTCTCCATCATTAAATCGTACCACCGGCGCAACATGCGCGCGCGCTCGCGGCCTAGTGTTGTGCGGAATTTGGGGAAGGCTTCTGAGGCGGCCTCAATCGCCCTCTCAACGTCGGATGTATCGAGCTCGGGACATGTTCCGATCAGTTTGCCAGTAGCCGGGTCTGAATGAGACAGGAAAAAAAGGTTAGCGAGTCCTCCGCACCCTAGTATTGGATGTAGTATTTACCGTGGACTTCGAAAGTCTCGCCGGACTTTGCATCGACCCATTCGCCATTAATGTACGCCTGCTCAATGAATAGGGACTGGTCTTTCAACTGTAACCGATCAGTACAAACCAGAAAATCACATTCAACTGCGGAACTTACCTGCGGCGCGCTGTGTTTCATGCTGTATAGTCTCTGTGCGCGAGCTGTCGGGGGAATCGAAAAAGGATATCTCGGTCGAGGTCTTAAGAATTGGCGAGCGACAGGGCGAATGATGCGGTCCATTGTGAGAGATTGAGGGAGATACAAAAGATTGCGGGGAGGAGGGTTGGAGACGCCTTTAAAGCAGTTCAGTGGAGATGTGAGCTCAATGGTGATTTGCTTATTATGACCGAGAAGCACCGAGGATGGCAGATGAGATCTCAGAAGGGAAGCTCTATGCTTAAAGCGGGGATCTACGTTGATGTCATAACGGAGAGCATCGTTTTTATTTACTGTTTTTTTGGTTTCTATTTTTTTTTAGAGGTTCTACATTCTGTCCTTTTTTTTAATTCATATTGGAGAAAAAATTAACTAGAATAGCAAAGAATAGAGCAACTTCTTCCTATTGAAAACTATAAAAAATGTTTTCATTTCATAGATCTGGTAACTTTTGTAATTTTAAAATAAATCTTACAGTACCCGGCTCTTGAAACCAATCAAAATTTTAGACTTTGATTATTCGGGATATACAACCAATGAACATCGACTTTGGTCCCCCGGCCTTGAGATAGTGTATTCGTAATACTCCGAGCTCACCTCTAGCCCTGGAGCTATCTTCAATTCCCCAATCGAGAATCTTTTTACAAAAGGCAAATTGAACTAAAAGAGAACACGTAAGCACGATATATGCCACTCTGGAACTAATTCTGATTGGGTCCCTACTAGACGAGGTCTCTGTGGTCCTTTTTTTTATCCTTTTCCCTTAGTTTGATAGCTAGGCGAACAGAAAAAGATGAGAAAATTCATAACCTAGGATTTAAGATCAAGAATATCAGCATCTTCAGACTAATATTCAGAAAATACTGTGGAAAATTACTGCTTTGCATGGCAGTAGAAGCCAACAAGAATTAAGTCCAATGGATTCCAAGGTTGTCTATAGACATGTATGGCAGAGTGCACACTCAATAACAGGACAGGGGTAAGTAGCTTCTAGTAGCAGTAACCCTAGCACAAAGCTCAACGTATGACTCTTGCAGGAGTGATATAGATATTATAGAGAGACAGGAGCCTGGAGTCTGGCGGTGTCTAAGGCTACCTGCCTACTCGGAATATGACCATCTGACCGGCCGGACTCATATACCCCATGTCTACAAGAAACCGAGCCTGTGTACAATGTAGGTGGTTGCACTACTCAAGGGGACTCTCTACTATTTACCTCATGGCTTCATCTAGACAAAGCCCTCCTTTTGATTTTGGTCCCTTAGGATATCCTGCCCTAATACAGTTAGATGTCACCGTAGAGGATAGTTTCAATGTGAAGATCCCAAGATTGATAGTCGCCCAGGCGATAATTGCTAGGCTATCAAGGAGGTCATGAGGCAATCGATACCCTCTTGAAACTATCTACCCTGGAGCTCATAAACTTCTCTCACTTTAGATCAATCGACAACCCTACACTTTCCATTCCTCCACCACTCTCTTCTTTCATCACCCCCTCCTTCGTCAGTTTCCTCATTCAATACTTCAGTCAGACAACTTCTTCTTGTGCTACTTTCACAATCCATGTCTCCACGGACCTCGACAGAGCTTCAGCTTCTACCCATTCGCTGGGTATAGGCTCGCTTGACGACTATTTTATCTTCCTTTGATCGATCGAAATATCAGCGAACCTCACGGAAAGGTCGTCATCATGTCTTCAGCTTCACAGAGAGCACTCACTGCTCTCTGCGATAGCATGGCGAGTGTTTCTATCTCCGCCACCGGGGAAAATCAGCTCGCCCAATCCCCATCGTCCACTGCCCTGGCTACAAATCTATCATCTCTCTCGCCCTCAACAGATGGTATGGATCCATTCAGACGGTTGCCATGGTTCGCGATAGAAGAGATTCTCTTGCGATTGAAGGACTTGCCTACCCTCCATCGCTTGTATCAAGCCTCACCGGCGGTGGCTGATTACCTGAATCACACACCTGGGTTCTTTCCCAAGCTCGTGGAAACATTGATGATTCTCAAGCAATATGGCCGTGACATGGGCCCCCATACCGATACCAAAGTCTTCTTCCGGACATTGGTCTATCTTTGGTGGAAAGAACAGTCTATGGCTACAGGCGAACTCATTTCTTCCGCCGACAATCCATTGCCAGCCACTTTCCAAGATCATCTCATTTACCATGTGAACACCTCTACTCTGTACGGCTGGTGTGAGCGATACTGGATCGGAGAAATTTCCCTCCCACCCTCAACTCCCCCGCAAGCTCTCCGTCGCCTGCTGAGTCTCACAAGTCGGATCCGAAGAGACTCGCATGCCTTTTTTCATGGCTGTTTGCACCTGTGTGTCAACTCCAACCTGAAGCGCCTTGCGTACCACAAGAGTCGGTGGCCCGAAAACGGGACTCGGCCTCGCGGAACGCCTATCGACAACTCCTGGGCAGGCACACATGAGCTGTCTTGGCTGGAAGAACAGCGATTGTTTCACGCCTTTCTCAAAGTATACATCTTCTCGGAGCTACGACGACTTGTATTCAAGGAAGGAGTTCTGAAATTTGACCCGAATCGCATTATCTCGGGGGAATGGTTGCCGCATACCTCGACGCACCTGAAAGAAGGGAATTTGATCGAATTCTGGATTGATTTTACTGGGCAGACGGGAGATCCGGAGAACATGGAGCAGCTCAAGTCGGTGGTGTCTTGGCTAAAGGAGGGACGGCCAATGCACGGCAAACCACTCGAGGGACGATGGCAATTCGAGAAATGTTGCCCAGATCTTTGCATATTTGAACAAAGTCGATACGAGCGCGTTACGGGAGCGGATCCTCTTTACGGGGGCCTGAACACTGGATGCTTTTGGGCACAAAATTGCGAGTTTGTGCCTCAGTCTGGAGTCAAGGAAGCCGCATTGGAAGGAAAATTCCGGAAATTTGGTTTTGCATTTTGGCACGATGACAGAATGATCGGCTTGGGGATCCTGCTGCCGCGTTTTCTGAACGAGACCGTCTGCACAGACATTGCTTACAGGTGGACATCCCTGTTGCAGCCAAAGGATGAAGTGCCCAGGAACAGGAAGCCACAACATCAAAGGTGGACGCTCACGCACCGTTCCCGACAAACCAATTCCAATTCGCGCCGCTAGGTCTGGGTTCGCCTCTCACTTATGTGTTCATACCGGAGGATTGCTTCCATTGGCAGCCAAACTCGGATACTTTCTGACATTTCAGATTGACATGCCATTTTTGACATATCTTCGGACTTTTTCTGATTGAAGATTTATTTCTATTTTTTCTTATTTTTTTCGACTTTCTTCAGATTGGTTATTTTCTCGGCGTTTTTCCAATTTCTTTTCCACTTTTTTGTGATTTATTCAGTGACGTTATGGGAGAAAACAACAAAACCAAAAAAAAAAAAAGACATACATGCTTAGAGCATATCTTGACTGTGTGAGAACGGGTTGCTTTGGTTAGGGGAAAAAGATAAGGCCAAAAAAAACAGAAAACAATGCAAACCATGGATTCGTCCATGGATACCTACGTATCTACCTAACTACATAGTAAAGCGTCTAATCAGGACCTTTTGGTAGGCACTAACAGTAATGTTAGCTTCGTAACTCTCAATTGAGTCAACTAGGATGTCTCAAGATTTCCATCGCCCAGATCCTTTGAAGGAGACAGGATATGAACATTTTCTATTAAAATTCCAACTTCTAGATTGCCAAAGGCAGAATTAAAAGTATCAAAGGTTATATATGGAAAAGTCGTCTGCCTAGTTTATGTATTTTCCGCTTTTTCCTACTGTCGCCTACCTATACAACTGGGAAGGGGGAGAAATTATGTGAAAAAAAATATATATATGAGGAAAATCAGAGAAGACTACCGAAAAGACTACAAAGGCCTCACAAGGCCGAATAGGCGGCCGACTACTGTCCTGATCAAGCCGGCACTAGTCCACACAGATTGTGCAATTTCCAGTCCACATTCGCGACTAAGCTAGAGGGTAAAGTACACGATCTATTCGATCATGATATGATCGTCCCGCTCAATCGAGGCTTCATTCCCAGGAGTAACATGTATACCATGAGTCTTTTTCAAATGTTGGTTAAGATTCCATTTTCGTGAAAACCCATTCTTGTGTCGAATGCAAGACCTGACAGGGCAGACAATATCCACTTTCCGATGAGGACCCTTTCCAACACCTGGTTTAATCGTTTTTGGCTCCTGGTCGACGACCTGCTCTGTGATCTCTGCAGCAGGTTCCACTGCAGTGGGTTCTGGCGGCGCCTCCGGGACTGGGGATGGGGATTCGGAGGGAGGAACGAGTGCAGGAGTCATGTATGCCTTCGAGTGTCGCTGGCCCGGTATCTTCGCCTTTGGTTGGGGCATGGGTTCAACTTCAACTTCAGGTTTGGGTTTGGGTTTGGTTTTTCGCTTGCGACTTGGCCCGGGAGCTGGCTGTGGGCTTGGTGGCGCCGAGTCACTACCACTCTCGCTTTCGGTGTAGGCGTATTCTTCTCGACCATTTGCCTTTCTCTTCTTTCGGACCCTGCCTTCGGGCATGATTCGGAATTCCATATCTTCGCCGAACAGGTCGGCACATCGCTTTGACGCACGCATTACCGCGGGGGTGGGGAGGTCCATCATTGATGCCAGTCCCAGAACTTCACTCCAGTCTCGCAATTTGAGGCGGCCCTTGGTGTGATGATCGTCATCACCAGCAGGGGAATTGCGAGATTGCGCTCGGGTTTGGGAACCTTCTTGCAAACTTTCATTTTCGGTCTCCGGTCCAGTGGATATGCGTGCACTGTTGGAACGGCGTGATGTTTCTCGCTCCTGAGACTGTCGAGTAGTTCTCCGACCACGCGATCGACTTCTGCTTCCGCGGTTGCGGCTCTCTCGAGTCTGGTAGCCTTCTTCATCCGAATCAGTCCATTGCTCGTCAGCAGAGTCTTCCTCATACTTGCGACCCTTCATGGCGCAATGGAGGCCATAGAGCAGCCGGTCTACCTGTGAGATCACATTGCGGACCACTGGACGTAATTGGCGAAGAGAGTAGTCTTCGTCAAGTAAAACTGTCGGTCTGAGGATCCTTGTATCGACAGGCTCTTCTTCCTCCTCCTCCTCCTCCTCCTCCTTTTTCTCTAATTCATCTTGCATCAGTTCATCCTCGTCGTCCAGCTTATTCGCAGTGTTATCTTCAATTTCTTCAAAATTCAACTCTCGGGCTTGGAAGGTCTCCTTGGAGACCTTCAGTATGAGCGCTGTGAGGCATTCTTCCAATTCTGTACTAGGTCGGGAATCAGGTTGCATTTGGTACCTATCAGGGTCTTCCATTATCCTCTGGATGACCTCGTTGGCACGGGGAACTGTTGTTGCATGAACAGGCCATGCAGCCCATCGCTTGCTCACACGGAGTGGCGCTTTTTTAACGACTCCAGGGTTCTTCCGCCCAGTGTCCCGAGCTCGCCTGCGAATCGCGTGGGCATTGTAAAGGTGAGCGGCCAAATCTCTGCTTCGGTGGATAGCCATTGCATTATAGGCTCCAATATCGTCGGCGTTGTAGTTCCTCCAGGAAGTGGCATGCCCATCAAACAGATTGGGGCGCTCAACCCCAGGTCGCAGGTCAAGACCTCGGTCAACTACGTAGTAAATTGGGTCATTCTGAGACTGCTGCGCCTTCTTTGAGCGTCTGCGACTTCTGCCACGATCATTTTCCTCGTAGCTTTCATCATCGGAGTCATCCTGGAACGCCAAGGGCTGTTCTCGCATTATCATGTCAAATTCACTTTCGCCTTGGTCTAGCGCCTCATCCATGGTATCTGCTTCAGAAAGAGGTTCTAGATGATCATCTTCCTTGATGGGGCCTCCAAAAAGAGAACTTCTTGGCGGTTCTGGCTGAGAAGAAGGTTGCAAACCGACATCACTGCTTGGGCCTCCAAATAATGATTGGCGTGGCTGCGCAGATTGCGGTGGAGGAAGTTCTGGCCAGGGTACCTGGCTTCCATACAAAGATGACATGCCGGGAAGAAACTTTGGTCTCTTGCCGTTGTATGTGCAAAAGGTTCGGACGTGTAGTGCCTAGATATCACATATATGCGGATTTTTATTGGACAACATCCGACTTGAAGGTCAAGAAAACACCCGGTGTCAGAACTCTCAGTGATCGGTACTTTAAATGGTAAATTTTGGCTTTCTTGTCCGACTTTGATTGTTTCTGGATATTGAAGATGTCGAAAATTCCAGGCGGGTGGATCACCGACACAATCACGTGATTGATATACACCATCCCGGAATATTTACGCTAGTCCCAAAAGGGCAGTATGAACATTTTTGACCTAATCTCTATTATTTGTATCACTATGCACACCATAGAGTCCAAATTATCGACGGTGATGAGTTTCCTACCAGATGTTGGACCGGAACAATATATGCTGTCGTAGATACGAACAGGATCTCGGTGAGAAGTTGAGTCGTTCTGTAAGGCAATGTACAACACAGTTGATAGTCAAGATAGGCTGTCACATTTGAGATTTGGGTACCGAAGATGCTGGATTTTGTTATGGTTGCCTGAATTGGCTGCACGGTTTTGGTAGCAGAACAGACTGTAGTGTACGCTACTGTCTCGGTTGTGAGGAAGGTGATCCATGAGGCGACGTGACTTTAGACAACAGAGCTTGACCGGTTGGAGATGACCCTAGCGGAAACAAGAAACCAGATTAGTGTGTATAACCAAATAAACCCCTGTAGATGATGTGTCCAGGATGCTCTCTTTTCACCCTCGGGGTTAGCTTCTCGTTGGGGTTTAGCGGTCCCCACAACTCTAAGGGCCAATCAATACATGTCGTTCAACTTCAATCTATATGATGAAACTTGAATAGTTGAAATCGGAACTTCCACATGTGCGAGAGAGGCTGGCAGATAGACGTGTACTGCCATAAAGAAAGTAATGATATCATCTTCATAAAAATATAGACAGAGGACTCTATCTAATTATCCAAAACGAATGAAAGTGGCAAGGTCAATTGTCAGAAAGCAAAGCAAAACCATCCTCTTTTTATATTTGCAAGCCGCATTTTAGAACCAATCGTTAGGAAGAAAGAGCGGCATAGAATCTTCCCAAATCGAGTTCGTCAAAGGACGCTTATTGGATCCATCGGAGTCCATGATCATGATCTGACCGTAGGGCTGAAAGGTCTCATCGTACAAAGGACACTCATACTGGAACCCATACATGCCGGAGGACCATATGATTTTTCCATCCTGGCGCCAAACGGCGTGGGCGTCGTTGGCGCCGCTGGAAGTCAGAATGCGGAAATCAGTTCCGTCAGGGCGGATGGTACAGATATCGTAATTAGTCGGAGAAACCTTGCGAGTAAAGAGTATAAATTCTCCATCGGGCGAGAAGGTGGGAAGGTTGTCCCAGCCACTGGTAATCTGGGTGATCTTCCTAGTCTCAATGTCGATAATGCGCAAACCAATATCTGTCTCATTGCCGTACCTGGCAGTGTCGGCACCCCAGACGCGGTAGACGATCTTTTTTCCATCGTGAGAAAAGCTGGGAAACCCGGTGTTCAGATCCTTGGTGTTATTGAGATAGAGGTTGCTGGTGGTGAGGACCTCGCTGTAGGTGCCATTTGCGGTGGAGCGTACAATCCAGGCTCCTCGCCAATCACGCGCCTCAAACCAGGCGCCCACCCCAAAGGCAATCCACTCGTTGTCTGGGGACCAGCTGGGATTGAAGGCCCCGGCCAAGCCTTCGGAAGTCAGCGTAGTGTCTAGGAGAGTGGCATTATCAGGTTTGTAGACCAAAGAGAGCTGATCACCCTCTACGTCAAAAGTGGCAATGGAGCAGTTCCCAAGTTGCTTTTCAGTCACAGCTATGCGATCATTTGACGAGAGTTGGGGGAATACATCAGTGAAATGATATTCCCAGTCCCTGTCCCAACCGTAAAGCTCCTTGAAAAGAGGGCGGATAGACCAACCAACCTTCTCGTAAACCACGTACTTTCCATCGCGTGACCATGACGGAGAGCGGATAGTGGTATTGTAGTAGGTACCGTTTGTGAGATATAGGCCCTCCTTAGTACCGCCCTTCAGATGGTACCCAATGGTGGAGTTCGTGACGTATTGAGGAAAGGTCTTCATACCAGGACCACCAACCTCTATGCGACGGTCAGAGCCATTGACTCCAATAGACATAATTGTGGAGTTGGCAGCTCCGACAAGCTCAGGTCGATGTGCATCCCATGTCGCATTACGAGTCATCTCGTAGAATATGAGGCGAGTGCCATCAGGTGACCACTTGGGAGACCCAAGGCAGTGGCCAGTACGGTGGGTCACACGGCGAAGATCTGAGCCATCAGGGCGAATAATATAAATACCGAGTTCTTGGGTGTGCTCCCAGCCATAGAGGCCGAGGAAGGTTTGATTTCCGTGGCCATCCCATATTGTGTTGCGGTCTGAGGAAAATGCAAGCCAGTCTCCGTTTGGCGACCAAGCTGGACGGAAGTGACCATTCATCATGTCCTCATCTCCCCGATTTTGCGGGATATCGGTGATATTCCACTCGGCACCGGTCTCCAGATCCTTGACCCAAATGTTAGCGTTGTAGTTATTGGCCGTTGAAACATATGCCGCCAATGTTCCATTGGGTGAGATTACAACGCTATCCTCCGCTGCTGGAGACGACACAACCGGCTGTAGATCGGAGCCATCTGGGTGCACACGCCAGATATCGGAGTTTCCATCACCGTTACGCTCACTGGTGAAGGCAATCCATTCACCATCAGGAGAGAAATCGGCGTGGTATTCATAACCGGGATCTTTCAATAGAGGACGCTCGTTCGTGCCGTCGGTGTTAGCGATGTATAGTTCTGAGGTGCCGGGGGCGATTCGGTTCATCAACAGAAGGCCCTTTTTTCCAGCCACCGTGGAGGGAGACGTAACACCTGTTAATTTGCTTGTATTGGTGTCGCGCGGCAGGTGAGCATGGAGGTTAGCACGGCTGTCACTCCCAGTACCCGAATCTCGGCCATAAGGGCAGTTTGCTAACGCAGGGGCGATGGCGAGGCCCACTACAGTAGCAATACTCAAACGCATTTCAAATGACGTTGAAAACTTTGGAAAACAAGAGCCTCGGGTAAACGAAAGAATCTCCAGGGATCATCCAATTGAGAAAGAGTTGTCAACGGTACCCGTGGTCCTAGTACATAATATGGAATGCGGAAATGGAAACCTGGAAGGTGCTACCTTCATACCGTCTTATAACCATCGACTTGAGGTTCACCTGGGCCCCCTAGCGAGTCCTTTACAAATGATATATTCATAAATATTTTGATAATCTTCCAGTGGAATCCGTTGGGACCAGCAACTTGCTTATCATCTTACATCAATTGGTGTCCTGTGTATTAAATGAGATCTCGTTCTTGCCTCGCTCAATAATACTTTTGGTTCCTCGAATAGAGGGTTGGTAGACATCTATATGATACTCACCACAAGGTATTGGTATCTATTATCAATGGTACAACCGGGCAGCTGAATCGTTGTTTCCGCGTAACAGAACGCTGCACCAACTAAGCATTTCCAGACTAATCGTAGATAAACTACTTTACTACTTTGACTAGAAGAGCGGGATGAGTCCGGAATAGTGTTTGAAACAAGGGTAGACGCTGCATACTTCCCAGGGTAACCCTAAACATGTCATAACTTCGCCACGTTAGGTAGAAGTCATCAAATAAGAAAGAGCAAGAGTTCCCACTCCTAGGCATATCTTCTATGGCTCTATGCTCCAAGCCTATAACTACTGACATAAAATACTGACTACACAGGCCATAAGGTACCTTGGAAACCGTGAGACATGCCCAATCGGAGTCAGCAAAGCGCCACCAGATCAGCCCAGCTCGCGCTTTGCATGCAGTACAACCAAAGGAAATTTATCTGTACATTCCCAACATTGATATAGAAATATATATGATTTGAAATTAAATCCGCACATCTCTAATCAAATCTTACAAAAAGCAACCTTGGAACTTCTCGGGTATAAATGTGGGGTCGTAGATGGAGTCTCGGAGATGCTGATGCGGACGCAAGCCTTTTATTTCGCCATTTCTGCTTTGGATTGGTTCTTCTCATAGAAAAGGTGAAACATAATAGCAGACAAAGAAAAAGAAATAATAGGAACCGGAAATCACAGCTTCACTCTATTTTATGTACATCCCCAACGCTCAACTGGCGAATCAAAGTATTGGTCATTCTCTCAACGCTGATTCCACAACAATTCTCGAGTCCTTATCAAATGTCACCATGAAACTTTTCCACTTTGCTTGTCCAACTTCTGTTCTCTCTTGACCGATGACGGAGCTCAAAAACCCGCCATGTGTAACAACGACAATGTCAGGCCTTCCGCTGTCCTTTAGTTCGTTGAATTTCTGCTCCAATCGACGCTGGACTCGTGCTCCGCGGAGCTTCAAGCACTCTGAGTCACTGGCGTAAAGACCTTCTTTTTTTGGGAAAGTTGGATCCAAATCTAAGATTTCCCAAGGGAGATCGTAAAACTCCGAACGTAAGATAGCGATGTCCGAGCCAGTATCACACGGTCGAGCAGAGTGTGCCTGCACATCTGGCTCTAACAAAAGAATTGCGCCATTTTGAACCCCTGCCCCGGAGCCTGGGGCGTAATACTTCTCATCGATGGTTTGCTGAAAGCCCAGACGGGCTGTTTGAAGAGTGCGTCGGAGGGGAGATGTCATCACAAGGCCAACGCTCTCTTTGAAGGGAAAGTCTTGACAAAGTTCCAAGCATTGTTCAATGCCTTTTTCTGTCAATGGCGGGTCGTGAATAGTTGTATTATGGCCGGGATTGTGCGTTCCCTCTGCGTGTCGGATGAGATGTAACCGGAAAGACATTTCGGTGACGGTTGAACAGTGAGGCTCTGACCGAGTTGAGAGATATAATAGAGTGAAATTGAAGAGAACGATGAATCTCATGAATGTTTTCATTCTCCGGAATTGAATGATTGGTACAACTATGGGGCCCCCGAAGCTTATATCCGACCTTGGGGAGCTTAATCGGACCTCTCTTCTAACTTGGGAAATATCAGCCGCAGCTAATTATATTCGAGGGACATGGGACCGGAACTTGTCCGAATGGCAAATTTTGACCAATAAGAGGATATGCTAGCATTTAATGGAAACAAGAATTTACAGAAGGATGGTAAGATCATCGATCCAAAACAACATTGGAAGTCATCCCGAGCGCGTTCGTAAGCCGTTAGAATGTACTATTAGGAAGGACCGTTTTCCTTTCTGGTATCTCGTTCCTTTACAAAGGTATTCTCAAAGTCAAGACCAGCATCTTGGCGTATGATACCGTACCCAGACGATGAATCCAAAGGCCGGCCGCCATGCGCATCTGAGAAGTCCCTCGCTCGTACCATATTTTCAAGTGCCACCTCGGCGACTCTTAATCTCGTACCGACATCTTTGGCGCAGCTGATGCCATGCTGAACATCCTTGATACCGAGATTCAGATTCGACAGAGGGGATTGACCTAGACGATATGGTCAGCAAGAGAAAGAAGAACTCGCGGATCCTCAATCGATGTCATATTCAGACCTTCCTCTGGCATGTAAACGCCTTGCGTCATGCGCGCGGAGCTGGAATACATCATTCCAAAATTCAGTTCAAGCAACTTTTCAAGCATGTCTGCACCAAGCTCGCTTTTCTCCGCTAGTACATGGGCTTCTCCCACAATCTCCATTGCTCCTGCGACGATGAAATTACTAAAGAGTGTCAGTGTGACTGTTATGGCACCGTATATTGGTCGCAATCTCACCCCAAAGTTTTGAGCAGAGTCGCCTTCTCGGGCTGATCGGACACAATCATCACATCCCGAGCAATGACACCTTTTCCGAAAGGTGCAATTTTATCAATGGCTTGGGTTGGGCCAGCCATGGCCATCAACACCGTACCACTTTGCGCAGCCGGGGTGGCCCCGAAGACAGGTGCTAGTGTAGTAGGTGAGAATCTGCAAGACATGACTGATCTGGGGTCACTTACCAGCAACAAAGGACGCGTTCCTTTTCTTTAATTTTTCATCTGTCTCTTTGGTCGTATTAGGATGCACGGTGGTAGTATCAACAAACAACTTGCCATCAATATATTTGACGGCCAACATTTGGTCAATGATACCATTCAAAGCCGCATCATCACTGGTCTGTTGCTCAATGTCAGTGTTTAGATACGGAGAATCCGTAAATGTTTCAGTAAATCCGAATCCTAATTCATGTACTCACAGATATGAATATCAGGTCACATTCGGTGACAAGCTGGGCGATAGACTCGCATCCAATACCCCCAAGTAATTCAAGTGGCGCGCCGCGAGACGCCGTCCGATTCCAGAATCTCAATTGGGATTTTGTGTCTTTTTGGAGAAATCTTTGAACATTCTGCGCCATTGCAAGGCCCATACTCCCGAGTCCTAGGAGGAATTAGAAAAGCCTAATCAGATCGTTCTTTGATGCCGTACCTATCCATCCCACAACTTGTGGTTTGTTTGAAGTCATTGTTGGTGATTAATTTGATTATAGCTTGTGCTAATACTGAGTGCTATGTGCAAGTTATTACTTGACATGTTCCAAGGAAACATCGGCAGATATAGGTGAGATTTCGGATGTGACCCGAGGGATGACTCACCAATGATAGCCCCCGGGCGGGGCGCCGAGCACTGGTCTTGGGGCCAAAACATCCCTATATGGTGCCCACTAGGATGAAAGGGATCTATAAGATGCAAGTTGGGTGTGAGGAGGGATATATTATTCTAAGACATGGCTAAAACAACCCTTCTCAACGATGAAGATCAAAAAATAAGATGCCCATTTTACCGTCAACCATCTACATCATCGTATTCTTCACAGGATGTAGCAGCATAGGTGGTAAGCAGATCGATCGATCGACTCTCTTCCACTGCCATTTATGAGAACTGATCTCGATGCCTAGGTGAAACGGGAAAAGCAACGCAACCTTACCTCATCCGCATCACCACTCCCCAGCCAGGCTCGATAGAGCTTCCCAGAATATTCCGAGTCGAACATGTAGGTCATATTTTTCAGAATATCGTGATGCATATCCCACGTCCAGATACTGTCACTTCCAGCACTGATAGCACCAGGCTCACCTGAATTTTCACGGCGGTACAACTCCTGGGGGTCTCATTCTTGCGCATGGTAAACCGGCTGGGGAATCTGAACCGACTTTAAACCATAATACAAAGCCCATGAGGTTGGGGACATCTCCGAACCTAGACCCAGGCCCTTTTCGGCAAGATCAGTGTGCATCATATGAAGCACACGTGCTGAAAGTCGAGACATGGCAACCGGGGAAGACCGACGTGGGATGCCTTGTCCTTCGGTGAACCCGTATATCACATCACGCATCGGCCAGCCCGTGTTCGCCGGGTTGAACTGTGGAAGCCAGGTAATCACATCTGCTTCCTCCCCAAGACCCCAGGTACATGTTTCTATCTCTGCTGTTGGTTTGGGTGATAGGAAATGTGCCTCCTTTGAGACATTTGGGCCCTCCACTGGCATTGGGCCCCAGACGGTCGGAAGATTCACCATACAATGATCTACCGTGTTTTTGAACTCATCCCATGTACCATGGACAGCGGGGATGTAGAAGTAAGAGTTGCGCTCCCAGGGGTGTAAACGGAATTGTTGTTTCGCGAATGCCGTTGCTTGCTCTAAAAAATGATACAGATGTCCAGTGTACCGGGCATCCGTCTCAAATTGCCAGATAAAGTCGTACTGTTGATGAAGCTGTGAGAAGATCTGCACTGGCTGGAAGTATTGGTACATTGCCCTATTCAATAGTGAGCATATCCGTGCATATGATAACAGGATAAGCCCTACTCATGGACGTTCTTGGTCGGATACCAGTCCTGCAGGAGCTTCGTGTTGAAAATACTGCAAGCCCCCAAAGCTCTTCTGGGAAGTACTCTTTGAGACTATCCGTGGCAAGATTGTCCATCGGGTCAGGTAAAGTCTCGTTCTTTACGTCGATTAGAAGAATCACCTCGTACTCTGCACCTGAAAGAAGAGAGAGGAACAATGACCATAGCGCGGATGTTGTGATGTCATTTGTTGTGTACTTCATGTCAATCGTAGAGCGTAGAATGACAGCTGTCCTGGGATGGAAACGAGGTAGACGAGTCTTCTGATGGTAATGTTTCTCCAGTGTGTCCTACCTGTTGGTTTTGCTGTTTGTGCAGTGTGAATCTCTTCGGCTCGGGGTTCAACATGTTGTACCTTTCGTGGTTGCGTTCCAGGCAGGCCTGTTGCAAGTGAGCCCAGTTGACGGCTTCCCAATTCTTCAAAGTACGAGATGCAGTATTATCCTGTGCTTTCACTTCATAGCTATATGCACCATATCGGGAGGATGGATCAACACAAAGGTCCCCGTCCAGGTTCCATGCCTCATACGAACCGAAGATGGGAGTAGGGAATTCTGAATGTCGGTGATCGAATTAGAGCCTCGTGTCCTCCGTGATGATCTTGCTCAGGTCACAAACCTGATTGATTCCAGCGGTATCCTTTCATCGCCGTGTCTTCGTTCTTAGGGTCCAAAAATGTGCCATCGGGGCCAACACACGATTTGTAAGACCCTCTCCACTTTTTCTTCCATGCGGCGCTGTTATAGTCGGGATATGGATTATATGGGACAGGTCGCGATGCGGGATAATGACCATATTTCCCGAGACGCAACGAGGGGATGTGCACGGTGATCTGTGGACGAAGCAGGATTATCACAAATACAAAAGATGCAATGAGGACCGCGCTGAGTTTCTGGAGTGCTAGGTCAGTACCTCTGAGCAGCATCGTGCCTCCACAAAGCGACCAACAGGAAGTATGTAATTTCCAAATTCGACTTGCGTGTGTTCACGTGGATGCACATAACCCTGTTGACATGGGGAAGGCGCACGTCAATGTGAAAGATCTGAGAGCGATTACAGAATATGCGCTGTAATGAGTTGCCAATACTTCCTTACACCTAGTGATACGGCGATCCTTTGAACTACAGGGTCTCAATATGGCAAGGGCAAAAAGTTATACATATAACTGGGATGTTAGCCCATAGATAGCATTAAAACTTCACAAATTTTTGAGGTGCCTATACATGGGACATATCCAAACCGCAACGCCCGGAAAAAGCACTATTTAACATGCACAAATGACCCGAGCTTTACTTCTTTTCGCCCTTCTCACCCTTCTCGCCCTTCTCAAGCTTGCGTCTCTTGGAGCGGAGCTTGGCGGACTCATCAGCGGTCTTCTTGTTCGAGTACATCATCTTCTCAAGCAGCTTGCGCTTCTTCCGGCTCATCATCATCTTCTGTCTCTCGAGCTCCTCGTCCTCGGAGCGCTTCTTGGCGGCAACCTTCTTGGACTTGGAGGATCTCTTCTTGGCAGCTTCTTCGGCGGTGGGGTTAGAGGTGAAAGGCAGACCAGCAGCTTCGGCCTCGAGCTCCTTTTGGTGCTGAGTACGAGCAGCCTCGTCGTCATCTTCGGACTCGGATGCGGCTTCCTCCTCAAAGCCACCGAAGTCTTCGACTTCCTCCTCGGACTCCTCATCGCTCTCGTCGTCGGTGCCGGCGACATCCATGCCTCCGTCGACGGATTCTTCCTCGGACTCCTCAGCAGTAGCAGCCTTGGCCTCAGCCGCGGGCTCGTCCTCCATCTCCTCGTCACTGTCAGAGGCCTCGGCGGCAATCTCGGCTTCATCTTCCTCCTCCTGATCGGCGAGGGTGGCGCGGGGGTCGTAAGCGCCGCGAGCAGCCTTGACCCAAGGGCTCAAGTGGGGTGGAAGAGTGGCACCAGGTGCGTAGAGATCAGCTCGGAGGAGCTTTCCCTCGTTAATGCAGTCCCAGACCCACTGGGGCTGGATGTAGGTACGACCAGGGATGCGGCTTCCAGGCTGGACCTTCTGGACGGCGTTCTCATCGGCAGCGGGAATGGCGGGAAGAGACTCCTGAGGAAGTTGAGGACGATCGACAATTTGGTGAGTGATGCGGGGGTCGGTCTCGTCGTGAGTGAAGGCTCCATCACCCAGTACGGAGGCCCATCCAACGCGCTTGCAGCCGAATGAGCGCAGAATGAACTCGAGGGGAGCCTTGGGCGCTTCACGGGAAACGTAGAAGACGAAGGGGGCGAATAGTGCACCGGCCTCATTGCCGCTCATTCCGGGCTGGGGAAGGGTGTCGGCTTCAGGAGCAGCGGGCTCGAAGCGGTCGAAGGCATCGGTTGCCTCATCGGGCGTAGTGTCGACCATCTCCTCGTCCGTGCTCTGGTCCAAATTGGCCTTCTTGATCACCTTATCAACCTTGGCTTGAAGTTCCTTGGAGACTTCCTTATTGGAGTTGCCGTTGCTCTGAGCCTTGCTAGCCTCGAGAGCCTTGGGCACCTCACCAACTGTCCGGCCCTCCAGAGTGAAAGCCGCCAACTCGGCACCGTTCTCGTCGCTGCGGGTATCGAACTTAGGGGGGTATCTCAATCCAATCGAAGAGTACAGGCGGAAGTTGACAAAGCCCAGCAGGGTGGTGTAAAACTCGACAAAGGTAGCCATGATACGGTAATCGACGTCGCCATTGACACGCTGTACGAAACGGTAAGGCACGAGCCACATAATGTCTTGGCCCTGAATGGTGGCCTGGTAGTAGATACCCTTAATGGAAAGGAAGGATCTTCGCAGAGAGTTGGTCATGATCAGGTAGTGCTGGAACTCGTGGCAAAGGCGCTGGCAGAGCGCAACAGTCTTAGAAGGAACATGGTCTGTGGAGGGAAGGGTAGCGAAGAGGAAGAGAAGAGACAGAGCGTCGTCAAGATCACGGAGGGCATCGATAAAGGTCGGGTAGCGCTCTTTAATGACATGGTCCAAGGTGAGTCTCGGGGCGTTGTTCTTTTCTAAACGGGAGGCATCGCTGACTTCTCCACGGCCGAGAGAGCGAGCAATCTTCTTTGCGAGTGACTTCTGATCACGGAACTTGTTGAGCAGGGGCTCGTGTAGCAAATACTGAATGTCCTTGGTGTAATAGAAGGTGGTGTTGGGCGTAGACGTCTTAGAGGCCTTCTTCTTACTACGGGGCTCGCGAGGATAGATACCTGATATCGGAGATCATGTTAGTCTTGCGATTCAGATGGAATAAGGATAGAAGAGGCAATTACCCTTGAAGATGCATAGTCGGCGGAAATCAGGCAAAGAGATCTGAAGTTTGCGCACGGCCTGAGTTCTGGTAATGTAGTTCTTGGCTGCGCCAGAGGTACCTAAAAGGAGTGTTAGTAAATCCAATTGAAATCCTCGGTTCATTTCAACATACCCTTCTTCTTAACTTTGCCCATGATGAAAATTGGTTGTCAAAAGATCTAAACGGACTGCTGATAAGAAGAAGAAAATTTCTCGATAACTTTTTTTTCTCACCGCAACAAAGGTGGTCCGTGCCCGAAGGCGGAGAGAGACCGTTGGGTCCATATGGACCAGCTGGAATCAACAACGAGAACACTCACCCCGTCATGGCTGTAGACCGACGGAAGATTGCTGTGTTCGGCGCGGCTTTTGTGCTGCGTCTACTTCTTACATGTCTTTTCCCTTCATTACCTGATTTGTTAACGGGGAGAGTCGAAGTATCAACACCCGTCAATAGTTTCAAACGCCGTACGTGTCTCCGACCATTGACTCCGCATTCTATAAACTAATTATCTGTAGTGCAAGAGGGCCTGTTTTTGTACACAAGAAATGTGTCGCCTTATGATGGTGGCGTCTTCCATCAGGTTCGTGGATCTAGATCTCTCCGACTCCGTTCCTTGAATTGACAATTCCATCCGAATGATCTAGGCACCGCTCCTGTTACCTCTGTTCGCCCTACTCCCGGATGCGAACAGTTCGCCCTTACCAACATCAATCTTCTACTTCCTTGTCGACCTCTTGAACGCGTACGCATTGGTAACTATATCTGCGTCGGGTCAATCGGTTAAATCGAGACTACACTCGGCAGTCCGAAAACATGTCCGATGGGATGGAGTGTCCGTTGCAGCATGGTATGCTTCTTCTGGCCCGCTCAATCATATATATTTGCATACTTACCCGGCAATAGGTTTTTGTTCAATCCTTTCACTATCGCGACATGTTTAGCGCGGTCAACCAGCGTATTTACAACATCAGGAATCCTCTTCGCCGTTTCTAATGCAGTCGGTGGAAATAGCATCAATGCGATGCTAGCCCTGGGATTTGCTTCATACCTGTCTCTATACCCAGCACTGCTCTTTGTCCCGTTGGTCCTGCTATGCTATGACCAACGCTCGGAGAGACCAACCCCACCCAATGTTGGATCTTTCATTGTTCAACACGCTGCCCTACTACTGGCTAGCGTTGCAGGCCTGCTTGGTCTCTCTTGTCTTATCACTGGCAACTTCTGGGAGTTTATCTCGGCAACGTATGGTTTCCATCTTTTGGTTCCAGACTTGACCCCCAACGTGGGGTTGTGGTGGTACTTTTTTATTGAGATGTTCGACTCATTTCGACAATTCTTCCTCGGCGTTTTCTGGCTTCACTTGGCCAGCTACGTTGGGGGTCTCACGGCTCGCTTCCGCAGCCAACCCCTATTCGTCATTGCCTCGCTCTTAGGTGTCTTCGCCATCTTCAAGCCATACCCTAGCATCTCGGACGCGTCGCTGTTTTTCGCGTTGCTCCCATTATATCGCCACCTTTTCCCATGTCAGTATCTCCAAACATCAAGTATATCCCAGAATCATTTTGACTAACTCGTCACAGTGATGCGTTATACCTTCTTTGCGGGCTCGGCAATCTTGTACTCCAGCCTCCTCGGCCCGGCTTTCTACCACCTTTGGATCTACGCAGGATCCGGAAATGCCAATTTCTTCTACGCCATCACCCTGGTCTGGAGTTTGGGTCTCTCTATCCTGCTGGCTGACACCGTCTTCGCCGCTCTCAGAGATGAGTGGGAGCAAGAACACCCAGAACAGGTGGGCACAGAGGTGCGGCAGGTGTAATGTATATTAACTTTTACACATCACTATTCTCATATCAATTATTAGCATTCAACCCCTTAACAAAGAGATATCCAGCTATTACAATTTCAACCTCTTCGACAAGATCAAATAGTCCACATCCTTAATAGTCCCATTGCGCAACATGCGCGGTCGGGGCGAGTACTCATCAACCTCATATCCAAGCCGCTCATAGAACCGCCGAGCAATCTCATTCGACTTGAAAACAGTCAGCATAGACTTCTCCAAGCCGACAGCACGACCAATTCCCTCCATCTGATCCATGAGCAACCTCCCCACGCCCCGTCCCCGGGCCGCCGGCGACAAATGGATCTCGTAGCAATAAACAACCTCCTTCCCGTCCTCGTAGGTAACCATAAAGGATAAAAAGCCGAGCACATTCCGAGAATCAGTATCAGATGACGAGACAGGCTCATCGCTTTCCTTCGGTGACGACGGAGCGTTGTTGTCGACGATATCGCTCTGTTTCTCTCTCGGAACTTGCCCCCTAGAATCACTAGAATCACCCAGCGTGCCGCGCAGAATCAAATACTTCATGTCGGGCAATTTCATCTCTTTCCGCTTCTTGGTACGCGACCAGCCTGCGCTGGACGCGCTGTAGGCTTCGCTTGAGGTTTGCTCGATTAGATCCAGGCATGCTTCCAGATCAGCTGCGGATATTGTTGCTGCGGAGTAGACATCCACGCGTGGTGCGGGAGTCACGTCCCGCTGTGGTTGGTCTTGGGATGGATGGGGTTGATCCGTCGCATCATTTTTAGCTGGTTCTCCTGTTTGCGTGGGTGGAGTCACGTATTGAGCGATGAAGTCGCTAATGGATAATGCATTGGTCTGTTCGACCAGTGGGACTAAACGGTCATTATCACGCGTCATTGAATATTTTTGAATCAAGCAAATCAATAAAACAAGCTTTGAGGCTGAACCAGGCTTGCGAGAGTGGTGTACTCACTTTTGCTCGAGACGCGTCGGGTTGTGGTTCGCGGTCTTTTGGCTTTTAATTTCGTGACTCGGCCTTCTTTCACGGACTGCATGGTTCAAAGATATGTAGGAGGATATTTGATAAGTCCGAGATTAAGTGCAGCTCGAATGTAAGGATTTTGGGATAGCTGAAGAATGTGGGCCGGCGACCCCGGACTTTGACCGTTGACGGGAAGTATATGCGCACCATTTTTTTGTTTCGAGTTCAAATCTGCAGATATAATCTTCCCAATAGGATTCATACTTTCGTAAATATATCAAGGCATGTCTAGTGTGAATAATGCATAGGGTACTCCTTGTGCTACTCTAATATCACAAGGCCTATTTTTCTTGTTCTTCTTTTTCCTCAATATATATTTCAACTTCAAAAGTCAAGAGCAATCATCTTGTCCTACCCTCCTTTTCTTATATTTGATTGCCATATTCTCTTATTCAACCTCTTCTTTTTCTTCTTCCTCAACCTCATGCCTCAACCGAGTTCAATCGCATAGATGCGTGTTAGATAGCCCCAGCGCGCATACCAATGGCACTACGCTTTCCAATGACAGTACGCTTTGAAAGATCAATACGCATGAAGCTAGATTTGGCAAAGGAAATCCCGCGACGATTTTCCTATCTAGGTAACAGGTTTTGTTGGGCCTTCTTAATAATCCTTCCGTCATACACTGGGTGGATCTTTCGCTTAAAACAGACAGACATACGTCAGGGACGCCAACGATATAAAGTCTCCCAACCCCTAATAATTTCGCATGTACACTGCTTTAAGTATAGTGAACTATTTCATATAGCAAAATGTCTCCCTCCACTATGAAGCAATGGGTCGTTCAAGATCAGGAGCACGACTTCGACGGTCTTGTTTACAAGGACGCCGCCGTTCCGAAAGTCGGCGAAAATGAAGTCTTGGTGAAGCTCCAAGCTGCATCGCTGAACTACCGTGACCTCACTATCCCAAAGGTATGGCATCGAGAAAAGCGGATGTTTGAAACCTTGATTGAGTTGTCTGTGCAAGACCATAACCGAATTCTAATCTTCCCCATAGGGCATCTATCCATTCCCTCTCAGCCTTCCTGTAGTGCCAGGCTCGGATGGCGCCGGTGAAGTCATCGAAGTGGGATCCAAGGTCGTTGAATTCAAGAAGGGTGATCAAGTTGCAACTCTCTTCAATCAGGGTCACCAATATGCCGAGATTGACACATACGCCGCGGGTACTGGCCTAGGTGGTGTGATCGACGGTACCCTGCGCGAGTATGGCGTATTCAATGAACAGGGTCTTGTGAAGTCGCCAACCAACCTCAATGCCCGCGAGGCCAGCACTCTACCATGCGCAGCGCTCACCAGCTGGAATGCACTGTATGGCCTGAAGCCTCTGAAGCCCGGCCAGATCGTTCTTGTACAAGGAACCGGTGGTGTCAGCATGTTTGGCTTGCAGGTTAGTACTGACACATTCAAATCCCCTCAGAATGGACTCGGCTAAGATAAATTGTTTATAGTTCGCCAAAGCTGCTGGTGCAACAGTTATCGCTACAACTTCTTCTGCGGCAAAGGCCGAGAAGCTTAAGAAGCTTGGTGCTGATCACGTCATCAACTATAAGACTGAGCCCCACTGGGGTGAAGCTGCTCGCAAGCTGACTCCTGGCGGAGCTGGTGTGGACCACATCATCGAAGTTGGTGGTAGCGGAACTCTCATGGAGAGCTTCAAGTGCATCAAGTTCGAGGGTATCATTAGTGTTATTGGGTTCCTTTCAGGCGTGGATCCCAAGACACAGCCCACTGTTCTGGAGGCATTGACTCACATCTGCACCGTGCGTGGTGTTTATGTTGGCAGCAAGGCTCTCATGAAGGATATGATCCGAGCCATCGAGGCCAATGACATCCACCCTGTGGTGGATGACAAGGTGTTTAGCCTTGACCAAACACGGGAAGCATATGATTACATGGTAGGTTGCTTCCCATCAGCGAGGAGCGTTCGTGTGCTAACATATTGGAATTCAGTTGGCCCAGAGCCACTTTGGAAAGTTGACCATCAAGATCAACTAAGTATGGAAACAGGAATATGTCCTTGCTAGCATATACAGTATGCGAGAGTATACAAAGGAACTTGGAAACCTTGGAAAGAGTGACAGAAGGAAGTGTAACTTAATATCTGGTAATAACAGCGAGTGGCCTAGTGGTAACATGCTACGCGTGTGTACCACGAGGGAAGTGCCAAAGATCTTCCACTACTTAGCTGTTCCGGTTCGATCCGTTGAGACCGCGTACCCTCTTATTTTTTCTGTCTTATCCTTTCGATCTATAAATCTTTCAAATAAACAACAATTTAAGGTTTTGATAGTGGAGACCTGCAATACCTAAAACCATCCTAGTATCTCTGAGCATCTTTCTGAGGTGTGTTTTTAATAATGTCAACATTAGATCTAATCATTCGAAAATCCTATGTTGGTTGTTGGTTGTTGGTTGAGGTGAGCATTCTGGTTGGTAGACTGGGCAACTGAGGGCTTCCCCGCCACTTCCCCTGCATGAGTTAAAACCAACCACCTGTAAGCCTCCTTCTCTGTTACACTTATACACGTTTTCTATAGTCTCCTTTGAGATACTTCATTAACAATTTTTGTTATTTTCCGCTGGATACCTGGCAACATCTTACCTTTCTTCAATGCAGGTCAATAATAGAGATATCCGCTCAACCCTCCCAATCCAGGGTAGCCAAAGTACTCGACAACCACTGGCACCGTTTGTTCGCCCAGCTCAAATGGCCATGTTTGCACGGGTAACATCCTACCCCCCGCTAGGACAACTCACTTGCCTCCAACCCGTGCAAAAGGCATTACGGTCTGAAGAAGATGCGGTGAGTCTCTCAAATATGATCGTATCTGATATCGCTACCAAGAATTCTACACCTATTGAAACTATAATGCAAAGGCATACTGACATCACCAACAGCTGCGTTTCACGGTTACCATCGAGTCTAGCAGCTCTTTCCCCGCACAATCATGGGAAGCGCAGATCTGGCATAACATCACTGGCCCTGAATGGAGATCTCTGCCATTGCAGAGATGCAACACAGATCATGCAGCTCTTTTGACCGGAAATGATAGCGAGTACCACTGCCATCGCTATGTATTCTCAGAGGAGGTATCCCTGCCAGCCGCAGGAGGTCATGCACAGTTTACCGTCCGGTTTCGAATTGGTCCAGATACGGAATGGCAGTGGGCTAATGAAAGGCATCACGTGGGCGACGGTGAAATTGTATATAGCGCATGCCACTCTGGTCTTGACGAGGCTCTAGCCACGGAAGTTGCTACACCAGCCCCCAAAGAACAACTCGAGAAGTACATCGATGACCTTCATGAGGACTTGCAGATTCAGTCACGGCTTAGTGAAGCTCCTGGGTCGGTCCTCTGGGCTCTGTCTGGTGATATAGCTGCTGTTCAAGATGGATCTTCAATCATCAAACGACTTGCACTTGGTACCCCTTCGTCGGTAGTGAGGTATTTCTCATTGGTTCGTGTTTGGAGCCCATGGCTAGGTCCTAGACATGGGAAAGATAACTTCCGACTTACCGAAGATGCAATACTTTGCTCTTTCTTGCGCGAAGATGGCGTGAATCTTGTTCTACTGGCTGTTTCGGGAGTCAACGATGTTTTGACTGTGTTTCAGTCAGGCGAGAACGGTGAAGTTGTGCTCTCCGCAAAGAGTGATAATTCAGAAGCATCAAAGTTCCAGGTGCTTGTCAGCGCCGCGAAGAACTTTGAGATTGCCATGTCTGCGGTAGTTTATGAGGCACGGAAAGTGGTCAGACCATTTGCTGATGCAAGTCATCTGGATTTAGACGATCCAGTCCCATTATCCCCTCCTGGGGATGATATGGTCCTTGTCGAGAGTGACCCAAGTGCACAGTGGCTGTCCGAGTGGTTTGACGGTCTCACATACTGTACTTGGAATGGACTGGGACAGGAGCTCACCGAAGAGAAGATCTTGCATGCCTTGGACTCATTGAAGGCTAGTGGGATCAATATCACTAATCTTATCATCGATGATGGTTGGCAGACCAACGATAATGAAGGGGAGTCCCAGTTCAAGCAAGGCTGGAAGCAGTTCGAGGCGCATTCAAAAGGATTTCCTAAAGGATTAAAACATACTGTGGGGGCTATCCGTCGAGCGAATCCCAATATTGAACATGTTGCAGTCTGGCATGCCTTGCTGGGTTACTGGGGAGGCATCTCACCAGATGGGGATCTGGCTCAAAGATTCAAAACAAAGCAAGTGAAGATCAAAGATCCCGCCGCCAATGGGCCAATTGCCGAGAACCTTCCGGACGGAACAATTCTTGCCATTGATCCCGATGATATAAAACAATTCTACGATGAGTTCTATAGTTACCTTACCTCTGTCGGTATAGACTCGGTCAAGACAGATGCACAATTCTTCCTCGATCTTCTTGAAGACGGAGCGGACCGCCGGCGATTCATGACTTCTTATCAAGATGCATGGTCTATCGCATCACTCAAGCACTTCAGCACTCGGTCAATGTCTTGCGGATCAATGACCCCCCAAATAATCTTCCATTCACAAATGCCAACCAACAAACCTGCGGTTCCACTGCGAAACTCCGACGACTTCTTTCCCGATATTGTTGCCTCTCACCCGTGGCATGTATTCTGCAATGCTCACAATGCACTATTCACGCGCTACTTGAACGTATTGCCCGACTGGGATATGTTCCAGACAAGTCACGCATACGCATCATTCCACGCGGCAGCACGATGCGTATCGGGGGGACCGATCTATATCACCGATGAGCCGGGTAAACATGACTTGACCCTGCTCGATCAGATGACCGCATCTACCGTTAAAGGAATCACTGTGATTTTGCGTCCTAGTGTCATCGGACGTACGATAGACATATACCATGACTATAACGAAGGACATGTCCTGCGTGTTGGAAGTTATACCGGCTGGGCCAAGACCGGAAGTGGAATCATGGGCCTTTTCAATATTCAATCTGCCGAGGCCTCAATCATAGTCTCACTGATGGATTTCCCGGGAATTCACGAGGACTCGGAGGGCCAGTATATCGTACGCGCACACAGCAGCGGTAAGATCTCGCCTCGCATGCGGTCATCAGCCCATGACTCCCTGGTATCCGTTGTTCTGGAACCAAAGGGCTGGGAGATTCTCACTGCGTTTCCGACTCGATCGTTCACGCTAACGGGAGGCCATGGCGGCAACCCCTCTGGCGACAATCTGGTACATGTGGCCGTGCTAGGTCTTTTAGGAAAGATGACTGGCGCAGCGGCTGTGGTGACTTCGAATATATCTGTTGTTGAGAACGGCCGTTTACGACTCGATATCAGCTTAAAAGCGCTGGGAACTCTGGGGATTTATTTCTCGGATCTTCCTGACAGGAGCATTGCAAAGAATTTCATGGTCATGATTCTGGGACGGCCAATTCCACGGAATACAGTATGGAAGCAGGGTGGAAAGAATGGTAATGTGCTAGCAATTGATGTACTGGCCGCATGGAAATCCATGAAGTTGGACAGTGGATGGAGTAACGAGGCGTTTGTACAGGTTTTTGTGGCTTGAAGTGATACTTCAAATCCGGCCGCCTCTGGGAGTTATCATTAGTTTCTGATAGAGATAGTATTATTCCAAGACAGCATGTTTTCTTTACAATCGACCCGATATATACTTCTGTGGCCCTAAGCCCTAAGCATGGTCCCGATTGGGAAACCGATCAACATGCCAGAGATAAGGACCGCATCATTGATATTCCGGACTTATCGAAAGAATCTCGGACATCTGGAGCTATTGATCGTGTCTAGACTTGAGTTCATTGCGAGCCGTTTCATTAATATTCGCATTCATAAACCGGTACAATGCGGCCACAGTCGAAATCGCTCGGCCTCGCGCCACACCGCACCCTTCTCACCCCCCGTCGGATCCCATGCGGAGCGCGCAGCTTTGCCGCAACAACAGCGATTCCGCTGCGCGGTGACAGCAATCGGCCAGTATTGTCCGCTTCGCAGTCCAGCACATGCTTCCAACAGCAGAGATGGATCACATTAAAGCATATCCAACGTATGAAGGAAGGGGAGAAGGAATGGGCTGGATTCGCAAAGGAAATCAAGGCCGGGAACAGGAAGAACTTCGCGCAACACCTTGAGGAGCGAGGGTTGATTCATGATGTTGTCGGGTATGTTACATCGGAATACTGAAGTTGATGACATTGTCTGCGGGAAAACATTTGAATGGCTCGCTAATCGTTCTATTTGGATTACAGTGAACGAGACTTATTGCATAAGGTCCTCACGGAGAAGAGGGCTGGAATATACGTTGGAATCGACCCGACTGCCCCCTCAATGCACGTTGGACACATGCTTCCTTTCATGGTTCTGGCCTGGGGATACGTCTGGGGCTTGCCCGTCACATTCCTAGTAAGTTGCCTGCAACCTCGCGTCCAATTGAATACCTCAACTAAGACTCTATAGCTCGGCGGTGCTACTTCTAGAGTCGGCGATCCCAGTGGGCGCCTCAAGGGCCGAGATGCAGTCCATTCCTCAATCCGAAAAGCAAATATGGCCAGTATGCATATGCAATTGAAGAAGTTAGGTTCGAGCATTGAGCAGTACGGCAGGAGACACGGACACGAAAGACACCCTATGTGGAAGCGGGCGTTGACAAACAACAACACTTGGTGGAACTCGATGCCTTTTCTTGAAGTGCTGAGAGACCTTGGCGCTTTCATGCGACTTGGTCCCATGCTCGGCAGAGATACGTGAGTTTTGGCAGGTCTGACGGCGCTCTTGTCGCGGTTCACTGATGTTTTCTACTAGTGTCAAGACACGATTGAACCAAGGAGATGGCATGTCGTTTGCTGAGTTTTCCTACCCTATTCTCCAGGCCTGGGATTGGTGGACGCTGTTCCAAAAGGGCACTCAAATCCAAGTCGGAGGTGCCGACCAATATGGAAATATCCTGTTTGGCATGGAGGCTGTCAAGTCTATCAGCCGAAACACCGCCGACGAACAACTCCG